CCTTTTCATAAGAATTATAATAAGCTAAATCGCTAGCTATAATAGCAAGCTAATAATTTAAAATATAAAATTTAATATATACCCTTAAATTTATTTTAAGTTAAATTAATAGTCTTTATTAATAGCTTATTTACTAATAATAAGGACCTTAGCTTATAAATTAACTTTATTATTATACTTATAAATAAAATATAAACCTTATAAGCTTTTAAATAAAATATTAAAGGCAATATTATTTATTAATCCTTAATAAAGTATTAAAAAATAACTTAAAGCATTTTAACTTTAAAAATTTACAGCATAATTAATAATTTTAATATAGCTATAATATTAACAGCTACTTTATATTAAATTACTATATATTTAAGCATTACAACAATTCCTTTTATAATATATATTAACTTATACTCCTTATATAAATACTTAATTAAGCTTAGCATAATAAAAAAAAAGCGCCTTATAATTAATATTATAGCTCTTTAACAGTTATATAAAAAGCATAAAATCTTTAAAATCCATTAGCTTGCTAAAAACTGCAACCTAACTAACGCCTTTACAAAGAATACCCTTAATAACACTCTTTAACGCTTTATAAATATAAACAATATCACAATTAAAGTACAAGGCTACGTAAATCGCGGCTAAGAAAACAAGGCGACTATTTAAATACCAAAAAAAAAAAAAAAAAAAAAAGTTAAGAAAACCACGACACATTAAGGCTTAAACCTAAATCGCCAAAGCATGGTTTAACAACTTACCAATAAACCGCGTTAATATAACCCTAAATATTATCATTATATTATATATTATAAGGTTATTATATTAACACTAATATAATTAACTTAAATATATATATTGCGTAATTATAAAAATAAAAAGATTGTTAAAGGTTTTTAATAAGGGATAATAAAACAACTTTTTTAATTAAAGGCAATGTATAGCAAAAATATAAAAATTTAATTTATATTTATTAATTACTTATAAATTACCTTATAATACAATATAATTAATTAACTTTAAATTATATCCCTTTTAAAAGCAAACCTTATATTTAAGATTTTTATAATAATGCTTATATATTAAGAATTTAAATAATAAGGATTACTACTATCCTATAAACACTTAAGTTACCAGCTTATATTTAATAAGCATCCTTAATTAAATTTTGCAATCTAATATCTATACATTAAAATTAAAAGTATTGCTATTTATTAACTTAATTAACATTCTTTATCTTATACCCCACTTTCCCTTTATTTAAACACCTTATTCGCTAATCCTTATAACTTATTAATCTCCATTTTAACAACCCATTCTTTAATCATACTTCTTAATTTCTTTATTTAATAAACGGCATTAAGCATAGCAAAACTTAAGTTAAATTAAATTAAAAAATTTTAATTATTTAAAAATTAAATAATTACATTAGCAGTTTAAGGGTTTAATTTAATCCTTATTTAACCTAGGCACTATAAGCAATAAAAGCATAAATTTATAAAATATATTATAAATAAAACATTTATATAATAATTACAACCTTTTAAGCTTTTTAACTTTATATAATTAAGATATTTTAATATATATATATACTTAATTAACTTCTTTTTATTAATTATATACTTTAATAAATTAACTAACCTTTAACCCCTTAATAATAACTTAAGCCTTTTTATATACCTACCTTTTATAATAATATAACATAGCAAAATAATAGCGTACTTATAATTTAACTTATATATGCAATTAATTAATTACCTCTTAACCTTAAGTTTAATTTAACTTAATACCTTCCTTTCTTTTATACTTTTTAAAAATAATACATACCTATAAAATAAAGATTGTCAATATAGAAATAATGAGTATTATTTATATAAAGAACTATTTAAGACTAAGCAGCTTTGGCTTATTAAGATGCTCGGCAAGCAACAGCCCTAGCACTACATATAAAATAGCTAGCACAATCAAGCCTTTTACCTTCTTTCCTTCCATAATTAATAACAATCAACCACAACCCCAACCAAACGTCATATTGCAATACGTAACCCAGCCAACACTTTTAATATTTATATATATTTAAAGCCTTTTTTTAAAAATATATTAAAAAATTTTAAAAGCTAAGAAATTATTAAATTAAGTATAATAAAAATAATATATAAATATTAAAAGTGTAATTATAAGCGTGTTATAAGGAGATAACAGCATTAAGTATAATAAGCGTTATAAGCAATTAGCATTAAAGCACCGGCAAGCAAGGATTATATATAGCAATATATAATCACCCTTAAATAATTTATAGCTAAAGGGAGGTTTTACAGCTTATAATTATAACCTTTCTTTCTTTTATATAATTAATTTAAATATAATTAAGTTTGCTATTAATAAATATATATTAATTTAATTAATAAAAAGATTAATTAAAAGTAATTTATAAAAATTATTTTTAATATAATAATAATAATTATTTTTATTATTATAATTTATATAAAAATTATTATTATAATTATATATAAAACTTTTAATATAAAAAAATAAGAAATATAATGCTTATTAATCTTTTAAAGCTTTTTTATATTTATTTTCTTTATATTTTATATTAACCTTTTTTTTAAAAAGCTTTTTTATTTTAAGCTTTAAATTATTTATATAAGCTTAAAAATTCTTTATAATTATATTAAAAATTAATATATACTTTAAAATTAATTTTAAACCTTATTAAAAAGCTTATTTTTAAAAGTATATTATAATTTAAGCTTTACTTATTATAATTAATTAATAAGCTTTAATCTTATAAAAATAAGCTTTAACATAAATATAAATAAAAAGCAAACTTTTCTCTTTATACTTTAAATATAAACTTTATTTAAATACTTTATAATAAATTACCTTAAATAAGCTTATAATATAATTATATAAAATTTAATATAATAAGATTTAAAAAAAAATAATTGCAGCTTATTAAGCTTTTTTTTATTTTAAAAAACTTTTATTTTAAAAATATTTAATAACTTAATTAATAAAATTAAGAGTTAAGTTTATAATAAATAAAAAGGTAATTAATATTAAAAAGCTTAATTTTTTTATATATTTAATTAATTAAAAACTTTTTATAATTAATTTTTATTTTATATTAATTTTATAAAAATATTTAAAGAATAATTAAAAAGCTTTTTAAAAAAGGTTTATTTTATGCTTAAAAACTCTTTTAAATAAAGGTATATTAAGCTTAATTTAATTATATTATAATAATATTATAAAAAGAAAATAATAAAATATTTTATTTAATTTAATTAATTAACTTATATAATAAAAGTTTAAAGTTAATTAAATAAATATAAGATATTATTAATAATTTATAACTTAACTTTTATAATAAAAGCTTAACTTAATTATAAAAAATAATTAAAAATATTTAAGGCTTTTTACTTTATTTTATAATAATATAAGGGCATTTTTAATATTATAATAAGGAAAAATAATACTTAATTTTAAAATAATAAAGCAATAAATATTAATATTATAATAATTTTAATAAATAAAGTTAAGTATTTTATATATAATTAGCTTAATTATTATAAGTATAATTACCTTAATTATTATAAGAAAATAAGGGTGCAGCTTTTATTAATTAAGGCTAGCAAGGGGGAGGAGTTTGTTTAAGGGGGTGTAATTATTTTTTTATGGGGTGGGGCTTGGAGTGTTGCCGGCTTAGTGCCGACTTAGGCTTGGAGTGGGCTAGCTGCGTATTAGCTGGTTTCGTGCTATAAAATGCTTAAAATTTAGGAATTCCTTATTAATAAAGTAAATTATTTATAATTAAGCGTTAATTAATTATAAATTATATAATAAATTTATAATTTTAAAGTTTTAAGTAAAAAAGCTTATATAAAAGGCTTAAATTAAAGGATTATAAGAATATTATTAATTTAATTATTAACTTATGTTTAAATAATTATTTTTTATTAACTTGCTTTAATTAATATATTAAATTATAAGGGTTAAAAGTGCATTAAATATGGAAAATAAGTTAAGCCTTTAATATATTTAAAAGGTGTTAAAATATAATTAAATAATTAAATAAAGGGTAATGTTTAATTTATAATTAAATTATAATATTTTTTATTTTTATTATATAGCTATTTTTTAAGCTTATTATAAGAATTTAAAAAAGAAAGATATATTATAATTTAAGCTTTATTTATTATAATTAATTAATAAGCTTTAACCTTATAAAAATAAGCTTTAATATAAGTATAAATAAAAAATAAACCTTTTCCTTTATACTTTAAATATAAACCTTATTTAAACACCTTATAATAAACTACCTTAAATAAGCTTATAATAAAGTATTATTTAATAATATTTTAATAAAATTATTAATATTTTTATTATTTTTAATTATTTTTAATATAATTAAGAAAATGTATTAAATTAATAAAAATAAATATTTTTAATTATAAAATTAATTAAAAGTTTAAAAATAAGATTTAATTATTAATTATAAGTTATATTATAAGATTATTAATAATTAAAGTTTAAATAATAAAATATATATATTATAAAAAAAATTAAATAATTAATTATTTAATAAATTATATATATTATAAAAAAAATTAAATAATTAATTATTTAATAAATTATAATTAATATTTTTATATATAAATAAGTTATTTAAAAAAGTAAGGTAATTAATAAGTTAAAAATTACTTTTTAATTAAGGGGTATGTTATATATATATATCCTTAACCCTGGTTTATAACTACTTTTTAAAGTGCTTAAATAGCTAAATTTCTTTTATTTCCTCCCTTTACATTACTCTTAGGAGATAAATGCTTTTATAATCATGCTTTCAAACCCTCACGGCACTTGTAGCCTTCCACACCATAGGGATGGCAATGCAGTCCCCGTTTTGAACGATCAGGAGGTAAATGTGGCTCTACATTCTAGTTCGCCTGAGAGTATATGGTATAGGCTTGACGCGGTGTGGTATCCCGGAATCATAACTATGACAACGAAATGCTCGCGTTCAGGCTGTCAAAACCCCTCGCCAGCACCTCCTCACCGCCCGCAGCCTCCAACTCCAGCTCCACGTCAGGCTGCATCTCCCGATACATAGCATGGTTCTCACTCGCCATCTTGCAGTTGTAGGCGGCCTCCTCGTCGCTGATGTATCTCTTCTTCAGGCCGTTGGCACACGCAGCCTCAACCTGTAGCTGGATGGCGCAGCTGCGCTCCATCAGCCCGAAGATGAAGCCGGCCTCGTCGACTGTGTATCCCACGCTTAACAAGCCGTGATTCATGAGGATTGCACCCTTGTTGTGCTGCCCCAGCGCGTCTGCGATTCGCTCGCCCTCGTCTGAGGCGAAGACGATGCCGCCGTAATCTGAGTAGACGGCATGGCAGTTGTATAGACTGCAAACGTCCTGAGTGATCATCTGCAGCATCAGGAGTCAGCTATGAAAGCACCCAGGAAGAGATTTCATCCGTATATGGGGAGGACCAGGCCATCTACGGGACATGTTTGTTCTTGAGAAGGTTAAAAATGTATTCGGAAGCTGCTTACCTCAAGGGGCTTAGCAAAGACGGACCATGCTCGCCCGGCGTGTGTGTGTGCATGGCATATGGCGTGTATATCAGGACGTCGCTTGTGCACGGCACTGTGGATGTAATAGCCGGCTTTGTTGCAAGTGATCTTGCCGGTAGCGGGATTCGGGTTTCCCCCAACGATGCGTCCTGTGTCGATCTCCAGCGGGATCATGTCGCCTGCCGTCAGAGTGCCATAGTGGCGGGAGAGAGGATTCATCCACATGATCTGGGGAAACTCAGGGTCGCGGACGGAGATGTGGCCTGACTGTCCCTCGGCATAGCCCATCCGAGACCAATTTCTGAAGACAGCGGCCATATGAACAAGGATGTGTCTCCGCTCTGCTGTGTAGCTTGGGAAGGTAGGAATGTCTATTTGATGTTAGTCACTTTCACACTGTGAAGCTGTTGTTGACGCGAGTCGCAGGGTTTTCACCTACTGGGCAAGACATCTCCGTGTGATATGGCTTCAAGCGGGGTCACTTCTTTCTCAACCTTCTCGGCAGGCTGCGATTTGGTGACGGCGAGGGTCGCCGTAGGGGCGGGTTCCGATACTGCTGCCGGTGCCATTTTGTCCAGGAATTGTCCAAAAACGATCAAATGGCTAGGGAGAAGACGGATGGTGATATTATTCTGTTGAATCAACCGTTCTTCTGGGATGGTGGAATTCGATGTGGAAGGAGTCGTATAAGAAGACGGTTAAGCGGCGGTGCCGCTATCAGCGAAGACCTTTTGCCCGGCTGTGACCCGCGCCAAGAACATACCATTCGCCGGTCCGGTTCTGGGATTCCGGGCCGGCGACCGCGGGCATGTAGGCTTTGCTGTGGACGGCTCGACAACAAGAATCCTGCCTTGGAGTCACGGCGAGTACAATGTGTCGGGACCGGTCGACAAGTTTGTCAGGAAGTAGATCAATTGAGATTCGTGCTCAGATTCTCCGGGTGCGAGGTGAGGGGAAGGTGCAAGGTCGAAGACAAGATGCCCTTGCCCCCGTCTATCAAGTCCACGCTATCTTTGCAATGCTCTTTCCTTGCACTTGACGAATAGAGAGATAAGAGTGGTGCCCCTCGAAGATTCAGATCTATGTCCAAGGGCGGTCACACTCTTTCAGGACCAGTTGTCTGGCCTGACCAGAGAAGCCTGGTCAGTCACTTACCGTGTCCACAGACTTGATCTGTGGCTGTCATGCCTATGAGGCCCCTAAGAAGGGAAGGAGAGGGCATCTACGGAGCGCAACTTTGACATGCGGCCTTGCGAAAGTATGCGAGACTTCTCGTGCCACAGTCAAGAGACAAGTTGAGCAAGCGTTCGAGGCCAGCGCCACTTTGAACATCGCTGACACAGGCAAAACTCCCTATGCAGTCAGGTTAGTCTGATGTCATAGTGGATATATAAGTCGTCGCAGTAGCCAGAAATAATTGCAGGTGCCAGAGCTAGTTGTCCTTGGAAACTGCGGAGCTTCTCCTTGGCTCATGATTCTTTTCGTTGGGCAAGCCGGAGTCGTCGGTCAAGAGCCTGGGGCAGGGAACCGCCCTTGATTCAATAGACGGATAGGTAATTTGTGATCAATGTGTGCCGTACGCGTAGAGGTGTGAGTGCCAGCCTCATGATATGGAGTGCAATATGCTTTGCTTAGCATGACACGACATTGGTGAGGCCGAGAATCAAACGCGCTGTGGTCGCGTCTCAGTCCAGCTCACCTACTACCGCGATGAGGGACGCCAACAGGGGACAGTGCACCCACACACCCTGCTTACCTAACCCATTGCCAGCTATCGCCTATCGGCTAGCTACTCAAAGGAGCTTTTTTCGAGGGGTCCAGAGCCTGGAAGTAAACAGGCAGTGCCAAAGTCGGTCTTTACTTTAGATTCGGCATCTCGAACTCTTGCGACACTCGACAACCCCGGCCCCGCGTCGCACACCTGAATTCCGGCCGATCACCCCCAGAGAACAGCCAAGATGCAGGCTCCAGTCGTGGTTATGAGTACGTTGGCCCCGCCACGAGGCTCACAAGGAGCTACACAGATCGAGACAGCGGACAGAGACTGATGCCATGGCGCTTTTGCAGACACCGGCACCGGTGAGAGGCAGACCGGAAGGCAGGCCCAGCTGTCCAACATCCATGCCGCTAAGACGTGAGCAGCATCATATCCCATCCCATCTTGCCCCTTTCTTCCCTTATGGACAAAGCGTCAGAGACACAGCTTGTTGACCGCCTCCTGTGCAGCGTCGCCGACATTATTCGATCATGTCTCGGCCCCAAGGCCATGCTGAAGATGCTCCTGGATCCTATGGGAGGTATCGTGCTCACAAATGACGGTCATGCCATCCTGCGAGAGATCGAGGTGTCGCACCCAGCAGCCAAGAGCATGATCGAGCTCAGCCGGACCCAGGACGAGGAGGTTGGGGATGGAACTACGACTGTCATCATTCTCGGTGAGCTCGAGCTACTCCATTTCATAGGTACAGAAGGGCATTAGGGACGACGCTGACCCCCTGCAAAGCTGGTGAAATACTGGCACAGGCAATGCCCCAACTCGAGCGGAACATCCACCCGGTCGTCATCATCTCCGCCTTCAAGCGCGCCCTGTCCGACGCCCTCCAGATCATCGAAGAGATCTCCCTACCGATTGATATCAACGACGACAAGGCCATGTACGGCCTCATCTCCTCATCCATCGGCACCAAGTTCGTCTCGAGGTGGTCAGAGCTCATGTGCGGCCTTGCCCTGCAGGCCGTGCGGACAGTGTCGTGGGAGGTTGGTACCGGCAAGACGGAGGTTGACACCAAGAGATATGCCCGTGTGGAAAAGGTGCCCGGCGGAGAGATCGAGGACAGCAAGGTTCTGGACGGTGTTATGCTCAACAAGGACATCACACACCCAAAGATGCGGAGGAAGATCGAGAACCCAAGAATCGTCCTGCTCGATTGCCCCTTGGAGTACAAGAAGGGCGAGTCGCAGACACAGATCGAGATCTCCAAGGAGGAGGACTGGGAGCACGTACTGCGGATCGAAGAGGAGCAGGTCAAGGCCATGTGCGACGCCATTCTGGCTGTCAAGCCCGATCTCGTTATCACCGAGAAGGGAGTATCAGGTGAGTGCCGATACACTCCGACGAGTTCTAACGTATGGGTAATTACTGACAATATGTTGCCAGACCTGGCACAGCACTACTTTGTGAAGGCAAACATCACTGCACTGCGTCGCGTGCGAAAGACGGACAACAACAGAATCGCACGTGCTACGGGCGCCACCATTGTCAACCGCGTGGAAGACCTGCAAGAGTCTGATGTCGGCACCAAGTGTGGCCTCTTTGAGATCGAGAAGATTGGCGACGAGTACTTCTCCTTCCTCACCAAGTGCAAGGACCCCAAGGCCTGCACCGTCCTTCTCCGCGGACCGTCCAAGGACGTTCTCAACGAGGTTGAGCGAAACCTCCAGGACGCCATGGGCGTGGCGCGCAACGTAATGTTCCACCCTCGCCTGTCACCGGGTGGTGGTGCGACCGAGATGGCCGTCTCTGTCAGGCTGAGCCAGAAGGCGAAGAGCATCGAGGGCGTGCAACAGTGGCCGTACAAGGCCGTGGCCGATGCGCTGGAGGTCATCCCCCGGACCCTGGTCCAGAACGCGGGCGCAAGCCCCGTGCGCGTGCTGACGGATCTCCGGGCCAAGCATGCCGAGGGCAAGAGCTCGTGGGGCATCAACGGCGACACCGGCGCGCTGGCCGACATGAAGGAGTACGGTGTGTGGGAGCCACAGGCTATCAAGCTGCAGAGTCTCAAGACGGCGATTGAGGTATGTATTGCATGGCGACCTGAGAAGAGCTACCCGCTATCCCTTCCTCCCACCCTCACCAAAATCCTTGGCCAAGCTGACATGTTTTATTCACAGGCTGCCTGCCTCCTGCTGCGTGTCGACGACATCTGCTCTGCCAAGAAGGCGCCACAAGGTGTCGGTACCGGCGGGGGCGATGACTGAGCTTGCTGAGGAGGAAATGTGAGATTAGACCTGGTGCGCATTATAGTGAGGTGGAGATTGATGTATCGGCAAAATCATACCCTGTGTATTAAACCCCCATAGACGTTGGTCCAGGTAGGGGAAAAGACATAATCGCAAGCACTCCGGGCGGCTCGAATGCCTGTCTCTCCTGTATGGACTGTGAACTGTGATGTGCTGCTGCCTGCATAATGCGTGATTGCTACGACCGTTTCTTTCGGCGCTGCCGCTCAATCGTCGTCGTGTATGACCAGACCAGGAGCGCTCGATGCGGCAGCCGCGGTGGAGTCGGCGGCATTAGAATCCGCGTTGCTGGTGCCGTTCTCCGGCTTGCCGTCCCCGTCCTGGTCCTGGTCCTGGCCCTGCTTGTTTGCGCCGTCCTGCCTTGGCTTGAGGCCACCACCGCCGCCAGCAGCAGCAGAGCCGTTCTTGTGGGCGGCGGCCTTGGCCCTCTCCTTCCTGGCCTTCATCTTGTCCCTCTTCTCACGGTTCCGGCGCGTCTTCTCGTCGTCCCTGCGCTCGGCCTCGGTCTTCTTCTCGGCGAACTCGCGGGCCTCGGCCTCGCGGCGCACCTCGTCGTCCATGACGCGCAGCCGCTCGTACTCGCGCCTGCGGGCGGCCTTGTAGACGTGGAACTCGCCGGACCCGGCGCCGGCCGAGGACCCCTGGACGTTGGTGACGATCTCGGGCGGCAGGGGCAGGCGGCGGGCCGGGTCCTGGGGCCCCGAGGGGGGCACGCGGATCTCCTGGTCGGGCCTGGCGAAGAGCGCTTCCAGCTGGCTGGCCTGGGCCGAGGCCGGGCTGAGGGCGCGCTTCTTGACGGGCCGCTTGGAGCGGGGGTCCGCGGAGGTGGGCATCGAATCCGGGCCTGTGCCTGACATGGTTGCGGGTGTGGGAAGGGGGGGTGGGTGTTGTTGTTGGTGGTGGTGGTTGTCGATGTGGATGTGGGTGTGGGTGTGGTCAGCAGCCTTGGTCTGTGGGGGGTTGGTCCATGCAGAGCTGGCTTGCGATGCAATGCAATGCGATGCGCTGCGATGCGCTGGTTTGCGGCGAGTGCGATGTATCTTGTCGTGGTAGGCTAGCTCGACGTGTGAACAGGTGACAACGAAAGCAGATAGACTACCAACGTTGGATGGGCCGTAGTGAGAATCTGGGAGCCGCTGCGGCGGAAATTGAGCGAGCGCCCCGGCCCGCGCCTGGGAAGCTTACCGCCCGCTGATACGGGGTGGTAGAGCTGGCGATAACAAGTACCTGTGTACCCACCCAGCAATTTACCAGCGCCTCGAGATGAAAACGCACAACCTGGGACTTGGTCAGTCTACGGGTGCATGTGATGCATCTAAACCCAACGTCACATTCAGATATTTGGGTTGAGGCACATAGGTACGGGCAGGTCAGTAGATAAGCTATATGTTTGTAGACTGCTGTACGTACATTATCTGTCCTGGTGTCATGCTGGCCCAACGGCGGATGAACCAGCCATATGCCGTGAGTTCATTTGTCTGCCCACAAACTGCCACATCGGTCTGGATCTGCACATGCATGCATGCGTGCGTGCGTGCGTGCGTGCGTGTGTTGGCGCTTATGAGGGCGAGGGCGAGAGATAGCCGCGCACTCTGGCCCCCGCATCTACCGCATCTGCCGCCCGTGTACCTTGTTGCTCCTCCTCTCTCGTTCCCTTCTCCCTCTCTCTTCCTGTCTGCATGTGGCCGTCACTTGACTGGCAGGGACTGCTCAAGCGCAGAAATATGACATCCCTCGCCGACAGCTGACGTTGACATGGACATGGGCATGGACATGGGGGCCAGACTCGACTGCCCAGCCTGAAAACGAAACGGGGATTGAAACAAAGAAGAGGGTGAGGGGGGGGGTGGCGGGGGTGGGGGGGCGAGGGGTGGGTGGATCGATAGCCTAACCGATTTGCCGGCTCCTTTCAGCCTTCAGCCTTATGTTAGCGAGGTTATTAAGTATGATGCCGCCCGAAATGATGCGATCCGCTGCTCCGGACTTCGGCGATCACGGCAGGGACCATCGGGCCCATGACACGATCAGGGACCAACGACCGAACGAACGAACGGTCGGGCGGGCTGGCCACGGACGGTCAGTATCCTTTTCCTCGTGCGTCTTGGCCTCGACCGTCGACGGGGCAGTCCGCACGACCTTACGATGTAGATAAGTATCTATGTATGTATGCACTGCGCCATCTCTCCAATCTCCAATGCCCAGAGTGTGAAGTGACTAATAACTATACGTAGTCTTTCGCAGACTAGTCCGTCGCCAACAATAAAGTTGGAAATCGAAACCTGGCCAGGGGCAACTCCGGACGGCGGCAAACGGGCAAGCACCCCCTTACCTCTGCCCCCCGGCCTGCGCTACCCACTCCCGCATGACAAGCAACCCAGAGTCGCACCAGGCCAGAATGAACCATGCTGTAGACTACAGTACCTAGGTACCGGAGTGGTACAGGCTGCTCCGCTGATGCTTGCTAATCTGTGCTGCCCTGTCGCACATTATTCGCCTCTTCTGGTCCCTCAGCAGCGCACCAACTTGCATTCTGCACTCTGCACTCCACACTCCGCATCTGCAACACTTCCTCCTCCTCGTGTCGGCCACTGCTGCTGCAGCATTGTCTCTTGTATCTGTCTCTGTCTCTGTCTCTGTCTCTGTCTCTGTCTCGACCGTCTCTTGTCTCTCGCCCTCAGGCCATCACCACCGCTAGCAGCAGGACGATCCCGTCCCAGACCACGCCATCCACCCGTTCAACGGACCAGCTCAGTCGTCTCTGTCATCCCATCAATAGACTTCGTCCCCCACAGACAGCACCTGCCACCATCACGTCTCGTCCGTCCCAACACTTTTCTCTGCCCAAACAGAACCGACCTTGGGCTTGTATAGACTCGACCGGATGGCTCCTGTCCGTCCGCAGCGCAAAGGGGTACACATTCCACACAAACCAACCGTTGAACCTACTGCTCCTCTCACCCGCTAGCCCAACCATCCATCCGCCTGTCTCTGCACTGTGCACACATATGATATTTGCCAGCCAACCCTTTGTCCACAACGCTCCTTCCCCCACACTCTCTTGGCCTTGCCTACCTCGCCTGCCTTGCCATCGCACTCACTTCCTTTGTCTCAAAATAGCTGCACAGATCGTCGCCTCTTGCCCCTGGCCAATATACACCTCTCTCCTGCGCTCCACCTGACACCCAGCCATTTATTTGCTACCAGTCTGCAATTTTTCTTTGCCCTATATCCTCGCCCCGTACATATATATCTGCCTTGTCTTGTCTTGTCTTGCCTCGCCTCGCCTGTACACTACTTGGCCGCTCTTTCCAGGCTAGGCAAGCAAGCTGACCATGGCGAAGCCTCGGCTCATCATCCTTATCAGGCATGCCCAGTCCGAAGGGAATAGTAAGTCGGAGATCTGGACCCCTAATTACCTGCCCTGGCCCACAACCACAGGTCGCTGACGTAGCCTTGCGCCCCCTGCAGAGAACCGCGAAATCCACCAGACGATTCCTGACCACCGCGTCAAGTTGACCCAAGATGGCTGGCAACAAGCCTACGATGCAGGCAGGCGCCTGCGCAAGATGCTCCGCGCCGACGACACGCTGCACTTCTTCACCTCACCCTATCGCCGCACAAGGGAGACCACCGAGGGGATCCTGGCGACGCTGACCTCGGACGAGGCCGAGCCCTCGCCATTCAAGCGGAACAACATCAAGGTCTACGAAGAGCCTCGGCTTCGCGAGCAGGACTTTGGAAACTTCCAGCCATGCTCCGCCGAGATGGAGAGGATGTGGCAGGAGCGCGCCGACTATGGGCACTTCTTCTACAGGATACCAAACGGCGAGAGCGCGGCGGATGCCTATGACCGTATCAGCGGCTTCAACGAGAGTCTCTGGAGGCAGTTTGGCGAGGACGACTTTGCCAGCGTGTGTGTTCTAGGTATGTCCACCTTCCTACTCACATATGCAGCCAGCACTGGTACCTTGAGAACGAGACTGACCAAAAAAACTTAACAGTTACTCATGGTTTGATGTCACGCGTCTTCCTGATGAAATGGTACCACTTCAGCGTCGAGTACTTTGAAGATCTGCGAAATATCAACCACTGCGAACTCCTCATCATGAACAAGCAGGATAGTGGCAAGTACGTGCTGGAGAACAACCTACGGACATGGTCCGAGCTGCGCAAAGAAAGGGCGCTGAAGAAAGGAAAGGAGAAGGAGAAGGAGAAGTCCGACACTGGCACCCCAGGCAGCAAGGACACGTCCAAGCTCGACAAGGCCCTGTCCGCAGACTCGCCGGTGAAACCGCCTCGGAGATGGGGCGGCTGTCCCAACGGCTGCTCTCACGACAAGTCATTCCGGCTGCGCTCCGCCCTCGCTGAGCTGGTGCATCGTGATGGAACCTCTGTACATCCTAACCTCTCCGCCGCCCCGTCGCCGGTGACGACAACTGTCAGTGCCAGTTCTTCCCTGGCTGCTCTCGGCTTTGCCACACCCCCAACCACCAACGGTACATCCACGCCATCTTCCAATCTCGGCACCCGACGCCCAGCAGCAAGGCGCTTCCAGTCCGAAGACGACTCATCCTCTTCCGACGTTGAGGGCGAGCGTAACCGCACTCCGCAAATAGACGTGGCCAAGGCCCGCGAGGAGACCGTCTCTAGCCCAGACGGGACGCCGAGCTTCATCTCCGTGGACGACCGCCTCCGCGCCCAGGACATGAAGAGCCCGCCGGCCAACGGCAAGACGCCCCTGGCTATCTTACCGCTTCTGTCCGCGAGAGGACGAGACTTTGGTGGCACGCACAGCGGTCAAAGCAGCGACGTGGACTCGTCAGAGGACGACCGGGCCAGGCAGCGCAAACAGAGCAGCCTAGGGCTGAAGGTTGTCACGTCACGCGTCGCCGAGATGAGCCTTAATGCCGACGGGGACAGCGCGCCCGGCAGTGGCAAGCGGGACCAGTCGGGCATGGGACGTGGGACAATGGCCAACAGGCTAGGCGACTCGCCTGTGAGCAGCAGCTCAGGATGCTGCGAGGAGCATCATCACCAGCTGGGCGAGCACAACAATGAGAACGAACATGCGGACGACGAGAGAGAAAAGGGAAATGGTGACGAGGATGACGCGGATGAAATATCCGACGCCGAAATTGACACAGCTGAGAGGGAGGATCGCTCAATCAAGGGGAGCGTTTACTAGATTTTACGTGTTGCTGTTTAAATTGGCTCCCCTTGTCTATATATCTCTACGTCAATTGGGCAACGGTGCGTCTACGAAAAGGATTTTCTTTTGGAGACTCGGCGTTTCGGGCTGGGGATGGACAGTTTGCATATTCGCGGAGGAGATACCACCATCGCCGCCAGATTGATAAGCACGCGTTGACAGAACATGCATAGACGTCGGGCATTACGAGTAGAATGAGAACCAAGTACAATATGAAGTTATGAACACTTGAGATCATGTCATTTCTGATAAACAGTCCCTGGCGAGAACCGGAAGAGATGCGCGTTGTCTGATAGGTGTGCGAGCCTATTCCATGGAGCCTTTCGTCTCTGGCCAGGAGCGACGGCCTCGCAATCGACGAGGCAAACTCATGCTTGCTTCTAGCAGGCCACTTGCCCTGCAATTGACCATCAGACAAATCCCTCCCGGGAAGGGCGTCTTCACGTCGTCACATATATCAGAGGGCTGCTAGGCAGCATGCCGTTTTAATGTACTGCGACAATATTATGTTCTGATTCATTTACCACGAATGCGGAAGATGCCTAACAAGTGCAAGACACCAATGGCGCGGAGGGGAATAAGACAACCAAAGATCATTAATTTTCTTCTCCCATCGCCGATGACCCCCTTCCCCCACGCCCGAACCATCTGTGCCTCCTTCAGCCCAATACCCCGCCCTCCTGTAACTCCGAAATGATTTCCCATCGAGAATTCTTTAAAGATTCGATAAGCGCTGGGGAAACCGAAATGGCCGCCAGTCTTACCAGCTTGCGCCCAAACTCAACGAGAACTATCAATAATGCCTGCCATTTTGGTGCCCGGTGACGAGACAGTCATACCTGCAGTCTAGCGCCAGCAGTACCAGTAGCAGGATGAAGAACGATGCTAGACCAGCCTAGGGACAGTGACCAAGAAGTAGTAATGAGATCCCGTGATGAAAGGCGACCGTAGGCTTCCCGAAACGTCCTCGTAAGCCCACACATACACGTACATGGAAACGCTTGGGGCATGTTTAACTTGACTGCCAACGACGTGCCCATCATCCTTTGCTCATGTTGCTTGTGCGCCCAATGATCACATGTCTCTCCCATCTTCAGCATCGTCTGCTCGCCTGGTACCTGGGTTGGTAAATTTTGGAAGAGAAAATGATATTTCGTGTGAATTGGTATCAGGGGAGTTTATACAAAAAGAATATGAAATGAAAAATGCTGACTCGCTGCGTAAACCCTTTGGCCACAAGCGTATGATGCTCTCTGGTAGATAGAACTACCTCAATGGTAACGCCAGTAGTATGCAAGCGACATCTATTCGTTTATTGTGTCTTTCTCAGCGGTGCTTCTGCCAAGTTCGACGGAGCCTGGCATTTCAACTGAGGTTCAGGCTCAAAAGAACTTTGACAACGCTGTTGACAAGTCGATGAAGTCCACTGGTTTCGTGACGTAGTCACTGAAGCCTGCCTCGACGCACTTCTCCTGCACGTCTGACATGACGTTCGCAGAGAGTGCAATGATGGGCATATGGCCATGCTTGTTCTTGGCTTCCCAGACTCTGATTTCGCGACACGCCTGGTAGCCGTCCTTCCGGGGCATGTGAAGATCGCACTGGCCTGCTGTCAATATCCCGCGGAGCCACAACATGAGCCAGGGGTTTTGGTACTAACCAGTATCAAGGAGTAGAAGCCATGATCATGGCCGAAAACCTTGTTTGTGCACTCCTCGCCGTCTGCAGCTAATTCAACCTCCAACCCAACCTTGATCAGGTACTTCTTGAGGACCTTTTGGTTCACGGGGTTGTCTTCAACAAGTAGCACCTTGTAGCCCTTGTTTCCCATTCGCTTTTCAACCTCCTGGTAGCTCTTCTTCTGCGTCTCGACTATCTGCTGGGCGGTGGACCGATTACGGTCCACGCTCATATCTCCCTCCTTGGCCGGATCGAAAACGACAGCCAGGCGTGATGGTTTCACCGGCTTGTAGACATAGGTGACTCTGCTATCCGAGATCACCTCCGCGAGATTCTTGTCCTCGACGAGCTTCGTCAGAGCTTGTCGCTGGAGGGAGTCAGACAACAAGACGACTTTTGTCTTGGTGAGCAATGTCGAACTGCTGATCTCGCTCATCAATGATAGGACCTCTTCGGAAGACGCAAGGTTGATGAGTATGTGTGTGAAGATGACCGGGTCGTCGCGACTGATCAGTTGCTTGGCTTCTTGGGCACTCGCAAGTGCGGTGATCTGATGAGGCACATCCTTCGGCAAAGTCATCTCGATGTGCTGCGTGGTGGCCTCACGGCTGTACTTTTGAGGGCAGATCACCAGAATTGAAAACATCGGCGGGCGGAACTCTTTGGCAGCCACGACCTTGCCCGGATTTTCGGGAGTTGGCGTTTGCCCGGGTGAAGTTCGCCCTGATGGCATCTCCAACTTCATCTGGGTTAGATCCTGCCCACTGGCCCTAGCAGCCTCGCTGAACCGGGCCAGACCGACATTCACGGACGAGATTGACGATCTTCCCGTAACACGCGTTCCGGTCGATGTCACGGACGGGTTCGAGCTTCCACTGGATGCGACGGCCGGGGAGGATTCCTGCTCGGCATGACTTGGGCTAGCAGCCGTGGAAGAGCGATGCTTTGTGATGGTGAACTGCCGGAATGGTTGAGTGGGGATATCCTCAAGGACGGCAGGAGTATGTGGTAGCTGTGGGCTGGTGGGTACGTCGGGGTGGTCATCCGCCGTCGGCAAGCTAAACTTGGCCGTGAATGTGAAGGTCGCACCCCGTCCCGGCACAGCTGTGCCGTCCATCTTTCCGCCGTGAAGTTCCACAAGCTGTCGTGAGATGACGAGCCCAAGACCGCTGCCGCCATGGGCTCTTGTACTGCTGCCGTCAATCTGACTGAACGGTTTGAAGATGAGCTTCGATTCCTCTTCTGTAAAGCCCCTTCCGGTGTCGATCACTGCAAATTCGAGCATGACCTGCCGTTCACCGAGCCCTGACGCATCAGTCCTGACTCTACATCGGCTGAAAACCTCACCAGTGTCGGTAAACTTGATTGCGTTGCCAATCACATTCAGAAGCACTTGTCTGATTCTCACTCTGTCGCCCTTGACCCACGTCGGAACATCCTCTTCGACAATGTAGTTCAGCTCCAGTCTCCTAGCAATAGCCATGGCCGAGACCAGCTCATTCACGTCTTCGATCAGAGCACGCGTATGGAACCACTCGTGGTTGAGCTTCATCATGCCGGCGTCTACCTTTGAAAGATCAAGGATGTCGTTGATGATCATCAGCAGACTGTTCGCGCTGGTTTGAATGGTGTTTGTGTAGTCTCGCTGCTCCTCGTTCAAAGTGGTGTCCTGGAGGAAGCTGACCATGCCCGAGATCCCAATCAGTGGTGTTCTGATTTCGTGCGACATGTTGCTCAAGAAGCGGCTCTTTGATTCCATGGCCTCCTTCAGCTTCGCCTCAAGCAGCTTGTGGTCATTGATGTCTGTTGCCGACCCAAAGTAAGAAGAACTACTACCATTCCCAATGTTGTCAATCTCGACACAGCGTACGAGGTGCCATCGATATTCACCAGTCTTTGTACGAAGCCGGATTTCGGTCGAGTATGACAACCTGCCGTTGCTATCCGTTCCCACCTTGACGACGCCATCCTTGGCCAGCTCGGTCAAATTTGCAGAAGGGAGTTCATAGACCGAGTCGCTGCTTGAGCTATTCTGTCGAGAAAGCGGGTGGTGCACACCCCGTATGTTGCTCTCAACATGGGTCGTGTTCTTTGGGGTTGAATGCTCGGATGGCTTGTTGTCCTTGTGCCCCTCTTGGCTTCTCTTGCCCATCCTGGCCCGACCGAGCGGTGGTGTTCCAGAATGCTGGCCTGAGGGTATCCGACATTTGGCCAGATCGTCAGGGTGCACGTAGTCCATGAATCCTAGGCCCAGAGCATCGCCTTCGCTCTGCCCAGTGTAAGCGAGCCACTGCTCATTGGCAAAAGTTATTCCCTCATCCTCGGTGGCGGTGAAAATGATTTGTGGGATCAGGTTCGCGAGGAATCTGTATTTGGCTTCTGAGGCCTCGATTTCCTGCTGCCGGACAACCTTGAGCTCCGCCATGGTCTGTTCATGGATGTCCGTGTATGAACCCAGATGGTAGACGATTTCGTTGCGCTTGTTCTTGCACGCAACAACCCTTGCCGAGAAACATCGAAAAGCCCCATCAAACCGGCGAATCCGCACATTCATCTGGAAGTCCGTACTCGTCTTTACTGCACGACCCCAAGCTTTGAGATAGGTCTCACGATCATCCGGATGAAAACTTGCATGGGGATCTGCGTGAAGCTCTGCCAGAGACTGCCCACGGTAGGCAAGATAACGACTGTTCACCCAGACAATCTCGCCAGTCCTTGGCAGAGTCACAAAGAGCTGCGCTGGTATGGAATCTAGGATAAGGTCCTTCAGCTTGTCCGTAGGCAAAGCCATCTCAGAGGTATTTGTGGGCATGGTGTCGGCTCGAGATGGTGTACCCCTTATGGGAATGGTCGAGCCCGGAGGCAATGATTGAAAGGTTGTAGCAAAGTCTCCCCCATAAGAATGGAGCTTGACATGGCGATGAGGGGTCTGAAATGACGCCCTGGTTCCCTTGGTCTCGACTGGTTTGTCTTCTTTGCTTTCTGATGGTGCTTCCTTCCCCGTCACACGCTTCGTGGAGGCTGCTTGGGCGGTGTCCTCTGGTGCCTTGATCGCAGGTTCTGCAGGTATGTCATCCTCGTTGACATCGGGGCTGAAATGACCAGACTCCGTTGACATTCCACCAGATAATCGTAAGGAGGAGCGCTTCTCTGACGTCGTGCTGCTCCTGGAATTGCGTCTGACCCGCTGTTGTATAGCAGAGGAAAATTCGGACTTGCTGTTCGCTTTGGACTTGGTTGTGAAGTAGCTGTCACCGCCCACAGGCGCGGGGCTTGAGACCGGAGGTCGTTTATCCATCATGGTCCCAAAGCCAGCGGACTCCCAGCCTGGTGTGCCCCCAGGAGTGCCCGTCACGCTTCGTGACTGCGTAGAGTACTCACTCGGGCTTGTCATGCTTCCAGCCAACGAGTTGTCTGCAGCCTCCTCAGGGGCTGCGTAGTTAATGATTGCTGGATCTGTAATCGGTCGGCCCTCGGGATCCACGGCGCCGAATCCAGCGACTCTTGGCCTCCGGTGATGCATTCTACTGACTTCGGCTTCCAGATTGCTATAATGGCGGCACAGCGCAAATGAGGTTGCGAGATGCGGTGACAGATGCTCTAGCGAGTAGCGAAGATTGGACGGGTAGGGGATGGTGGGGCTGAGTATGGACAGGATGGCCACGGGGGTTTGCTTCTCTTTCCGGAATGCGTCCGGGTCGATTTGCTTCTCAGCATCTGGAGCGTTCTCCTTCCCGCGACGTGACGACCTTTGCTCCATGAGCGTAGTGTCCAGTTTGAACCCGCTGGATGGCTTCGAGAGGAGTGGGTGTCTCAAGGGAATATGCAGAACAGTCCAAGCATTGTCTACCCCGATGGCCTCTTGTGGCCCTATTGCAGCGTAGTCTGGAGTCCCCTGAGTGGGATCGAAAGATGATTCGTCGACTATGGCCTCGGTGAAGAAAGGATTATCCTTCGGATCAGCTCGGATTGCAGGCGAGGGAGCCGGCGACTGTGACCAGGGAGATGGGGGTGCTTGCTCATACTCCTCATACTTCGGAGTCGGTGGTCGTCTAGGCTCTCCTTCAGAAATCATCTTGTCAATATTTTGCGTAGCCCTCCTTTCATTAGGGTGACTCCTTATGGGATGGGCTGAGCTCAGGATGTTAGACAACTTCGTGGAAGAGTCGTGCCGTATCCACCTGCCCTTTTTTCTGAGGCCGTCCGGCGAGTGAGGACGACCAGGTGCCTTGGTGTCCGTGGCTTTGGTCTGGGACACATCCTCGAGGTATGGGTAGCTTCGTGTCAGGGCAATCACGCGCCCTCGCTCCAGCACTTTTGTCACGCCGTGGTGGTCGATCAGCGGATCCGCCTCGTAGTCTAAGGCTTGCAGCAGTTCAAAAACTCTCCCTTGTGTCTCCCTCTCCGGCGCAGGCGCATCCCATACACCAGCCAGTTCTGGTGCTCCTGCATCGTGCTCTTCCAAGGCTCGTTGGTTCAATCCCGTGTGCGGTGTCGGAGTCTCAGGATACGTACTCCTGCTGCGGGCCAAAACGCCCGGTCTTTTGAACAAAGGTCGCGGCTTGGCTGATGACGTATCCTTTTGTTTCTCTTCTTCAAACGCCGTAAAAGAGTGGCGAGTATGAATGTGGGGGCGTGATGGGGCCTGCAGCCGTAGGGTGTCCTCATCCATCGATGACACAATCTCAGAGACGTCACCTATGCTGCTGGGTACGAGACTACTACCCCTGGCCATGTATTCCATGCTCAAACTATCTTCTGGCCGTGCGTTGTAGGTTGCTTTCTGGCCCCACGGAACGTTTTCCAGGTCAGTTGAGTCAGCGGGTACGGACAATGTCAGCCTCTCAGCCTTGAAGCAAACGGTCATGATGTGCACAACAGTCTTCCACCAGGCCTCCAGCCCCGGTTCGGCCGACATCATCAACGACAAGTCGTAAAGATTCGGGGTGGGAAAGTCCGGGTCATCACCTGCGTGGGCCGCACCAGTGGGCTGGAATGTTATCGTAGATGCAGGCGTTGATGGGTTGGACAAGATCTTATCCTGCGGTCGAGAGGCGCCATGGCCGGGAGTTCCCGCAGCCGACATGGAAGACAATTCGTACGCCGCTCCGGTCGGTGATAACGTCGTGAAAGGCCTATGCAAAGACGAAGGGACGTATCCGGGGTTGCTGGCCATCCGGGGGAACGGGTATGACGGTGTCTTGGCGACGAAGCCGGGGGTGACCACCCCTGATTGTTTGGTTAGATTCTGTCGAGGCATTAGTTGACGTGGTAGACGGCCCAGACGAGGTTACCGGGCTGGGTGTGTTTGTCGCAGCGGCAGCGGCGTCCTCGAGGATAGGCGAGACTCTGTTTGGCTGTTGGGCCGGTGCTTGGGCCCTGCTTTGCGCCGAGACCTTGCCGCTGAATCTCCCTGGCCAGCTTCTCGCGATACTGGCTGAGCTGGCTGGCAGAGTCCATGGAGGACCTGGGGGAGTTAGACTCCAGCGGGCTCGCTCCATCATCACCACTGCTGCGTGCAGTCTCGGGCGTACTGCTCGACTGGTCCCGAGCATGGGATGCAAGCCCCCCGACCGACTTCCCGCTGCCACCAGGGGAGCTCGAGGCGCTCCTGCTGAAGGCCAGAATCCTCGGGTCTTGCAGAGGCTGCTTGCCCTCTCCTGCGGCTTTTGGGCGATCTGACATCACGGCTCGCTCATTTCCCTGCGACGTCGGCGACGCATCTGAGTGTCCAGGCTGTTTCTCCTGCGGCTCGGGTGAAGGTGCCGGCGGAAGTTTGGGTGAGTGGCGCGTGTCGAACAGGTTCTCCCGGTCCTCAGCGCTTGGAATCGACCTTGGCATGCCTCATAGGTGCTGTTCCATTGGAAGGGCGTCGGGGACAGTCTGAAGTAGTGGGCGCGGCAGTCTGGTCGTCGCAATTGGGTGGTCGTGGTCGCTCTACAGCATGTACGTAGAGGTCGTTGGCACAAGGCGGAAGGAGAAGGGGCGGCGCACGTCGGATTTGCACCTGGCAAAACTGGGCAACACAAGTCGCGAGGATGAGCAGGTGGGAGTAGTAGAAGTCAAGAAAAGGGTTTAGAGGCAAGTCAGGACAGAAGGCGAGGTGAGGCAAGGCCAAGGCAGGGCAAGGCAAAGACAATAGGCAAGTCAAGTCAGAGGCAGCTGACGACGGCGGCAAAGGTGGGATTTGAGTCTGGCTTTGTTGGTTTCCTGGAGGCAGGCGAGGTACGAACGAACGAAGACCAAACGAGGTAAGGCAGGCAGGTAGACAGACAGGTAGTAGGCCGGGCCTGCAATGCAGCAATTGCAGCTGGAAGGCGGGAAGCACGTCCAGGGTCGGCCTGACTGAATTGAACGGGACGGGCAACAGCCAGTGCGGGTGGTTTTGGGTGCGGTCGGTATGACGTAGGTGTGCGGCTGTTCTGTTAAAAATAAAAGAGGGAAAGGGCAGCACGGAGCAAGGCTAGGGCAGCACGGGCGGCTGGAGGAGGCAGCCGCCACTCGACTTGGACTCCAAGGACCACCAGGGCCGTCAGTGTGCCGGGCGAGTAGTGCTGCTGCTGCTGCTGTCGCTTGGGCGATGCGGCTTTCGTTTGGTGTACGGATACACTGGACCCGTTTGGCAAGACAGACGCGGTCCAGGCTGCTAAGGAAATCACCACGGCGCCTATTGTTATTTACCTAGGTACTACAAGGTTGGCACAGCATTACCGTAATGTGATGCCTGGCCCGGGCGGGATGCTATTCGAATTTGGGACAACAAATCCCCAAGGCCAACCACGGTAACAGTGTCAGGGCAAGCTAGTCCACAGTACCTAGGTAGGTCGCCAGGTGCTGGCGCTGGTGCTGGTGCTGGAGGTTTTTCGCGGCTGTGGGTCCATGCCGCCCTGTCCAGGTTTCTGAGGCTTCCCTTCCCTGTTTCGCCTACGCACGCTACTCCCTACTACCCAGTAGCGACTCTTTTCCTGGGCGCTCGTCGAGGCCTTCACCCACTACTACACATGTAGACAGTCGAGATTTGTCACAGGGCGGCCATGTCTCCCGTGTGGGCACCTTTCGTCTCAACTGAGCTTCTGTCTCGGAGCTTGCAGACAGCTCCTGCACAGAGCAGGTGCCGGCATTCAGGCCACAGGGTTAGGAGTCTTCAGGAAAAGTCTCTGTCCTTACTCTTATCGATGGTCCCAAAAGCTACAGGAGGATCGTCGAAAGCAACCCCAAGAATCATGGGGAACCCGACTACACGTGTACGTACTCTATGTACCTCCAGCATTTGCTAGTACCGGCAACCCGGCCACAATCAGCATCATGGTGTCACCGCCAGCCGTTGGGCTCGTCACGGTCACCTGCTCATGGCAAAGAACAAGCGTCGACGAGCCTCTTCATCTCCCGGATTGCTCAGGATTGTTCTCACGGCTGAGATTGTGGAATTCCACTAAGCTTCCGCAACTCCTCAAGATGTGTGTACGATGCCATAGCCAAGGACAAGGCCCAATGTCAAGGTCAAGGGGAGCACACGTGGGATCGACAAAGTTGGTTCAATCCATGGCTCTGCGAACATGATATCTACCACCTCGCAACCGCCAACAATCCATCCGTGTGCGGCGTGCCTGAAGGTCCCCGCGCAGGTAGGCGTACAGGCAGCCTCTCAAGCGCATTGAGCATCGGGATGACACTGACTCGCCGTTCCATCGAGATCAAGACCAAACATGGGCGTTGTGCTGACAGCCAACACCGCAATACGTGCACGACTTGATGATGGCAATGCCACACACGGGGAATGGCCAATGTAGGTTTTCAGTCTGTTCGTTGAACGTTTCGCGAGCAAACCATATTGCTGCTTGCAGCTGTCGATCCCAGGCCGAACCGCGAGGTGGTGGGTGCGCTGGGGAAGGACGGGAGGCAAGCAGGCGAGCAGGCGAGCAAGCAAGCGATGTTGGAAAAAAAGGGAGACAAGGGGCTGGGTTGTTGTCGCCGATGCTGTGGGACCGACGCCGTGGTTGCACCACGGGCGTCGACGCGAAGTACTGTGCCCTCTGGGCGCTGCGCGGTCAACGTGTGCTACAGTAGATACTGCGTCGTGCGTACCAGACTACCTAGGTAGACCATGTTAAAAAGGGGTCCCTGGCGGCAATCCCTGCCGAATATGGAGAAACTTCAGGGATGACGTAGGGTGGACGTCACTGGGATACACCCGGGCACAGTATTGGTTGGAGTATCTGTGCGTACCGGCAGGAGCAAGAAGACATGTAGCACGCGCACAAAAAACGTGTGCGCCTCACAGTGTCTGCGACGCAATTGCTCCCCCATGATGGACGTGCCTGGGTATGCGTCTACACTAGGCAACTTTCATTCATCCATACCCGCCTGATGAGAAAGCCCAGGTGGGTCCGAGTCAGCTCCGCAGCTGAACAGACGTCGGGACGGAGAGCCGCTCGAATGACAGAAATCCCATGCACGTGCCTCATCGCTCAAACTGTGGCGGCCGCTGCCACTGTGCTGTCGCTGCGCTGCGCTGCTGCTGCTGCTGCAGCCGCAGACGCGAGGAAGAGGCGAGGAGAGAGGCGGTGGATGGCCCTGCGCATGAAACACCCTACCCTGTCCAATGTCCCTCCACTGGCCAGGCGCTCACCAGAATCCCAAGGCTCGGCCGGGAATCCTGCCCTCGGCGGGGAGCCATTTTTCTTTCTGTGACAGCCTCGTTTCTCCACGGCCGTCTGCGAGAGCTTCGAAAGGCTCGAGCAGCCTTCCCGACAGACCGATCCTCCCGGCCCCACTGCGACACAGTTCCCTGTTTGCGCAAATGAGCGTGGTCTGACGTCTCGGCCTCTGTAACCCTCTGCCGCACGCACGCACTGCACGGCATCTTTCCTTTCGGCCAACTTCTGCCCCCACCAGGGGTTGTCTAGCCAGAAGAAGGCCTGCCTCACGGAACCGCTGCGGCTCCGGTGATTACCCTGGCCCCATGGCACTTGTCCGCCTTGCATTCCACTTCTCGCTTACACAGGCGTTAAAAAAAAAAAAAGGGAGACGGATGCTGGTGCAATCCTTTGAAGCATTGCATGGGGAGGTCAGGACGAGGTAAGCGGTGGGTAAGCAGGTCGCCCAGAGTGGGGACACGACGTTGCTCCGGATCACCCTCCGCGGCACATCGTCGTGATCCTACGCGATCTGGAGGGGCACATTTCTGATGTCCAAAGATCACGTCGGAGATGAACCCCTAAATCTTGCCCTAGCCCGCACCCCACCTGCCGCAACTGTGCCGATTTCTGTTCGAGAGGCCCGGCCACACAAATCGGAGACATGCCTCTCTTTCTGCTGTTGTGCCCGGGATCCAGCAGAATAATAAGGGCAACGGACAGGGCTCTGTCAGGGCTGTTAGCTTCACCGCAGCTTGAAATTTCTACGACCTCTCAGGATGGGGCACAACTCCCGCCTACGTCTAGTTTGATACGACAGTGTCAACAGATTTGCTCACCGAACAGGGCACTCATGGTCACAGGGGGGGGGTTGGAGAGCATCAGGCATATGCTCGTCATTCACTCTGACGACACCGCCAACGTCTCGCGAAAACTCGAGCAAACAGTCTCCTTCGCGTCGCTTTCCCCCTCGACCCGGAAGGGTGGTGCGTCGGAAACCCAATTGTAATCCTCGCTCGTGTGGTTTTCGTGTCTTTGAGGGAGGGTGGGACACATAAGAGTTGATGGTGTGCGAGACCAGCAGGGGCGATGACCGAATCCTACATCTCAGGCAATCATCATCAGGGGAGAAGTGCTCTAGTATAACCGTGCTATATCTCCACTGCCCTCCAAGCGGTGTGGGTGTATTCGCATAAACCATCCAAGGAGCCTCGCATGCACGTCAAAGGACTCAAGCCCTTGCGACTATCGGGTCGTCCTGCGCATCCCCACAAGGGACTCACTTGGCTATCGAACATTGGAGAACAGCAGCAGGGAAAGTTTCACGTCCGAGGTTATGTGCCTGGCGTTGTCTCCGGAGTGAGTCCCTGTGCCGTTCTCCAACAGGGTACCAAGATTTGTATATCCAACAATAACTGGGAACAAACCCTGGTCAACACCATTCGAGTCCTGGCAAACTTTCTATCCGTCGGGAATTCGGCGGACAGACCCTCGACAGGCCACCGGGAAACTCGGTGGCTCAGATGGGGGTATGGTGATCACAACCTGGCAGGAGGGGCGCCTTCAACTACGTGTAAATTGTCCAAAGCTCCCACCCATATGTCGAGGTACAGCGTCACCTCGACAGGTCCCCGCGGCCTAAAATGCCACAGCAGGTGCTGATCAGGACACACAGATCTATGGCGCTCGGACGGTGCGAGAAGGTTGGCGAGGAGCAAACGGCATTTGATGTGATGGTGATCGCCGGGCGGAGACAATCCAAACCCGTATGAAATCAACATGTCAAACCCTATCTATGGATGAGCTGGTAATTTTCTCTTGTTGCCAAGGACCACTCACTGGACGCCTCGCTCTGGCAAGTTGGGAGGACTCGTCTGAGCAATGAACATCTTCACCAGCCTCTGGATTTCACTCATCCCAATGGCATTGATATTGTGGGCATTTCGGCTCTCGCGTCTATCACCAGCCTTGTCAAAGCTGAGAAGTGAGGCCCAAACCAACAGGCACTGGCGACATTGAACCAGAAACGTATTAGCTTGACGGAGAGGTCAAAGGAGCTTCGATACATGGCCTCCATGCTCCCACCCATCTTGGTTTATTTCACCAGCCATCTGTACCTGGCAAATTAGTACCGGTCTTTGGTGCGCTGGACCAATTTACGTCGCAGAGATGTGACGAACAGTACTCCGAGCTGGTTCCGGGCACGCACCCAAGATACACCGAGGCAGGATCAAGGAAATAGATTAGTAATTGAAAGATAATATTTATCATGCAGTGAGTGAGTAAAGTTTCTCCCTGAAGCGATCACAGCAGCCAGTATGTGAGCACTGTGAGCCTTGGTATCGCTCAGGCTTGGGTATGCATAGAGGAATTCAAATACCCATGTCGATCAAAGACATGATTCATTGTGAGGATGTCCTCCTGGCGTGGATGGCTGGCCCCAAGGCAGCTCGCACGAACATTTCGCCGTTGTACATGATATGGGATGGTATCTTACCACATCTAGAGGTGGGTCCCCGGCATGGGTTCTCTTGAGATGTCTGTTCGAGCTGTGACACTCGTTTCTGGCTCGCTTCCGCCGTCTTCTCTTGTATACTTAATCTTTTACGCAACTTCACATACAGAAGACGGCAGGATGGAGCAAGATGTTGAAGAGGTGTGGCGGCAGTGGGATCGGCACGACTCATATCGAGTGCCAGAACTCCTCCGTAAATCCGCCTGGTTGGAGGAACACTGTTCTGAAGGGAAGTGTCACCTTCACCACCCCCCTCCCCTGGAGAAGATATGATTCAGACGTTGCCTCATATGTTTTACAACCCCCTCCCCGCCTCCTCCGTGGAAACCTCACTATATACACACAAGTTCCCGCTTACCTGATTCCATTATCTAGTTCATGCCGAAGGTGCTCCCAACTTCGTTATCCGGGGAGCTGGTGGGTGGGGGACCAGGTGGCGAATAGGAAATTTATTGCAAACGATGACAACACAGCTTGGCTGTCACGCTTCCTTCCTTAAATGACACGAGGCAAACGAATAACGGTGCAGGTATCCGGTCAATCGAGTCTTGTTGTGCACTAGTGTAAAACTATATTCGTCTCGCTGTCAAATCCAATGCAAAGAGCTCGGCCATTAAACGCTCTTGTCAGTCTCCCAACTAGAAGCATGAAGCCGGTTGGGGATAGACTCAGACGTGTCGAAACCTCGCAACGTACAAGCCAGAAACATGGTCAACCAGGAGCCGCAACGCACCACAAGACCCCTTCAAACACCAAACTCCGGAAGGCTGCCCTTAACGACCTCCTCCCACAAAACCGCACTGCACCACACCCTTGCGTTCACAGTCTCTTTCTTTGCATATGTCAGTGGCGACCGATGTTGAACCCAAGCTTCCTGGGATGAAGCCTGGGGTAAACCCCGAGGACGATCAGCGCCATGGCGACCAGGACCGCCCACAGTTTGATGTTGAGCACGTTGACATTGAAATCGGTCCATACGGCACTGATGACGGTGGCCAGTATGAGAAGGAACAGGAGGTAGCCGCTGATGCGGTGATACTTCCACAGCGCCTTCGCATTGTTGATTCCACCAAACACGCCCGGAACTCCCCACATCAGGAACCCGAATACGTATTGCACCAGGAGGACCACGCTGGTGAGGACGCCAAGGTAGCCATGTACGGAATGGAAATGGCTGTCAGGGCCTTGCTTAACTGCAAATCTGTCAGTGAACAATCCCCCGTAACTTGTCGGATGGAAAACAGGATGTTGGAGGCTATGGGCGGGTGGAAGGGGCAGGTGGTTTGGTTCCTCAAGCCTGTTCCACACGAGACAACTGCCACCACCCCCAGACCCCATATTGTCCAAGAGGGGAACCGCGTCATTGCTGAGTCTGCTTACTCTTGTTCGCCTCGATAATCAGCACCCCGGCCGCGAAAATAACGAAGGACAGGAGGTTGAGCGAGGCGTGGGCGCGGGCACCGAGAACCTTCTCGCCGGCAGTCCACGTCGGTTGGAGTATGAGGATAGCCTCTGCCAGGACAAGCACGCCGACGCTCTGGAGGAGCGGGTGCGGGCTGAAGAGCGGGATGAACGGTGGGTGCTCGAAGACGGAGGACCAGACGAGGGCGACGAGCAGGAAGGCGCCGCCTTGAGCCAGCCAGCCGGTACCTAGAGATTGAGGATTCGTCGGTCAGCATCTGTCATTATCCAGGCAGGATGGGTGGGTTGTGTCTGGGAACACGCACCTCTGTAGAGATTGTGGAATATTGATTCTTCTGGCCTTTGGAGGGCATCTCCCGGCTGGCCGAGCAGAGGCTCGGACTCTCCTGCCTCGTGGTTGTTCCCTAGCGGGTGCTCCGGTATTCCTGTTGCTGAAGCCATCTTGGAGGCGTGCGTCTTTGGGAGCGGAAGCTGTCTCTACGGCGCTGCTCTGCAACTTCTTTGAGAGCGGTTTGGTGTTGTTGTTACGGAGACAAGAGGTTGTCGGGCAGTCCGGAGATGAAGAAGCCGGCTGGAGCTGAGGCTGACGCGCAACCTTGACGTTGGAGGCTGGTTACCTAGGAAGGTAGGACGGGCGAGGGCCTGAGGGGTTGATCCCAGACGAGCTTGCGGCTTAAGTACCTATCTATCAATGACAGAATATACAGACCTACCGCGGGCTACCAGCAGGCACCTGATGGGATTTAGGGCCATCCGACTACCCTAGCTACGGATCCCATGGGCGCGACGGCTCGTTGTCTTTGCCCCAAGGAGGCAAGAGAGTGACAACAATTGTTGCGGGCGAGGCAACAATTGTGTTGATGCCATACAAGTCGATGATGAGAGCACTCGGCGGGAGGTGCCCATTGGCCTATGAGAGGTGCTGCATTACTGTCCCCCCCGCACCACCTCCAGCCCCCGACGCAATGCATGGGACCGCTAGGAGCGGGGCAGATCCAGGTAGCAGCAGCGCTGGGGCAGACGTCGGATTATCGAGATAATCATAGCTCGCCCACCAAGCGCGGGCATGTTAATAAACTAGACTGTTGTAGGAAAACCATTCGGCTCCGGGTTAAGAGACAGCGTTGGCGCACATTTCATGATCCGTCGGACGAAACATGGTGTTTGCAGTGGCAGTTCCCCTCCGAGAGGTCACGAGAATCGGCTGTCGAAGCAAATAAAGAATTGGGGGAGGGCGGACACGCCTGAATGCATGTCCGACCGAGGCTGGAGCAAGACCCGGGCTCCACACCAGCGGTGTCGGCCGCTGCCGATTCGTTCCGGGCCGGGGCCGGAGCCCATTACTCGATAGCCTCTTGTCATTAGACGTCGCCTATCACTTGGTTGCTACCAGCTCAGATACACAACACAACACATCTTGAGTCCCCGTGCCCCTCTGCTGACGGCCGAACTTCTGCCTTGTTTCTTGCACCGTACGCTCCTCCTCCTCCAGAACAACCAGACCAGATCCCCAAGGCAAACATGGCAGATGAAATTGAGTACAAGCTCGACGACGTCGAGGCCACAGTCGTGGCTTCGGACGACATCGACCAGACATTCCGCTCGTCCAGCATAGGTACGGAAGCAGGCGCCTAGAGAGGTCATCAAACCACACGCCGGGGCTGTAATTCCGCGTCGAAGACCTCAGACCACCCATGACAGAAGGCTAACCGGGACACAGATCGTCTCCGCCGCCCTGGGAGGAAAGGTCCTCGGCTTCTCGGACGAGTGGTTCGCGGAGGCCGCGAACCTCCTCACGCCCACGCCGCCCATCTGCCAGCCGGGCAAGATGGTGTACACGGGCGCCTGGTACGACGGCTGGGAGACACGCCGGCACAACACAGAGCCCTTCGACTGGGTCGTCATCCGGCTGGGCGTCGCCTCGGGCACAGTCGACGGCATCGAGGTCGACACGGCTCACTTCTCCGGCAACCACGCGCCCTTCATCTCGGTCGAGGGCTGCTTCAGCCTCGACGACGCCGAAGTCCTCTCCTGGAAGGGCTCGCGCGGCGCGTGGGAGCCCATCCTCGGCGTGCGCGAGTGCGGGCCCTCGCAGCGCTTCGCCTGGAAGCTGGCCCGGCCCACGGGCAAGCGCTACAACCCACGTCCGCCTCAACATGTACCCGGACGGCGGCATCGCCCGCTTCCGCCTCTTCGGCCACGCCGTCCCCGTCTTCCCCGACGACAGGGACGCCATCCTCGACCTCGCCGCCGCCCAGAACGGGGGCGTCGCCGTCTCGTGCAGCGACCAGCACTTCGGCACCAAGGACAACCTCAACCTGCCGGGCCGGGGCAAGGACATGGGTGACGGCTGGGAGACGAAGCGCTCCCGTGGGAAGGACCATGTCGACTGGGCTGTCATCCGCCTCGGTGCGCCCGCGCTCATCCAGCGACTCGTCGTCGACACTGCTTTCTTCAGGGGCAACTTCCCTCAGAAGGTGAAGGTGGACGCCATTGAGTGGAAGGACGCCGGAGAGCCCCCGGCTACGGCTGAGGCATGGCAGGTGGTCGTGGAGCCCAGCAAGACCGGGCCAGACCAAGAGCACGAATTTGCTTCCAAGATTCAGGACAAGCCCTTTACACATGTCAAGTTGACCATGATACCCGATGGAGGAGTGAAGAGGATTCGCGTGTTCTCTAAGCGCGCTAACTAGTGAGATAAAGTTACCTTGTGTTTCTAAGACCTACCGCACCCTCTTGACGGGCCTTCCATCACGTCTCACGATTCGCGCATGGACGAGCAAATAGCATTCCTTTATTAGCCATGCAGCTGAACTCGAGTGCTCCTGTGCTGTGCTGTAAGAAGACACCGCTGCGACCACATTGTAGTCACTAGACGGAACCAAATAACCTGATCTTTTTTGCACCAGTGGCGGGACTTTCCCAGCCCGGCCTCTTCCGGTCAACATCCCATGCTTCTCGAAGCCAGCAACGACTTTAGGCCCATGGAATGCAACAGACTGCAAGACATATTGACGACCTTCTCATGCGTCTCAGCTACCCGGCGCCCTGTTCAAGGCAAGGGTTCAGCACTCTTGTGTCAACCTCGAGTGAGTTCGGATACGCACCGGCCCCTGAAACTGATTGACGAGCCACTGGGCCGGATCAACTCAGAGGATAGCCGCAGTCAGGGGAGCTCTCCAGAGCTCACACTTTGGAAGGAAGAGCCTAGGTGCAAGACCGCGTGATGAGGCAGGGCAAGCCATGCCTCCTCAACGTTGAATGGCATGACATGGTGGCAGTTGGAAACTTGAACATGGTCCCTTTTGGTGAGTCAAAGGGACCTAGCGATGCATCAAGGTCTGTCCGAGCCTCTGAGGGCACTTTCTGGAAAGATTGGAAGCAATAAAACTTCTTGGCTGGAAATCATCGACGCGGGCCTCGTTTCAAGTTCAGTCGCCCATGCGAACTGGGGATCTCGTCATCCACTCACTCACGTAGAGAGGAAAAGCAAAGAGGTGGAGCCGGCGTCACTGCCACTAGTATCTAAAGGTGGGCCGTGATTCCAAAAAGAAACCCCAAGGGAAGTTCCCTAGTGAGGCCCAGGCGGGATGAAGTTTGAGACATGGCTCTGGCCTGCGGGCGAGCCACATGCTGCATCTGGACCACGCGGGCCACGAGGCAGAGGCCATACAGGGAGGCTGGGTCGATAGAGGATCCCGATGCGTCAGGACGGACGGCCGAGAACCAATCCATTTGCTCGGCGAAGTGATCCGATGAGTCTCGTGTGTGATCGAGACGACGTGGCTGGGACAAGTAACGAGCTTCCACCGACTTGTTGGGACCAGGAGCATTGAGGCTCAAATTCCACGTTGTGTGCCATCGTCTCTTTTTCCACGGTAGTTTCGAACTCGAGCAGTCGGGACGGGCTTTGATAGCCAGCTGCGAACAAGCCCCGACGGGAATTGTATGCAGGTTGAAATAACCCTGTGCAAAGATGAGGAGCTGAACAAGGGCATGGTCAACGCTGCGTATCCCGACAGTCAGCCTTCGGCAGCAACCTAAAATGGCAAGAACAATGACTTGACGTTATCCGGCCCAACATCAACGATCCAACAACCCCAATTAGTGAGAATGTCTCTCGAGAGGAAGCAACCAAAGACCCGGACCAAAGGTCTCGACTGTTGTGGTACCCAAACAAGCTCGATTTGGCTTCCCCAGCGGATTCGCCCCCGAGAATGACCACAGAACCCTGCCATTAGGACACCTGTGAGCTGTCGAACTACAGGGCTTGCTTCTCGTCGCTGTGTAACGGTATCACAGGCTTGCAGACAAAACCGGGGTCAAGGAGGTTCCTCGTGCTCCCTGCAGAGTCTCAACCTATGTCCAAAGTGTGGTCACACATCAGCCACTGGATCAACAGGAGCCAACATTCTCATCACAGCCACTGAGAGGTGCAGGTCCTGCAGGCTCGACTGCAAGACTTCTGCAAGTAAGCCGGAACTTTAGTGTACTTACAGGACGTCCGGCCGAGCTACGCACAAGCGTCATCCACAACATGCATGCCCGTCAGTGGAGCGCCGAGCCTATAAGCCTGCAGGCAAGTCACGGTTGAATCCATTTACTTGTGTCTCCAGCGGGTCACAGGCAACTTGGTTCAAAACGAATGGGTCCACATCTCGAAGCCGACGCGGTCTGACCAGGTTCGAGGCGTGGACCTCCTCGTGGGCGACATTACTGTGGCTTGCAAGCCAAGTTCAATTTCTGCTTCCTCTTCCACAGCAGACGTCTTCGCCCGCAATGCTCGGGCGGCCGAGGTGAGGCGACTCGGGTCATTCATTAGGATGCTCGGACTTCCGGCCAATCTGCCCCACGAAGTGCACGAAGTGAAATTGTTTTGAAGAGGTTTGAAGACGCCTACCCTACCCTGCCTTCACTCGTGGCCACCGGTGATGAGCGGCAAAGCCATGTGCATCCACATGCCATCAAGTCATACTCGACGGATCCGCCAAGTCGCTTGCGGCAGGATGAGGCGCGTTGATCAACGGTTCGGGGCGCTTAGCCAGAAAGAAAGATTATCTGACAAGTGACATCCAGGGCCGACTGGTCTGAGAGATGAACTGGGGCAACCGTGGAAGGTAGCAGCTCGGATGCTGTAGCACAATACACCTATTATTATCAACCTTATTATTAGTCGGGGATCTCTCCTTGGTCACATTTCTTGTCGAGTGCCTGACTGCTCCCGGGCTGACCGGCTCCGGTGGGTTTGATGAGTGACGACGTCTGAAATTGGAAGCGCCGCCTAAATTAGCGCACGTGCGGCAGCTTCTGACCTCTGGAATCGGGTACGCCCAGGAACTCTGGTGTGTTTCAACGGAAATTGAACAGCTCCAGCGGCGAGCCCAGGGACTGGTATGTGTAAGTGGTCAGGCTGCAACCCTACAGTGACAGCCTCGAGCTTTGATGAGAGGGTCATGGTTACCATGTTCGACCAGCCCCGAGCTTAGTCACCTCGGACAGCTGGCTACCGTGTACCACAATCCTCCGTGGACTGCTTCGTCTCCAGACCAAGGAAACAAGGAAATAAGCTTTGGTTATGTGCAGTATCTCCAGCGTAACGGCCCTGGCCGGGGCGTCCGCGCGTCCACGCTGTAAATGTCATGTAGTCGCAGGCAGACTAGTGGGTCACTCAAGTTCGGAGATAAAAGCCCAGCAGTGGGGAGATGGGTCGGTCGCGGGTGACAGCGGTGTGGTGCCCGGAGAAAAGGCAGGTCTGTCTGTCTGTCTGCGTTCTCTCAGCGAAGCCGACGCCTCGGTTGGCTGGATGTTCCGGGAGGAGACGGGTGTGGGGAGTGGCCCCCGGTCAGCTGAGAAGGGGCCGGCTCATTTTGCTTGTTATTAGCTGTGGGATTGGATGCTCGATTTCGAAATAAGGGACGGATGCGTGCGTGCCCTGCAGGGTAGCATCGAGAGAAATGGGATCTTGTTTCAAATATAGCCCAGGCAGGGTTAGTCAGCTGGGAACAGGGGTCGCCCAGGCTGTGGTTCGAACCCCAAGAGCCCAGAGTGCAACGAAGCCACAGTCATCAACGAGGGCCAGGGCAGTGCTGGGAGGGTTGGTGAGGTGGAGGAGTGGGCGGCAGGGCGGCCGCGAGCAAGCCACATCTCGAGCGACACAGACCTCGGACTCGACGCTGATCGACCCGATTGCAAACCAGACAGCCAAGGCAGGCGATGGCGCCGACGCGGCGCGAGGGACGACCCGCGCGCCATGCTGGAGTGACAATTGGCCGGTGGCTGGTGGCCGGTGGCTGGTGGCTGGTGGCTGGTGGCTGGTGGCTGGTGTCTGGCCTGGCCTGGCCAGCTGCAACGGGCGACCTAGCCCACGAGTGCGTCGTGCCAGACCGGTGTCTCACCCGCTGAAGGCCTCTCCGGCAACTTGAGGTCATTGCGGAGCCGAAGCGGTGTTCTGAACTGGACCATGTGGCCATGGGCAAGATGAGGAAGCGTGACGTCCTTTGGCTGTGGATCACGATCGGGTCCCAGCGGACCTGGCAAAAGCCAAGCAAGCATCGCCCGATGCGTGCGTACGTTGCTACTCCTAGACTGGGACTGCGGTACGTGTCTGAATGCGCGTGATGCTGTGGCTTGGCCCTTGTCTTCCTCGTCGCCCTCGGCCCTGACCCTCGACCCTCGTAGCCGCGACCGCAACCTGTAGTCACAGTCGTAGTCACAGCCGTAGTCACAGCTGCAGTCATGGTCGCGGGCGCAGTCGAGTTGCAGGCGTCATTCCCCCGTAGCAAGGGCGACGCAGTCAGTGAGCAAGCACAATTGCCCGCAGGAAGTCTCGATGAGACGCAGCCGCCGCCGGAGACAGGGAGCTGGGCTGGTGTGACTAGCATGGTTTTCTGGTTTTCTGGTTGTCCGTTATGGCCGTTGGCGCTCGTCCACGGTAGCGAGGCTGGACCACTCCGCACGCGGTCCGTATACTTGGTGCTTGTCAATAAGCCGTGCAAGCCGTGCAAGCCGTGCAAGCCGTACAAGGTTTCAGTCGTCAGCCTGGATCATCAGCGAGCGGACCCACCCGAGTTACCCACGCTGCGGTTCTGCTGGACCGTGCGGTGCGAGGTGCCCTCAGCCCTAGGCAGTCAGTCCCATGGACACTGACGCTGGGGCACTTGCACCTGCACCTGCAACATGCGCGCCAGCACGCCTGCACCGACACCGACAGTGACAATGACACTGGCAGGCTGCGGTGCTGTGTGGCGGTCGTTGGCTGCTCTCTCTCGACGGAACATGCCATGGCATGGCACAGCACAAGCATCCGAACGTCGTGGCATTGGCGAGGATCGGAGATGCCCTTACAATGAACAGCGGGCCCGGCTGGGGCACACTCTCGACGGCCAGACGGGCTGGCTGCCCACCATACTTCTACCAACAAAAGGCACGTACCCAGGCCCCAGGCCCCGTAGTCGTGGTGCACGTAGCACACGGTAGCACTGAATTGGCAGGAGCTGCTGGAAGGGTCCCCCCTGCTTTGGCTGTGCCGTGATGCACCTCACACCTCACAATTCCACCCCGACTGCTCCTTCTCGATGACTACTGCACGTCCCTACGAGGGTGGTCTGCCACGGTACGGCAGGAGCGGACCAAGGCAGGTAACCGAGCACCCTGCTGGGCTAGGCGACATGAGCTGATTCCTGGGCTTGTTGGGCGGCACCTTCCTGGCCGGGGCAGCTCTGTCCCGCGGTCGATATCAATCGGATCAGCAGCGGCCACCTCCTTCCCTGGCCCTGCAGAGTTGGCGGGCTTGGTGCGGGCTGTTGACGTCTGCTCCTCGCAGTATCCTGCCATCGCGTGTGCATGCTGCTGTGCTCTGACGGCCGACCTGACGGCCGACCTGACGGCCCTGCCAGTGCCAGCCCGCCAGCCTGCATGCACCGCGCGCGCATCAACGCAATTAAAATGCTCCCAGAATGCAATCTCGCCTGCATCGGCATTCTGTCATCCACCCTGCCTGCCCAGGTGTCAGCTACCAGCTGCCAGCCGCCCGCTGCCACCACCGTCGCCCGACCGCACCCGGCGGCCACAGCAGTGCCTCAGCAAAGCGAAGCATGGCAAAAAAAGCCCTCTCGTGGCAGAGGCAACGCACCCCACGGCACGCCTCACGGCACGCCTCACGGCACACCTCACGGCACCGCGTACCATGTCATGGTCACGTACTGTAATGTCGCGTCGGCGGCCCTCACGCCCCTGTGGCTGTCGCATGCTGTTGCAGCGACCCTGACTTCACCGCGTCTTCCACCTGGGCGGTGGGGGCTCAGCTACAAAGTGCCAACGGGCCTCGCGGTGCTATACTGCATCTGGGAGATGTCGCGGGTCCTCAGCCACACCCACCTCCACAAGACCTGCACTTTACTGAGGCCTGGCCCTGAGTTCCCAGTCCGGACGGGCATCGGCTCTGGTTGGGCCTGCCACCGCGATCCGCTGTTTCAGAATCAGCCCTTCCTGGCCTAGCCGCACTGCGACGCTCCATCTTCCCGCACATGTGCAGCATATCAGAATACCTTCCTAAGCTAACTACCTTTAGCTGCTCTAGCCTGGGTAGCGCGTGCCGCCAGATCCAGACCTGGACCCAGACTCTGGACCTCACCTTCTCGGGCGCGGAGGAAACATTCATCTCGACTTCGGACTGATCGCAAGATCGCCTTGGCCAGATGCCCCACCACGCGCACAGTAGTGGTCCAGAGTCCTCTGCCGGCCGTGTAGCACTACCACACGGCACATCGCACATCGCCCTATGGTGGAAATAATGTCTATCAAGTCAGCCAGCCAGCCGGCCGGCCAGCAAGCCAGCCAGTCAGCCCAGGCTGTCTTCTCCCCTGACAATACCAAACCATGTACCCTCTCACAGGCCCTCTCCATCACATGCAGGAATCAGAGTGCTGCCACCGACCCAGGCCCACTTCTCATTACCGCATTATACGTCCTGCGCCGCACCAATTTCTACCGGGAAGGTATTCCGTGCAGGTGTACACAGCAGCTTGCCGGCCGTGCTCCAACAGCACCACTCCCTCCCCCCCTCCCACTCAGCTCATAATGATACCGATGCGCCAGATCAAGCACATTCTAGAGCTGCCCTCACCTACTCCACCTTGACGGATGTGACGCCACGGAGCTCGCTGCGCTTGGCGGAAAGTCTAAGTCAGGACCCCGCCCACGGGCAAAGCATGCAAGGCAACAGCACAGGCTCACGTTGAGGCTGCTGCCAGGATGACACTGGCCTGGGCCAGCCATTCTTGATCCGAGCTTCTCGCAGGCGATCGACATCTTTTTGAGATGATGTCGTCTAGCCCCTTGCTTGTTTCCGATTCGAGAATGTACAACACCTCCACAGTCGCATCCTCCTGACAGCATATCGCCCAGCATCATCGACTCCTCTGCATCTGCCAGCTAAGCTTTGGCTCTGGCGTACCGGGCTGATGTCAGGCCCCGCTTCGCAATTACCACGCTGATATGTGTTGTGCTGTGCTATACCGTGCTATACTGTGCTGTACACGTGGTAAGCACCGGGGGGGGGGGTTGGTCTGGCCGCAATCATGGACAGCACGAATGCACGTATGGATACTGTCAAGACGCCTTCCGGCGGATTCATTCGCCGACATTGGTCCATCTCGCCGTTCGCTTGTCTAGGGATCTACCCTGCGTCTAGGGAACCCACCCCAGCGTGTGGCCCCGCCCTCCCTCATCTCCCTGCCGGGAATTGGACGAAGGGGGAAGCGATAATGGAAACAGCACCAGAATCAGGAAATGTCTCGCAGGGGGCCCCGAGAACGCCCAGGGCTTCTGAACAATTTCGGGATGGCAACGCACTGCTTTAAGTCCGCCTCGACAGCTAGCACAACACGCAGGCGTTCTGGACCGGGGAGAACCTATCTCGCACAGATTGATGCTTCTCTGCGAGCTGTCGGAAGGGAAACCTTAACTCGTTTAGGCAACTCACGCGCCACAGCAGCTGTGACCCTGCTCCTTCTCCTGCTCTACTCGGCTTCCCCAGCTCGCACTAGAGTTCCATCCCCTATCCTTTGCACTCAGGCGGTCGTCGTCTTGTGCAAACAGCTTTGCTTGTTGTCTCCGTGCTGGGTGTCAGCACGCGTCTGCTCTCATCCCCCCCCCCGTCCCACATCCCCTATCCCCCTGCCGCTCGAGCATGGCTGGGGACACAATGTACCCTACTTTTGCGTGGCTGTCAGGGTATGGCAGGGCATACCGCCCGATCTAGTCAAGACTCGCACGCAAGCCGCATCCTCTCTACGTACACATCCTCTGCCCTGGTATCGGCCTTGTCACTTGTCGTCTGAGGCCCGTTTATCGCTACTTGGGGTGTCGTCCAATGTCGCGTGGTCCAGTGCTATGCTGTCCTGCACTGCGGGTCAAGGCTAAATTCGTCTCATTCGCAAGAACCCTGATACTTCCAAGGTTGATATCGCCTTCCAAGGCTTGATCTTCATCCAACCCTGGCGTCAATCTCTTCTGATACAGACTGTTTCCACAAGAAATAACAAAAAGTCCCGTCTGCTCCACCGGCTGTGCTCTTCCCCTCCGTTACTTGCCTAAACCGGCCAGGAACGAATCTAAGTCGTCCTTCGTCCATCGGGTCCACGTCTAATTTCCTCACCTTACCCTTGGCTAATAGTATCCGCTGCCATTACCTCCCGTAGCCTACCCTGTCAGCCCAGTCACTTCGAGACTCATCAAATCTCCTCTTCTGGAGCGAGCAAGGCAGCAGATCTCGACAAGGGTCGGCCCCCCTCCCCCGTCCTCCACACGCGGCTTCACTCCACCTTGCACGGGTCTGGGCCCGTTGGGCTTGTGGGAGAAAAATAACAGACGACTGGGTCGACCATTTCCCTTCTTCGGACAGTACTTACCACGCAGCATATCTCACCGGGTTGCAATGTCCAAATGAGGCTGGGCTGGCTCATTTCGACGTTTCATCACCACACGCCCCGCCTGCGTCCTCACCATTCTTTACCAGGCTGGCCGCCACTCCCAGCTTCCTTGCAAAAAGGTTAATTCTACTTCCTTCTTCTCCTTCTACCCCGTCCACACATCCTCACCTCGCAATTGGCTTTGGATGTCCCATTTCTTTTTGTTCTCTTCTCAGCCCTCTTTCCTCCTTGTGAGGTTTTCCGTTCCATCGTTTCCTTCTCGTACCCGGGCATTGACCCTGTCCCGCGTCCACACTGTAACTAGCTCGGTCGCTCGCATGTAGACGACGATGCTCACCATCAAGCAGCCAGTTCATTACGGCTACAGGTCGATCCATGATTTACCGACGCCGCCCAGCACATCCCGACCCTCGCCTCCATTGATGTACCAGGATTCCTCACACAGAGCAATACCCGCTGTTCCTCGAAGCCACAGTCCGCCGGATCGACTCATGTCTGGCTCTCACCGTGGCTTGCCCCCTCCATCGGCGATGGGACTCGGCCAGCCGTTGCCTTCCGGAGTTGCATCTCATCCTCCCCCAACTCATGCATCCTCACTCGGGCAGGGTCCACCTCCGCCTCCGCCTCCGCCATCCCAGGGTCAGCAGCAAAGCCAGCATCTGGGCCAACTACCCCCGCCGCCACCAGGGTGGCAGGGCTCGGAAGACTCCATGCGAGCGTGGTTGCATGCGAAGGCGGAAGAGGACAAGAGGAAGCAAGAAGAGGAGAGGACCAGCCAGGAACGGCTTCGCCTCGAGCAACGACGAACCGAGTACGACATTCTGCGAACGTCGTTACAGGGTGGCGTCCCACCGCCCCTGGTCCCGGTCGTGTTTGCTGGTATGGGAGGTGGTAACCTGCCGCCAGCAGCGCTGGAATGGGCCCAGCAGTTCATGTACTCCCAGGCGCAAGGTGGGCCTCCGCAGCATCTTCTGCCCGGCCCAGCTTCGCCAGAGTACCGCCGTGACTCTCAAGCGCAAGCCTATGGGCACTATTCCGGCTCTGGTGGTGTTCCGTCCACTCCCGGATCTGCTCAGGGTGCCCATGGCAGCTTTGTTGGGACGCACCCAAACTCTTCACCACGTGCTCGAGGCTACAGCATGCCAAGCTCTGGCAGCCGTCCGCTCGGAGGGGGGCCCGGCCTATCCAGCCTGAACACGAGCGTGCTCCCAAGCTCAGGTGGCGCGTCTGCAGCGCAGACACACCCAGGCGTCGCCTCGGCGCAGCAGCAGCAGCAGCAGCAGGAAACGCAGCAGTCCCCGTCGATATACTTCCATATGTGGCAACCCCCGACGAGCCAGGCCAGCCAGTCCGGCTCCAATCAGCCGGCAACACCTTCCGGTGCGTCCAAATCCAAACATCGGTCTTAACAAGGGGAAAGAGACAGTCGGGGGACTAACGTGGCTTGCAACAAGCAGTAGGGGAATCGCCACGCAAGCGGAAAGCGACGGGGCCACAGCCAGCTGCACCTCCACCGAACACGCAACAGAGATTCAGGTCTCCCCCGTTCTCCCACAGCACGGGCTCGACGATCTCGAACCCTCCGCCAGGGCGCAGAAGAGGCCACTCGCGCCAGAGGAGCGACGCGTCGACATACAGAGGACGTGGCCGGGCTGAGACCATTGGATCGACCCGTGGTATGTCGCCGATGACTGCCCCAGGCCCCGGTACAGCAACAGAGAGAGGTGGTGGATCGGCAGAGCCATCTTCACATTCGCAGCCGCAAGCGACGCAGACGCGAATCGCAGCGCATTCAGTTTCATCCCTACTTTCTTCAGATGACCATCCGCCGCAAGCGGCCCACTATCCGACTGCCCCAGTGGCAGAAACGAGAGGTCAGCAACGCAAAGAGGGTTCACGACAGAACTCCCCGCACTCGTCAGAGGGACGCACAAAGTCGGAGGCGCAGGATCCACGACTCCGCGGGAACGAGGCAATGAACGAAATTTGATATTCTTTTTTGGGAGGGGTTCGAGGGAGGGTGTGCACCCCTGGATTTGGACGTGCGACTCGAGCAGTGCAGCAACGCTGCTTTCCAGAAGAGACCCAGTCTGTGGCATGCTCCGCGCGAATTTTGAGTAGGCGAGGGTGGATGTGTTCTGTGAAGTCTCCCTCAGCCGAAAGGGACTGGGGCTTCATTTCTCCTGGACTATTTGAGCATGCGCGACCGACGATCTTCATCGAACCCCTGCCCACCAGCTGAGCGATACTCTGCGGAGAAGCCAACATTACAGCTGGCCTACGCGAACTCTCCCTTCGGCCACTCCGTTATTCTTTACATTCTGATTCTTCTGCGCGCCACTTGAGCGTCGCACATCCTAGGGATAGGAGCAGTTCTACTCTTCTTCGCTATTCTTCAACTTCAACCTTGATCATTCTTCTTCACCCTTCATTCTTCATTCCTAGGGAACTTCACTTCGGGCCATGAATGGCGAGGCATAGGGATGGTAAACTTTGGTTCAATTCCCCGCTTCATTCTCACACAGCGACATTTTGGGTACCCGCACCGGACCGAGCATGTTTGTTTTGTACCATTTTCTCTTCTACTTGTATATACAGAATGCGGAGGCATACATGGGGAAAGCAAGGATGCTACGAAAGAATTGCACACAGAGGCAAAATGAAAACGAAAAAAGGACGAAAACAACGGGAAACAGAGAGCTAAGCCAGACTGTCTTGGCGCGGACGAGGCAGAGGCTGGGAAGGTGGTCCTTCTGGATGAACTTGGGCATCCCGGTTATCGTGGACTGGCAACGTCGAGCAAGGCCGCTCTTGTTGCTGAGGAGCTCTTCTTCTGTACTCATGTACCTAAGATACCCCCGGCGTGGGCTGAATGTATATCACAACCCAGTGGCTACAGCCACCATGAGGCTCAAGCTTTCTTGCACAATATACTATCAAACCGACCGGCAACTAGTGTTCAGTGACCATGCTTTCAAGACTGGGACAGACGTGCGCCTTTGCTTGCTCCACGGCTGGCCCCGCGGAAACAGTGAGACGCGCCCAACACTGCAGAGTCTGTTCGTGATTTACGTAAACGGTGACATTGTGTAATGACTTCTGCGCCAAACTTTTTCCCGCCCGCTGATGTAAGCTCCCGGCCCAATTGCTCCTGTAATAGAACCCGTAGTAGGCTTATAGTCTAAATACTGAAATCAGCTGATAGAGGGCAAGATGCGCCCTTGCTCTGGTTGGGGTTCCGGATCCGGCAACCAGCTCATGCTCCCCCCCCCGGTTGCTGGGCAAGAAGAAGCTTTGTTTCGCGCAGGGCCAATCACGCCCCGGCGGCTGGGATACGCTGGCTCTCGCTGAGCCCTCGGTTTCTTTTTCGGCACCGTGCCAGGCAGGCTCTTCTTGTCCTATTTCTGTCCCCGTGCGCTGCGAAAGCTTGACAAGCTCTAATGATGTGCTGCTGCTACCACCGTCTGGGGGGGGGGGAAACGTCGCGTCTGGGGGGTTATTACGTAGTTATGGGCGCGAACAAGAAATTAGTCGCGCGGCCAACCCAAACTCAAAAAAAAAAAAAAAAGGTCAGATCTCCGGCCCCCAACACCGTCTCGTCCAATCTATTACTCGTGTTTGTAAGTCGGCATCACCAATGCCGTTCGGGCGAATCTGTCAGTGCCCAAAGCAGAACACGCTTGTCTCAGGCGAGAAAACCCAAGGCCGGGAGGCCAGACACGCGCGCCCAAGCACGGGTTGTTTTCGATTTATTATGGGTGGATAATTCACAAGTCATTCGGCGACTTTCAGCCCGGCCCCCCTCCGTGTTACATAGAAAAACATTCCGACGGGGGATTTGGGGGGGGGGGCAGCCGGGTACGAAAGGCCTGCATGAAATCAACCCGTTGCCCCGTGCGGGGACGTCTGTGCCCGTTTCAACGCCGGCAGGTACTCTAATGACCTTGAAAAAAACTTGAGCATGGGCCCAGGACTAGATGGGGGCCTATTGTGTGCGCCTAACAATCCTCTCCCGCCAGGCAGGGACCGTGGGCAAGCCAGCCCCCGAGGGCGGGATGGTGAGGCCGGGCGGCCCGGCTTGCTTCGACATACTTTTCCTGGTGACATGCCATGACGACACTCTTGGAAATAAAGCCCGGGACCAACAAAAGCTAAACAGAGCCCACCAGCGGCTCCGCATCCAAGGTCCTTGCCTAATGGGGAGGGCCTGTAGGTTTTGTGGGGGGGGGGGGGAGAGGGGGACGTAGATAAGTGCCGTGGCAGAAGTGTGGGTGAATGCTGAGCCGGCCCGCTTGATGTCGCGCTGCGGCTCGGCTCTGTGTCGAGCTCCCTTTCGGGCCCAAGGTAGGGAGGGAGGGAGAGGGTAACCACACCCGCACGGCTGTAACCTGCGAACGATCTGACTCCTGGCCTCTCCACTACCCCCATCCTCATCCTGCGGGGGCCGGAGGGACTTGATCAAAATGGGGGCCGGACCGTGCGCCACACTACGTACTTGGAGTGCCATCGCGCTCTCAGTTACCACAATCAGGCGAGAGGACATCCAGCCCCAGCCCCAAGTCCCGGGACCCGAACTTGCCTACCCTACCGCGGCAAACCAGGCTCAGGCCGGACCCAAAACGATACCCAGAACTCACCCGCCTTCATGAACCCGTTACATGCAACAGCCGAGGCTCCCCCCGGCCGAATTTTGAGTCCCCGGCACACTCGGGGCACCGAGACCAAGGGGAGCGGGCCGGTCCGCTCCGAGCCGAGCCGGGGGGTCCGTGGGCATCCCTCCCTGCTGATTGGCACGCCACCTCCGGGCCGGGGGTGCAGGATCTCACGCAGGCGCCATCCATGGAAAGAGAGGGCAAACGAAACCACCATGGGCCTGAAAGGAGTCTAGCACCAAACCACAGAAAAACGACAAGTCGTACTTGAAACCTGCCAGCCTGCCAATGTGTGTGCACGGGTTCGGTTCTTCCTCAGCCACAGTTCACCTCGAGTGTCTCGCGCATGAATCCACGGGACATCGGCCGGGACAGTTTCGACGGCCCGAGATGCAAAGCGTCAGCTAGTGGCATGGTTTCGTCCGACCATCCCCTTAACATCCGATCTTCGACACGTGGCTGAGTTGGAATGGACCTAGAACGCATAACAAACACTTTTTACAGGGATGAAAAACACGGGACGGTCTTATTCCGGTTTCTCAGAGGAAAGCCCTTTGTTGTCATTAGGATTTCTATTACTATTTTGTGCACCCGACACTGCGTACCATGCCGTGCTGAATATGGGGGGGGGGGGGGGGAAGGAGAAAACCAATGTCCGTCCCACCGCCGGATAAGAAGAGGGTCGGTTGGGTGGTGAGTGTCGGTCCGGGTCGCCAACGCGGGTATATAACGAACAGTCCTGATCAAATGCACCCCGAATAACCAAAACTCTCCCTGCTGCCTCGCCCCGAACGAGGCAACGATTGCTGATGACAAAAGAAACCTGACGGCATCACACGTAGCTGCCAGGGCAGCGACAGGCAGCGGTGAGCAGCTCTGTCGCCGCCTCGCCGCCCCTAACGCTGCCCGGTCCAGCTCCGTGACGCACCGCTCCCAATAACTGTAGAGCCAGTTTCCACCGACAACACTGTGTCGTCCTCACCTTTCCACAGGCTACCCAAAGCCAAAGATTGCTCCTAGCTTCTCCTTTTCTTCCGGTGCATGTTCCACTCCGCCCGCACCACGTTCATAAACCTGTCCTCGTCCTTCACTGGCTGTGCCGATGTCAAAGCTTTCATGACATTCTCGAAGTCTGCGTCTATGATGAGCTCCTTTTGCCCATCAATGAGCGCAGCGCTGGTGGAATGGAGTATTTCCAGCCCGTTGAATGTCGCTTCGGCTTCCTTCTCTTTGGCCGCGCTCGGGTCCGGGGACGGCGATGAGTCCCCCAGCAACATGAAGACGTCCCACACCCGTAGCTGTGCCGCGAACGGTATTGATAGGTTGAAGAGCGTCAGATACCATCGTGTTCCATATGCCGTGGGATCAATGCCCATCTCGTTCTTTACAGTTAAGGTTAGCTGCGAGGTGCGAGTCAAGACCGGACTGCTTCGGACTTACCAGCTTCTGGGCTGCTGCTTTTCCGTGCAGCCAGTGGTTCTCGAGGTCCTTTAATGCCAACATCAGGCCGGCGAAACCGGGCTGGTAAAGCCTCTCCAGACCCCGGAACTGCCATAGCCGGACAAGCATCACAAAACATCTCTCCTCGTCGTAATAGCACAGCATGGTCGCTGCAAGACCGGCCATGCCCTGAACGTAGCCAGTGTCGGGGAAATAGAGAGACATTGCGTGGAGCACGCGGAAAAGCAGCCGCTGGCCACCGCGATACCGCTTGCGAAACATTATATGCTTGTTGATAGTCCTGGGCACATCGAGGTCGATCTGTGTGTCGTCCGGGGAGCTCACATCCTGTAGGCGGTGGAACTCGGCGAAGAGCTGTTCTTCCGTGGTGTCGGATTTCGCCTTCTGGGCGCTGGCCGAGAGGAAGGAGTACCAAGCCGCTCCGCGCCAGCAGTCCGGTATGCCTTTCCATGTCCTCTCAATCAGTTTCGGGCTCTTGACATCGAACTCGATCACCGTGCCTAAAATTTCGAAATGATGCTCGCTGCCTTTGCTCCTCTTGACCTTAGCTATGTCCTCCACGGCGAACATCACGCCCTTGTCGTCCCTGCCCTTGATGAAAGTCTTGGCCATCTTCCTCCACTTCTCGGTCCTTTTGACCTCCCTCTCATGGGCGTCTTTCAAGGCCTGCTCACTCTTTTGTTCCTCTTCGATGTCCACCAATCCAGGCGGGAGCCCAAGCATCTCCCCCGCCTCGTCAATAACCTTCCTGTCTCGGTTGTGTGGAAGCAGGTTCGCTGCAGTTCGGATACCCGATCTGACTGTAAACCTCGATGATGTGGAGACCCCCGAGGTTTGCGTGTTTAGCGACCGGGCCGACACCTTCCTGCTGGGTATCCGGCTCAGCCCGGGCGGCGACGACGGCCCATCCGTCCTCTTAGTCAGCACATTTCGGCCGTTGCGCCTCCCGACCGTAGAGTGTAGCGAGTGTGTTTCTGCCGGAATGCTCCGTCGCGATTTTGGTCTTTGGAAGTGTATGAAACCGTAGCGATCGACGTCGTCCACTTGGACGTTTTCCCAGTCTTCGATGCCGCCTGCAAGCTCATACTCGCTCCGGCGTGTGTTACCTTGTGGCGACGGCAGCGAAGTGGCCGACAGCGGAGTATTGGGACAGAGGTACAAAGCTCGGACGCTTTGCCGCCTTCTTCTTTCTCTGCGGGGGTGAGACGTTGAGCGTTAGCGGACACATTGGACATGCATAGAGTGGAGTACCGAAGGAAAACCATACGCGACAATATCTTCTCCATCGGGAGGGAGCTGATCCCCCGACTCGGCGGGCTCACCAGAGGGTGACCCAGGAGCCCCATCTTGCCAATTGACGAAGTCGCCAGATTCATAGAGCGATCTCACCTTTTGTGACTCCCTCTCTGTATCTACTGACATGACTCGTATGTTGGGCAACGACAGCTTCCTCGCAGAGTCCCTCGGTGTTGGCTGCAGGCTGGCGGCGGCGGGCTTGGAATCCGGGGCGCCGTCGGCCGAGGAGGCAGCCGGCACGGGCGCTGGCGCCGCGCGCGTGGGAGACATCTGCATCGCGGAGGGGCCAAGTGCAGGGTTCGGGGGGCTTACGGCGCGCTTGCCTCCAAACAAGATGCTTCCCCTCTTGGAGAAGTTGAGGCTGTCGATGTCATCGAGGAAGCGGCCCTCGGGGATGCTTGTGTTGATGGGGTGGAAATCACTTTGCGGCGGCGGCTGGGGGCGCTCAGATAGGGGTCTGGGGCCGCTCGGATTTGGAGATTGGATGTGGCTGTCAAAATGACGGATCTCTTGGCGACTGTCACGTACCGAATCGGGGGCGTTAGGCGAGGGGGATAAATGGGGCGCTGGAGATGGCTGGGACAGGCCTGAGTGGTGAGACTGGGGAGAGTGCGGAGGAGTGGGTGCGACAGCGCCCTCGGTCAGGCTCTTCTTCCTCAGGCGCTTCATGGGCGGCGGGGGCAGCTTGAGGCTGAGGCCCTTGACGAGCCTCTTTGTTGCTGTGTCCCTGGGCAAGTTGACCGAGGCGATTTCCGACGTGTCGGAGTCGGTGACGGACCAGCGGCTCTGAAATGAGGGGCGAGAGGTGTGCTGGGGGGTGCAGGGCTCATCAGAGGACAGGGCCGGGGTGGGTTCGTCGGTGGAGTAGATGGATGGGGTGTCTACTACATGCAGCTTGACGTGGTAGTCGTAGCGAAAAGCGTCTTCGTCGTCCTCCTCTTCATCCTCTTCGTGCAGGGTGGCTGAGGCAGAAGACAGCGTGCCCAAGAGCGAATCCCGTCTCCAGTCGGCGCAGACGGAGGATGCTGCTGTCGAGGCGGTGGTTGAGGTTGAGGATGCAGGTGAGTGATTGCTCTGGCATTGGCGTCGAACAGCGGGATGCACAGGCAGATGCAGACGCAGATGAAGACGCGGATGCTCAACGTCAGCCTGCCCCAAATGCTGCTCCCGGGCAGGAACAGGCGGGGGCACAACGTGCAGGTCTGAGGTGGTTGTGGTTTTGGTTCGGGTTGTCGCGGTGGTGATTTCTGGCGGCGCAGGTGAGGAAGGGAGCTGGGCGGACGAGGCAGGCGGGCGGCGGCTGGCTCGAAGGGGGTTGCGAGGCGGAGGAAGGAGAATCGGGGGCTGGGCCTGGGCCGTCTGCTCGTAAGGCAGGGCAATCAGGCCAGGTGCAGGTGCAGGTGCAGGTGCAGGTGCAGGCTCAGGCTGAGAGTCTAGGGTGGCATTGGTGGTGGTGGTGGTAGTGACGGGAGTGTGTGGAATGTAGTGCGGGCCCGTCGCAGTCGCCGTCTCGCTCCTGGGCCTCCCAGTACTCCCGGACCGCAGGCTGGGAAATCGTTGTGGTGCCATTCTCGCCCAGTCCTACAATGATTTTGCTGAACCTGCCCGATACCAACTGGACCATCAGTCAGAGGCCCTCGTTCAGTCCACTCTTGCTTGGGGCCCTGGCTGTGTGCATATATGAGATTGTGAAGTTGGTGACGAGATGATACCAACGGCTTCAGTTGGACGGGGTGGTAGCACAAGCTCAATGACGAGCCCAATCTGTTCGCAACGCGTTTCAAAAAAAATAATAACGGAAACCAAGAGACCGGGAGAAGGAAGAACTGGAAGCAGCGGAAATGGCCCTCATTACATATACCGAGCAAATTCTCCCGTCCACCCACACATCTACCAAGGTAGATAGATAACAAACACACCTTTTGCCCGGCGCGGGGCGGACGCCGCCCACCAGGCAGAGAAAGTCGGTAGATCTACTACACAATACATGAGACACAAAAAGGTTGGCCACGATTCAGCGTGCCGGCACTTGGCAAGCTTAAGCTCTGCTTCCGACGTGACTACCTTCCTAGGTAGATTTTAGAAGCTCCTGCACACCAGCTCCACATCACCACCACCTCCCCTCCTCCCGGGCCTAGGAGCCCAGGTCCCCGTCACCCTTCCCCTCTTAGCCACTCGACCTTCACCGGACAGCACTAGCCATCAGAGACAGGTGGAAACGGCCGATGTGTCCTCTGCATCAAATTCGAGGACACAGAGACACGGTCTCAAGCTTGGTGGCAGGCGTGCCGTCGTGACTGGCCCGACCTTGCACCGTCATCTGTGCTCCGAGACAAACCACTCGCTCAGCACCGGCCAGAAGAAGCAACGCAACGCAGCGCAGCGCAACGCAACGCAACACGCTGCACACAAAACACAGCCCGCCATGGATAGACAACGGATATTGCCAGAGCCACCAGGGAAAATTCCCACTGGCGCACTTACGTGGCCTCATGCTGCCAGCCTTGCCCCGCCAGCATCTCCTGCAGACGGGTATCTCTGACTTGTCACACACCGCCGAGGGATGCCAACACCCGGCCGATTTTCCATGGTGCATGGCACCTTCACCTCGCCCGCAAAGAAAACCAACGTGACTCGAACCCGGTCCGTTCTCCCATCGCCTACCACTGGGGCGTCAAAACGCCACCCTCGACAGCACCCATTGCTGTCACTCGAACGCTCTTAGCAGTCAGGAAGAAATGGGCCGCGCCGTGATCAGCGCCGTCAGTCGTGGGTGCGTGACCTTGGGGGGGTGCGGAGGATGTGTTCCCGAACAGAGACTCTGTCGGAGCGTCCCGATTGGAGGGTCTCGTCTGCGGCAGTCGTGCCCGTCAAGATCTCTTGGCTTACCATTCCGCCCTCCAGCGAACCGAGCAGCCGGGGGCCTGGTGCGCTGGATGCGACATCCTCCGCCTCCCGCTTCGGGCAAGAGCCAAGCAAACGCCCTCAAAGGGTCTTCCCTGATCGACGCCCACCCCCACACCACCTGTGGTTAAGGATGTGCTCCGCATTCGTCACGAAATCTGTGCGTGTTCGTTTTCCTGACTCCATTGTGGGACGCCCTTTGCTCGATTCTCTTGACCCATTCGAGACTCCTGGGGACCACCGTACGTTTCCGGATAGAGAGCTTTTCGTGACTAGCTTTACTTTTTGAGTTTACCCGACTGCCTGACGGCCTATCGATCGTTGTGTCACGGGACGAGGCTGCTGTGCTAGAGTCGCCCAAGCTTCTTCGTAGAGGAGCTTCTAGAACGAGTTCTGTCTCTGCCATTTCCCTTTGCCATCCGGGCGAGTAGCTTGGTCGCTCGGCACCGCGCGAAAGTGAATACACAGCGTGCCCCGGCAGAGGCGGATGAAACCACGAGTAAAAGATAAAACAAAAATTGCAGGGCAGTAGCAGGATGATACAAGGACAAAAAGGCTGGGCGCAGTCGTGGTCACGTACGTAGTCAACGAAAACAGATACGGTCTGTCCCCGACTTTCCGGCGTCGCCCAACTTGAAGAGTCAAAAGATCATTCGCGAAACCCGTCCGGCTACCTGCAAGAGTCCCCATCTATCCGGACAGTCAGATTTGAAGAACGGCCTGCCTCACACCTCCGGCAATAATGCTGCCAGCATGACACCGGTCGGCCCTATCACCACTGCGCGACACCCGCCCGCGGAAGTGCTCCTCCGCTAGCGTCCGGAGGTCGGCCGGTCTGAGTTAGAACAGGCCGGCCACGCAGGAAGAGACAGACCCTTAGGTTTCTTGAAGTACCGAGGATCATACCTGCCGGGCGCGGGTCGTGGGGCCACACTGGGAAAAATGCCAGAATGGTCCCCACAATGGGGATGAGGAAAGTAGGGAACAATGTCTGCGTCCCCCAAGAGGTCAGGTCTCACCGCATCGCTCGCTCGCCCAGTGACGCAAGTATACCAGCCGGGTGTGACCAGCAGCTGCGGACATCTTGAATACTCACCAGTCTCGGTGTACAATGTCGGGGATCTCTATTCGCTACGTTGCTCATACATGCCGGCAATTGCCCAGTGGCCGACGCAAGGCATTGAAGACGATATTAATTGCTGTACAACGCTCACCAATAATAGTGACGCTAATGCTCCCTTCAAAGTTGTCATCCCAGCCTCCAGTATTGCCAGTCACAGACGGCCTACGAGTCTCGCCCGATCCCTTGCTGCTCGCCATCAGCACAGTCTCCGGTGGAGGTGTGTCCCCTAGACTTCCTCGTTCGAGTCCCAGTCTTGCTCGCCGTACATAGGTCGCCTCGCATTGCTACTCCCGCCTCCGACGACCTCCAGCTTTGCCAAAAACTCAGGCGGCACCGTCGGTATGTATTTCCTCTCGCGCTCTCGGTTGACGCCGCCGAAGCCGGCCCCGAAGCACACCAGCATGTCCGTGACCGACGGCAGTGTGAATGGGAGCATGTATGCCGGGTCCATCAGGAGGTTCTCGGGCGCGTCCTCCTCCTCGTCGTCATCCCCGGGCGTCTGTGGCTCTGCACCGCCATTCGCAGGTTTCTTGGCGTTCCGCTGAGGCGTGGAGGGCGCGCTCTCGGGGGCTACGCTACGTGTTGGAGACGAGAGCGAGGCCGCCACGCTGCGACGATTGCTTTTCTCCTTCTCCCTTCGCACCTCCGTTTCCTTCTGTATCGCCGCGAGGTATTTCATCGCGCTCTTGGGGAGGCCTTTTTCGCCGACCTCGGCGCGGTAGTGGTTCGCAGCATGGATGAGCTGCTGTGGGGTGAGAGACTTGAGCTGCTGCAAAGTATCAATCAGCGCCTCCAGGTCATCAGCCCCAAGCGACGAGAAACACTGTAGCCACTGTAGAAGTTGGATGATGGGGCTCATATGCCTCCTGGCTGACTCTATGGTGTTGTCGCCGTGAGCCTGCATGTCGCCGTACTCGTAGTGCTCAGGTTGTCTGTTGTTGGTGCGCGCCCAGTCCTCCAGCACCGAGACATTCATGCGTATCTGCATCGCTTTTGTGCGAGCCAGGTATTTCCTGTTGGACATTACCCGGTTGAACAGTTCGGCTCCCAGCCAATATAGCAGTTGCGCAATGATCTGCGCAGTGATGACCGAATGCACGTCGTAGAGGTCGAGCACGAATAGTGTCGAAGAGAGGAGAGAGGTGACGTTCCTGGGTGCCGGCTTTGCCCTCTGCTTGGGCGATGGTGGCCGATATTTCCGCTCCGGCGGTTCTTCCTTGACCTTCTTTTTGGTCTTGAATATCTTCCACTCGTTTTGGAAGGTTATGCCCTCAAAACCTGGTATTGTCTCGTGGTCTAGCATTGCTGCATCAAGGACCTTGTCCAGCCGCCTTTCCGCGTCACGGACGATGAGAATGAAAATCTCGTTGATTAGTTCAGCAAGCTGGGCCTGAAAGTTAACAGTGGCCTCAACAAGACCAGCATCTTTCTTCAAATAATGAAGCAGTAAAGTGGCATTCGAGATCCAGAACGCCAGGATAGTCATGTCCCACTGGTGATCCTCGACAACCTCATTTATCCTATCCATGGCCTTGATGAGTAGCTTTGCCAAGAGGTCAGAGCTTGCATGGTAATGGGCATATCTCGCGCTCAAGAAGATCATGTTCGCGGGGACTGGCTTTTGAGCAGCTGATCTCTGTGGCGTCATGTTGGTGACGATGATGTCCAGAATGCGGTCCAAGTCGCCTTCTTGGAACACAAACATCTGGTCGTGGAGGCATCTTGCCCAGTCAAACTCCTGTTGCTCCTCCTCGAATTCATCGTCGACCTAGACAAGTTAGCACGTGGCGGTCGCGGCACAAGTAGACGGCGGCGGGGCGCACCTCTGGTTGATCGTCTATTCCAACGTTGCCTAGGTCAACTTCCAAGTCTCGCGCGCTTTCCATCATCATACGCCTCCGCAGTTCGCTCTCCATCAACTCCTCCTCAAACTTGTCTTGCGAGAAGCCGGGCTTGTAGAAATCATCGTCGCCGATACCAGCACTGCCAATGTTGTACCCGTTACTATGTAGGTAGAAGGACATGTCGCTATCAGGGGCAACGAAATCAGCAGCGGTACGGCCAGAAGTGGTCTTCGCGTCTGAAGATGCCCCATTGTCTAGAAGAACCTTTGCAATCTGCTTGTGGCGATTGGTCATGGCCCACATGAGGGCGCTCCAACGGTTGCGGTCCTGTTTGTCAATATCGGCTCCAGCTGCGATCAGAGCTTCTACGACAGCTTCATGGCCCTGATGCCGCATCAGCCCACGGGTCATGTCAGCTTCCTGGGGTGAGAAGACGTACAAAACAACTGGCATATATCAGTGGAGGAGTGCCGTCCTCGTCTGGAGCGTTGATATCCACGTATTCCTTGGCCTTGCCAGCTAACATCCGGTTGACCTGAGTCACATTGCCATTACTCGCTGCCATGTTCAAGGCTTTCTGCAGCATCTTCTTCTTCTCGTCCTCCGAAAGCTCCTCGTTCGCCGCGATGGCTGCCTCATCTTCGAAGCCGGGGCCGGATGAGTGGGCCGCCTGGGCTGCCAGCATCTCCATCAGCCGCGTGTCACTGTCAGAGACGCCCCTTGTGAGATCTTCGTCGTAATTCTTGTCGTCTAGGGAGAGGTCGCTAAATTTGAGAGGCTTCGCAACGACCGGAGAGGTCAGGAATTGAGATTGTCCTTGACAGTGCTACGTATCAGCGATCCAAAGCCCCTAGGTCAGTCGGGCGAGGAAGGGAGTTGCCGCAAACCTTGCCAACCGTCGTACATCTCTGTCTCGGGGACCGGCTCCCTGGGCATGCGCCTATCATCGAGGGAGGTGGGCAAGTCCGCCGGCAGGACCTTTGGCCTCTCGCCGCCTCCGCCGCCGACATCGTCCTCGAAAGGACTGCAAGGCCCTCCGGTCGAAGGCTCAAAGTCCATCTCGGATCGGGAGTCTCGTGGTCCGCGGGAGGTGGTGGCGGGGTCGTCCGGGATGTCCGATGACGAGTTTGAGGGAGCCTATCTCTTGCTGGGTTCGAGCATCAGGTCATTGCTTGATGGAAGTTTGGAGGCTTTGCTGGTACACCCAGTGCAGCTGGAGGAGAAGCAGGTTGTCGACGAGCTGCCGTGGGGGACTGTGGAGTGCTGTCGCTGCGTTGGAATATGTGGTTGTCGGTACCTCCTGTGGGTGGTCTCTCGACCCCTTGTCCAGCTCGACCGCCCCTGTCGCACTGCACCGCCCTGCCAGCCTGCCCAGGAGCACTTTCGACAGCGGGGCTGCACGGGCCATTTGGACAGCTTGTCAGCAGTGACGTGCGTCCCCTCCCCCCCCCCTAGAGGCAGGGTTCGCTGTGCTGGGTACCAAGGTACCAGAGTACCGGGGGGTTGACTGGCCACCTAGCTATCTGGTAAGTACTGGGGACTAGATAATAGTATACCCGGGCCCAAGCAATATACAATGCCGCTCAAAGCTCAGGTCATGGATATGTTCAACGAGTTATAATATGTATGCAACAGGGTGGGGGATCAATTCGCATGCCTACCTATCTACACAGTCTACACCCACCCAGCAGAGCAGTCTGCCCGTTGCGCTCGTTAGTGGTGGCCGGGCTGGAGTGCTGTGACAGCAGCATGCCTGGTAGACTAGTACCTAGTTTGCACTCAGTATTGTTGTGGGCTGATATCCATCCTACTTCCATGCAGGCTGGCATGGTTGATGTGGGTGTGTGTCATCGAGCTCTTGTCGCCAATGCCGCAGGGGTGCAGTCTTTTGCATGTCGAGAACACTGAAGACCCATCTCAGCCGTTCTGGCCCGCGTTCCTGCTGTGCCTATCTCTGAGCACCCGGAAGGCGCCAGCGAAGAAGCTCTTTCTCGGGCAACTTGGCCGATCAGGAGCCACTCGCACCTTGGTGTCTGCTCTCATGACGACCAAAAAAAAAGATGGAGATCTGCGCTCCTTGCCCTGGCAGATTGACCATACGGCTTTGCACGGATGTCGAAGGAGAGACAAGGTGAGGAGAAAAAAAAAAAAAAAAAAAAAAAAAAAAAAAAAAAACCTCTCAGAGAAGTGTCAAGCTGCTAGGATTCTACGGCTGTACTAGGCCTAACAAGGGTTGCTTCAACAACCTTGGAATCGTCGAAGTCCCATCCGAGATCCAGGCCCAGGTATTTGTTTGTCACCCGTATTTATTACCATACAGTATGCATCTACCAGATCTTTCGGTGACGAACCTCTCTCCACTTCTGTCTCGACTGTAGTCTATGTGGAACTTGCCCAGTTGCCGTGGTCTCCGCGCGTGCACCTCGTTGCTTCTTCTTGCCTGGGAGCCGCAAGGCGCAATCTGAGCCCGACGACATACAACATACAACACACAGTCCCGACATCCCGATTACTAACAAAAACCGCCAGACAGACATACAGACATCAGTCAGTCAGTTACCACGGGCATCAAGACGGCCTTGCGCCCTGACATTTACCTCTCGCACCCAACAAGCCCCGCGTCCGGGTTCTGGAAGCAGACCGACTACCCACCCACGTTCTTTACCCGCGCCGTTCGTTTGCAAGGGAGCTCTAGGCATAGCAAGCGCTCTGTGCCGCGGCAGCATCATCCCTACCACATAGTCTACGTCGTCCAAATCAATACACGCGTGCGCCGCCACCAAGACCACCGCTACCCACGAGTGCAGCGGACAAGCGAGCCACCGAGCGACCGACCTCGCAGCCATTATCCGACAGACTCACAACTTGGTACCACCACCAAGCCATGTGTCCAAGCAGGCTGAGACCGAGATCAAGAACCTGAGACCTGTGTCTCTCGATCACGCAAGCTTCGCCGGCTCGGCCCTCCACACGATCATGGAGGGGTCGGCTATCCAAGATGAGCAGCTCGACTCGACTCTCGATCCCCCGCCCCGGATCTTTGAGCGCCTCTCCCAGATCGCTGGGTACACGTGGGATGAGTCCGCCGCGCTCACGCATTCGAGCTATGACAACTGGTACGTGTAACTCCACCGTCGCTCCCATCGTGGCAACAGACTAGAAGCCCCCACGCCTGCTGCTAGAAGGCTGACCGCTGGCACGATGAACAGGCACGTATTTGGTGTCCGTTTCGCCCCTAGATACTCTAGTAACCATCATGCTACGAGCCCGACATCCTTTGCCAGGAGCCCTCCCTCGACTTCGAGCCGCATGTCTCCCGGCGAGCCGCCCTCTTCGGCCTCCAATGGACCCCTGAGCGAAGGCAGCATGAACGACGACTCTACGGCAGGAGCAGTGGTCGAAGAGGCCGTTGTCGCGAGGGTCTCTTATCACGTCCTCCGAGAGGAGCGCGCGTTTCACATGATGAAGAATTTAATTCAGACCGCAGACCCGAATCAGGATCACACTATCATGCCCCTCGATCTGATCAGGCTTGCGCCTCAGCCTGGCGATCGGGGCCAGATTATCGTTTCAATATATCAGTCACCAGGACAGAGTTTGTTGCCCAAGATAATGGACCTGGGTCCTGCATTCTATATGTGTAGGAAGGTCGAGGATAAATGGGTGTCAAGCACACATGACAATCACCAATTGGGCCCGCCCATCAGCCTGAATCTCTTCCTCGATTTCGCAATCGGCGCGACGCAATGCCTCGAGATGATCCATCACGGTCTTGGGATCATACACGGTGAACTCCGCGGTGACTCCTTCCATTACAACGAAGAAACGAATAAGGTGAAACTCATCACGTTCGGTTCTGGGCTGCGGTCGTTCGAGCATGGTCTCACCAGCACGGGATGGTCAAGCCTTTCGAGGGAACTTGGGGCCAAGCACAAGCTCCTTCACATCAGTCCCGAGCAGACGGGTCGCATGCCCGCAGAGCCAGACACGCGCACTGATATCTACTCGCTTGGCGTGTTGTTCTGGATGTTGCTGACGCAGAGCCCTGTCTTTGATGGTGACACTCCGCTGGATATCGTACAAGGCGTGCTTGGCAAGAGAGTCCCTAATGTGTCCACCATTCGACTTGATGTGCCTGATGTGCTGGGGAGAATCATCCAGAAATGTACGGCCAAGAACGTGGGAGACCGGTATCACTCGGCTAGCGGCCTCCGTCACGATCTGGTCAAGGTGCAGGGGTTTCTATACGACAATGACTGGCTGGCACTCAAAGAGTGGCGTATAGCGTCCCGAGATGTTAGCTCATTCTTCATGCTGCCATCCATGATGATCGGGCGGCAAAAGGAACGGGCAGAGCTCTTGAGGGTTGTGGAGCGCGTCGCAAAATCCCACGCAATGAGCCAGAAGGGATCAAACCGATTCTCTGACGGATCGACCTGGTCGAACGACATGCTCGATGGAGGGGACGTATCTAGTGAAGGCGCCAGCTCGGAGGGTGGAAACAGGCAGAGCGGTTCTTACACTACGATGACAGACCCCAAGTCTCGTAGCAGCATGATCCATTCATTCTATTCGACTGAATCCCAACCTCTGCCTGGTGGGGACGCTGTGTCTTTGGGCAACTCCACCCCGCAGACTCGCACAGCGTCAAGAGCGTGGGAGAGGCATCAGTCGATCCCTTTCGAAACGAGGAGTTTGGTCAACAGTCTAGGAGAAGAGCGACCAAACCCGGATTCGTCCTCAAGTCTTTCCAAGCAGTTGGGTTCGGCCAAGTTCAGGAGGCGGGGACAGTGTGAGATTGTCACCATTGAAGGAGCTGGCGGGCTGGGGAAAAGCTGCCTCGTGCACTCTGTCCTTGCGGATGTTAGGCGGAGTGGGTACTGCGCAACGGCAAAATTCGACACGGCTAGGAGGACTGCATTTGGGCCTTTGCTCAAGCTGCTTTCCTCACTCTTCCGTCAGGTGTGGGGCGAGCGGAATACTGAGACCCAATTCCACCAGACCCTGAAGACGTATATCCGCCCAGTCTGGCCCATGTTGCACAAGCTCCTTGGCCTTCCCGAGTTCCTGATCGGGCCCGTCGATGCGACAGTTTCTAGGTCGATGTCGAATTCTTCGGGCGCCACGATACAGAGAAATCGGGCTCCGGGAGCCCTCAGACGACGAGGTTCATCTCCGGGAGGTACGTCGACCCCCCCGAGATCTTCGTATCGAGGTTCAACTATGTCCACATCAGGCTCTCAGGATTTCCTGCGCACTGGTGCTTCGACCAAAAGCCTTCGGCTCATGAACACCTTTCTTGACGTCCTACGGATGTTTTCCCAACACAAGTTCATCTGCTTCGTGCTGGAGGACCTCCACTTTGCCGACGATGAGTCGATAGAGCTTATCACCCAGATAATCAGCGCAAGGCTCAGGCTTGCCATTATCATAACCTACCGTTCTGACGAGATGTCCCCTGACAAGGTCAACAACATCATATCACCGCCTGAATCCGAGGATCTGCCGAAGTTCGGATCACCAATCGTTACGCGGATACCTTTATCGCCTTTAGGAGAGGAGGAAATCGTCCAATACGTTTCGACCACGCTATGCAAACCCAAAGAGGAGATTCTGCCACTTGCCCTTGTCATCCAGTCCAAATCTGGCGGGAACCCGTTTTACATGCGGGAAATGCTTTCTGCATGCCACCGGAAACGGTGCATTTGGTAAGTTTAGATTTTTGAAGTGGCGACCCCTTCCTCTTCTATTTCAAGGAGTCGGACATGATTGCTCTGAGGATTACCACTTTTCCTCGCGCCATACGGCCAACCTGAAAAGTAAACCTGAGGTTCACCGTACCGCTTCAGAAGATATGGGAATATTTCATGTCGATTTGCTACGTTGTTTCTATCGTTTTCATACGCCACTTCAAGAATTTCTAGCGACTTTTAAAGTATTGACTGGCTGCGCAGGTACGACTACAAGACAAACCAGTGGGAATTTTCTCTTGACCAGCTCTTTGAGGAGTTCCAAGGCAAACAAAACTACGATGTGCTGGACACCAGTAAGTAGCTTCTCACTGCACTTTGCGTTTCACGAGCCAGTTTCCGTGGTCGACCAGGGAATTAGGAGCCTGGACGCTCCCGAAGTTCTTACGTCTGAGATATAAGTCCCGGAGGCATTTGGTGAGAACTCGCTGACCCGAGTATCAAAGACTTCATCACGCGGCGGCTTAACGAGATGCCAGAGGCTTCGAAGTGTCTCCTGGCCTGGGCGGCCTTGCTAGGCCATTCCTTCTCATTCGAGCTCATCTGTCACCTCCTCAGCGGCGAATGCCAAGATGCCTGTGGGCAGTCTCCCGCAGAGCACATTCACAAGACCTACACGCAGGAGGAGGCGGTGGCAGGATTGCAAGCTGCTATACAGGCATATATCATTGTTCCGGGCGACGTAGACGATCGCTTTCGATTCGGTAACCTCCCTTCAGGTCCCGGGCATGTGTACAACGCGGTAGACTGACAGAACGTGCAGCCCATGATCACCTAGCCCAGGCCTCCAGACAATTGAAAATATGCGAGGCTCGTACAATGCACTTCACCGTGGCCCAAGTCCTCATGGTATTTGCCCTTACAGCCTCCAGCATGGATCAATGCTAACACTGCTGTGCTCAGAAATATTATGCGGAAGACGGGAAATCGAAAGACAACATTGCTTCCCATATCTGCGAGTCCGTGGACATCATCAGACAACGAGTTAAAACAAGGCGACCGTACCGGCAGCTACTGTTCGATTGTGCGAAGCTCAGCACAGAACGGGGTGCTCGACCGACTGCTGCGAAGTTTTACACTAACGCCGTTGCTCTGTTGCAGCCCGACCCGTGGAACGATGAAGCCGAAGACGTGTCTTACGAAGAGACCAATCAGCTATACCTCCGGGCGGCAGAGTGCTACCTTTACATGGGTAATCACGGTGCCGCTAACGCTCTCCTGGGAACAATCTTCCTGTCCGCACGATCAGCCTTTGACAAGGCGCCCGCCTCTGTGCTGCGATCTAGGATATTCGCGCAGGCAGGTGACGCTGAAGAGGCACTGGCGTGTCTGTTGCAATCCCTCAGGGAACTTGGGGTACCATTTGACGATAATCCGACATACGAGAAGTGCGATGCGGAGTTTGAGAGATTGGCAGCGAAGATCCGCTCGATGGAGCGCAGCGAGATCATCAACCCGCGCCACACGGTCGACTCAAATTTGGCGTCTATAGGCGCGGTGCTCGCTGATGCCATCAGCTCAGCCTGGTGGAGCAATTGCCTCATGTTTTACCATCTCTCACTGGTGATGGTAGATGTCCACTTGAGTCGTGGCGCATTCCCGAGTTCCGGGATGGCATTCCTCCACGTTTCTATGGTCGCTCTCAGCAGACACAGTCTGACAGAGCTGGCCCTCGACCTGGGCTCGATTTGTCTCGACTTGCTAGACAAGTATCGTGACGCCTTCTCCATGGCTCGTGGATACATGCTTTACGCCAATTTTGTTGGTCATATCCATTACCCTCTGAGCGTCGCAGTCAACCAAGTCGAAGGTGCCGTGGAATACGCAACCGTCGCGGGCGACCGAACGTCGACAATCCTGAGCTTTGGACTCTTGGCCCAGCTCAAATTCTTTGCCAGTGAAAACTGTGCCGACCTTGAAGCTTTCTGTCAATACGGCTGTGAAGATGTGCCAAATTGGCACCAGGACACGAGGGGCGGAACCCTCCTCATTGCAGTGAGGCAGGTTGCTCGAGCACTACAAGGAAAGACACGAAATTTGATTGCTGATGAGGTTATGAATGATACCCAAACTTCCCACAGTTCTGCATCCTACAAAGCATGGCTAGAGGCGAACGCGAAAAACGGCGGTCGGTCTTTGATATGGTACGAGACCATGGAAATAATACCCCTTTTCCTGTTTTCTCATTACGAGAAAGCGGCACAACTAGGCAAACACTGCGTTGCCAACGAACACATCATCTGGTCTGCCCGAAACACGAGGGGTGCCATGCTGTTCTATGGCTTGTCTCTCGCGGGCCTTCTCTTCCGCAAATTCGAGGACCCGCGCACCAAGGACAACGATATAGACGAGCAAGTCGAAGCGACGGTCGAAACTCTGGTGATGCTACGCAGGAAGATCACAGATTGGGAGGTTGTATCCGATGTCAATTATCTGCCCTGGTCCACTTTTCTTCAGGCACAGATACACGAGCTCAGAAGCGAACATGGCTCAGCCATCCGCGCATATGAGGATGCTCTGGATCATGCATCCGAGCAGAATCTGGTGTTCGAGGAAGCACTCGGCAATTATCTCATGGCAGGTGTCTTCATTAGACGCGGCGCACGGAGATCAGCCAAATCTGCACTCAGGGACGCTGTCGGCCTTTTCCGATTAATGGGTGCCACGGGCCTGGCCGATAGAATTGAAGAGGAACACAGTCTCCTGCTTCACGGGCCTACCCGCAATCCTCGGACGGCTGAGGCTTCTGCGCAGACCGACTTCGCAGGCGACGCAGCACCAGTACAGTTCCATCATGTAGACGGAGAGGCAGAGGAGCCCGGCCAACCAACCCAAGTCGCCATGGGCGAGCTTCAAGAGAATAGGATAGGGGCCTGGCGAGGCTCCATGCACCAACCTGAGGCCGGCGCCGGCCTGCCTGCTTTGGACATGATCGATCTGCATGCCATTTTAGTATCGTCGCAGGTGATTTCATCCATCCTGGACGTCCAAGAGCTCCTCAAGGTATGTTATTCTGACCTCAACCTCACCTGCACTCATCAATGATCATTTTGCCTTCGAGTCTCAGTCCCACGCTTTCCCCTCCTACTTCCTCGGAGGCAAACCACGTGCGATGACCTGACCTCGGAGATTTCCCACTCTATGAACTTATCGTTCCCCCAGCCCACGTAGACCCCGACTTCCTGATACCTGTCAATGCCTCTGCGCAGCCTTTTTGTATTTATACACTCATTCTACCATGGCACCCAGCGTTAACCTGATAAACACAGACCATGGCGGACGTGGTATTGCGCTGTTGTGGAGGCACCGCCACCTTAGCGGCCATCATTGTGGACGACAAGAGTCAGTGGTGCGTTGCCGCCAGCGGGGACCCCGAAAAGGGAGCACAGGCCCACAAGCCCGGAATACCCTTGAGCGCTTCTCAGCACCTGGTCGCTGAGAACGTGGTGTTGTATTGTACTCGGTTCAGGGAGGCGGTCTTCAGCGCTGATATCATCAGCGATGAAAGATTCGGCGTCAGTGAGCAGTGGCTCCAGAAGAATCCCCAGGGCAGAGCCATCATCGCTTATCCCATCTCTCATGGGTCGAACCCTCTTCTTGGCGTCCTCTACCTTGAGGGCAACCCCAATTCGTTCACGGATAGAAATGTCACAGTCCTGCAGCTCCTCGTTAACCAGATCGGCATCAGCTTCTCGAACGCGCTGTCACTGAAGGCCATTGAAAAGGTCTCGAGCGAAAATGCTAGCATGATCGAATCGCAGCAGCGTGCCTTGTTGAAGGCTCAGGAGGCCGAGACGAAGGCCAAGGCTGCTGAAGCAGAGGCCAGGCGCAACGAGAAGCGAGCCGAAGAGGCGGCAAAGGCAAAGTCCATTTTCCTTGCCAACGTCTCACACGAGCTCCGAACTCCGCTCAATGGTGTCATCGGAAACTCGGAGCTCTTGAAGGACTCGGATCTGTCCAAGGAGCAGCTCGAGATGGCCGACTCAATCAGGGTCTCTGCTGACCTACTTCTCACCGTCATCAATGACATCCTGGATTTTTCCAAGATGGAAGCCGACAAGATGAAGCTTTACATCACTGCCTTCAACCCGGAGGAGATGGTCCGCGAGGTTGTCCGAGCTCAGTCATATAGTAATCGGGAGAAGACAACACGGCAGAACGTCAAAATAATCAAGGACATCAACTTACCGCCAATGCTCATCTACGGCGACCCGATCCGTCTCCATCAGGTGCTCGGCAACTTGATCTCGAATAGTCTGAAGTTTACGGAAGACGGGTCGGTGACCATTGGGTCCCGCTTGGATTCTGAGACTAAGGACAAGGCAACGTTGACTTTCTGGGTCAAAGATACCGGCATTGGGATCTCAGCAGAGCAGAAGGCCAAGCTTTTCCAACCCTTCAGCCAGGCTGACACGAGTACGGCTCGAAAATACGGCGGCAGTGGTTTGGGTTTGTCCATCTGTAGGAGCTTGATCGAAACGATGATGAAGGGCAAGATCGAGCTGGACAGCCAGCAGAATATTGGGACCACTGCGTGGTTCACAGTCACATTTGACAAAGCAAATCCCGATGTGACAGCAGGCGACCCCCGCGCCCTGCCCGAAACATTTTCGCGGAGGTCCTCTGATAACGTCAATCGGGAGCCGTCGCCCAACCCCTACCTGGATCTGTCACAGGTACCCAAGGAATCACTTCGCGTCTGTATAGCCGAGGACAACGCCATCAACCAGAAGATTGCCATTCAGTACATCCAAAGGCTAGGGTACAAACATGTGGATGCTTACGATAACGGGTTGAAGGCAGTTGAGGGCCTGCGCCAGAAGGCTCTGGAAGGAGAACCTTACCACGTCATCCTGATGGATGTACAGATGCCAGTGATGGATGGCTATGACGCGACTAAGCTCCTCCGTAAGGACTCACTCGAGGCGGTCCGCAAGATCCTGGTGATTGCGATGACGGCAAGTGCAATACAAGGCGACAGGGAGAAGTGCCTGGCTGCTGGCATGAATGACTATCTGGCGAAGCCTGTGAGATCCGACGTGCTCAAAAAGAAACTGGACACCTACGTTGGTGGTCAGGTACGTGATGGCTAATTATGAACTCCAATATCCAAATGCGATGTTGTACTAATACGAGCTGAGGATAGGCACCTCCCGACCGTAAAGTCAGCGATGTATCCGTAGCTAGTGTCCAGTCAGCCACCGCGACAAGTCCGCCTCCGTCTCTGCTCGAGCACAACGGATCTTTGGTTCCGGTGAAAGAGAATAAACAGCTACTGTCCAGCGGCGCCGACCACAACCAGAAGAGCAAACAAGACATTCCCGGTCCTCCCAGCAGGACCTCGAGTGACAACCGACTGTCTGATACTGGCTCAATAGAAAGTGCGGCAGGCAAAGTTCGGAACAAGTTGACGAAGAACCGGCTGAGCCTAGATGCATCTGGAACTGCTGAAAGCAAAGGAAAAGAGAAAGAGAAGGCCAAGGCGGTATTGAAGAAGAAGAACCCGCAGGACAGGAGGGAGAGCCTCAGCGTTGATCCGAATGAGCAGCAGTGAAGTGGCCAAAGCGACACGAACTTAACGACACGGAGAAAAGGAGATAGGTCACACGGCAGGGATTCTGAATTATGTGAAAAGAGAACAGGGTAACTCCTCGGGAGGGGAGGGTTTCTGGGGTACCACGGGCACGTCTTTTTACTGGACGTCAACAAATACCATATTTTCCTATTCTACCCACGACAAGCGATTGGAAGTTGTTTCTACACGAAATGGAATTGGGGGATGATGTCTGAGCGGGCAGCTCTTGCATTGCTACGTGTTCACGGTATCCATTCTTGCATGTTTTGTTGGGCTTCATAGCGCGTCGAGGGCGACGGGGTCTATATTTTTCATGAGCGGAGGTTCAAAGAAGAGAGACAGAGACACACACAGACAGACACACAAATCAGATTACCGACTAACCAACACTAGGGTCTTTGGACATCTTTGCACCGTTTGGAGCGACGGGTGTCGGTGCGAACATTGAAAAATTGTAGCAGGGCTGACGACCTGGATGGCACACAAGAATCTCGATCGTTGAAATACAGTCAAGTAGATACAGTACTAATTCCGCATAGTCTGGCAGGACTGCAACGACCGGTCCGCCTGACTCGGAGATCCATCCTCCCGAGGCCGTGCGACCACGACAACAGCATGGGCCCTCGTGTGGTCACCGCCCCCTCCAAGCTCAACCGGGGAGGGCCGACTGTGGGCCGGCCCTCTCCCCCCCCCCCCAAAGATGGAGCCTCGACTCAGAGGCCACAATTCACAAAGCTGTCGCATGTGCCAGCTCTTTGGGCTCGATGACGTCACGCACTAGTAGGACCTGCGGCATTTTGACGCGGAAAGTGAAGAGAGGATTAAGATGACCTGAGGGGTTGATCGCACGGAATCAGAAATGGTAGTGTGAGCTCTCATCAAACACGTCGGTAGCCTGTGAGGGGCTCTGGTCACCAAAAAAAGACGGGGTAGGCGGCATTTTCAGAAGGCAAATGCCACTAGGGCAAAGTGGTATGGATGGTGTAAAATCTCTATGTCTATCGAATCATAGGAGCCATGTACCAAAGGCAGGGTCAGGTTCCCTGTATCTCTTTCTATACAGGCCCTCAATCCTCTCACCGCCTCGCTTTGCGAGGGTGACGAGGAGGCATGCCACGGAGTGGTCTTTCTTCCACGTTCTGTCTACCCGGGACTGCATCTTAGTGGAAATCCCATCGCAATGTCAACCAAGTATCCGTCTTGTAATTTCCATGCAACTCCTAGCCTGAATCTAGCAAAATCCGCCCATATGTTCCGTAATACATGCGCACGCACCGACTCCCTTTGTCTTTTAGTTGGGGGGCTGGAAGAATGCGTACGACTGCTCAAGGCGGCGCTCGGTGTTGGCGCGGCTGTTGACGAAGTCAGGGTAGTTGAGCGTCAGCTCGACGGCGCCGTTGACGATGTGGTCGGCGGCCTCGACACCTAGCATGAAGGAGTGGTCCTGGTTGCCGACCTCGTACTTCCAGCTGCCGAAACGACCACGGGAGAAGATGTCCTTGGCCTGCAGCTTGGGCAGGAGCTCCTTCAGGACGCCATCACGCTCCAGGGCGGGTGTGGGGTATCCGTGGTCGAACTTGCGGTGGTACGTGGACACGATATCGTCATCGGGCAGGATCATCTCAGTGTTGATCAAGCCCTGAATGCAGTCCTTGAGGATGTTCGCCTCGTCAACGGGCTTCTTGGTGGATTGGGACACCTCGAGCATGATGGACCAGTAAGGACCCTCCTTGGCCTCGCTCGAGTCCGCCTTGCTGCCATTGGCCTTGTACAGGGTCGGCAGCTTGACGTCCGACTGAGGCTGGTTGTAAGGGGAGTAGTTGGAGAAGATGGTGGCCCGGTAGAAGGGGCAGTTGTCCTCGGGGAAGTACAGCTGAGCAATCTTGGTTAGCAAAAGCTTTGTTGGCAGGAGTCTGAGGATTGACTCACCCAGCACTTGTCACCAATGCGGTCAGGGCGGCTTCCACGGAGACCAACGCCGATAACGTGTGTCGAGGAGTAGTAGAGACCCTTAGAGATGCTGACGAGCTCCTGGCTGCCCATCTTCTCGACGAGCTGGTCGACGTTCATGGTGGAGATGAGCTTCTTGTAGCCAATCTTGGAGCCATCGCCCATGGTGACGACCTTGTTGTCGGCGTCGACCTTGGCGACCTCACCTGACTTTCCGAAGCGCTTCTTCTCCTTGGGCAGCGTGTTGGCAACGGCGATCCAGATACCACCGGTACCGTCCCGGGCAGGGAAACGGAAGGTGGCGTTAGGGCCCCAGTTACCAGCAGTCTTGTTCAGGATAACGTTCTTGGCGACGAGCTTGACGTTGGGGGCAGCTACACGCTCGCCGAGCCAGTCACTTCCCATCTGGTTGTCCAATTAGTCTTGATTCCGAAGACGCGCGAGGCACAGTTGTGACTTACATCCTTGGTGGGGACGGCCCAGACTTTGTAGTTGTAGGGGCGCATGAAGATGTTGGCAATGTGGTCACCCATCTGGCGCACAATCCACTCGTCAAAGTTCTTGGGCTTTGACTTGGTGACGGCGCTCTCCATAGCAGCGTCGATGAGGCCATCGATGGCAGCGACCTGGTCCTCCTTGGGCAGCATGGAGATGTTGTTCTGGAAGGGGTAAGGGACCCAGAGGCCCTTGTAGCGGACGTAGGAGATACGCTGGTGGTCGAACCAGTCGTCCTCCTTGGGGAGGGCCTCCTCGATGCAGTCATCGAACTTGTAGTGGGAGAAAATGACGTGGCCGCCCACATCGTACAGCTGGTGCATCATCGTTAGCCCGGTTGTCTTGTTGCGGGAGAATAGTCAAGGGGCAACTTACGAAGCCTTCAGGAGTAACATCCGTGGCGGCGAGACCACCAGCCTTGTTGCCAGAGTCGACAATCAGCCACGAGGGACCGTTCTACGCATTGTTTGTCAGTAGGCGGTCACTTGGAATCGCGACGACGAGGCATTGGAGAAGAAGGGAGCGTACGATGTGGTTGAGACGCTTGGCGGCACCCAGACCCGTTGGGCCCATGCCAATGACGAGAACATCAACGTTGCTGCGGTTGTGCTGTCAGTATGTAGCTCTCTCCGGGTGGTCGAGACCGGGCAGGAAGCTGGTGGAGGGGTCAGGGAGGACAACACATACGTGTCAGCCATTGTGAAAGCTGGATAGAGACACTGAGTGTTTCGTGAAGAGGAGGAGGAGGACTCTTTAGTACTGCTCGCAGCTTAGGGTGCGATGCGAAGCAGGCGTTGGCGTTGAAGACGAAGGCTGCGAAGGACAGTAAAGGTCAAGGTCGGTGCTAGTAGCCGGCGACGCGCAAGAAATCTTCTTGGGATCTGGACAGTTTTCTTTGGTAAATGACGGTTGTCCCCCTCCTCCCCCCCTTTCCAGACCACCACCAAGAACAGGTCCCCTTTTTTTTTTCCCTAGCTGGGTAGGTAGGCTGGTACGTACTCAGGTACCTCTGGTGGGTAGGAGGGGTGAGGGTACATCAGTACAGCAGGTAGTCTAGCTGCTGCACATCGGTAAAATGAATGGGCCAGGGATTTGGGGTCCCCACCATCTCTTGACCACGCTAATTTGTGCCTGGGCCCCCCGAGCTGCCGCGAAGACCAGGGGCCATGAGCCTGCAACTTGGCATTGCTGTCGGGATGGGGGGCTCTCCCCTGGGCCCCAGACCCTGAGGGCGGCGCTGGCAGGCCAATTACTGCAGAGAGTCTGCCGTGCTCGAGGCCCACGGCGGCTCCATCCATCTGGCTCGGCAGCGATGATCTTGAACTCTGCATTTGATGCGTGGTCGACACCGCCTCCGTGGTCCGCTACTGTGTGTGCTGGATTGGCTGCGGTAACACGCCCGTGATACTCTGCCTGCAGTGCCGTGCATGCCATCTGCTCCTGCTCCCCCTTCCGCACCACACCTACACTACATACAAACACATGGTCCTGGAAAGCCGACGCTGGCGAAAGGTTCAAAGCTTGGGCCAAGTATTCCGACACGAGACATGTTTGGATGCGAGTCGTTGTTACAAGAGAACTCGTCCGTTCGAAGTCTCACAAAGATGATAGGAACGATACCAAAAAAGAAAGATATTGCTGTCCGCACTGGTGCTAGGCAAGCACGCACGTCGAGTTAGGACCGATGGCGATAGTCGACGTGGCTAACGGGCCCAATTTTTAATTTCCTCCATCAAGCCTGCCAGCACGCCGTGGTTGGATTCGTCAGTTTGCAAATTTTCTAGGTGTAACCTCTGGTGATATCTTCCCGGCTGTCCAATTTCCTCCATGAAATGAGCACTGCAGACTTGGAAGGTCGAGCACAATTTGGCCGGGAAGATCAGATGGGATGAACGTGTCACAAGCAACTAAAAAAAAGTCAGACACGGCCGGCCGGCCGACATGGCTTCGGTGGTGTCGCCGGAGGGGCATGGCCCACTGCAGACGGGTATGCCTCGAGTATAGCCTGGTCTGTGGCAGTCGAATTGTGGCTTTCTAGAAAACAACACTTCCATGGAGTGCAACGTGTTCTTGGCAAGCATGCCGACAGGGCGGTTGCTGGTTGATGGGATTTCCAGACAGGCACATATTGTTTTCTGCATGTTGTGCTCTGTGTCACACACAGGAGGCTACATGGTCCAGTATTGCAGTGTCTGGTAGGCAGGCAGGTAGGACGCCAGGAAGATGTGGGTTGCAGTGATGAAGCGGTCATTAATTTTTCTCCCACCAGGAGCAGATGGACATCCCTGGCGACGGGGCGAGTCACTTTGCTGATCTCGTTTCACCATCGACGATCAGCGAGCGCGTGGGCAATGCCGAATTCCACATTGGAACAGCAATGCGCGGAAGTGAGTGGCATGGCCAGCAGGGCCTGCTGTAATAGTATCGTGGTAGTGCCGGCTCGAGATAACAGTAAATGAGGGTAAACCGTTCGTGGTAATCACCCGCCTTGGCCTGACAGGCGGCAGGAGATGAAATGATGGAAAAGGCAAAGACAGCCTCATCTACCTCTCACAGCTCCGAGACCCGGTGGCGAGGAACCATGCACTTCCACCAAAGCTCACCAGGGCGCGCTCAGTCGCTCAGCGCTCAGTCACAGAATCTCTTATTCACATTGTCCGTGGCAGTGGCAGTGGCGAGTGGCCCTCGTGTTCTCGTCGAGGTGGAATACGGAAGTGGTGGGTGCTGGTCCTGGTGGTGCTGCGGGTTGCTGAACCCAGATGTCGACGGCGGCGACAACAATGCGTGCCACACCCAAGCAATGATTCGTGGTGAAGTTGGAACTTGGCCAACTCCCGGCCCATGACTCGGACAATTTAGACCAGGTACGACTCAGCCGGTATTGGTTCGAGGGTGCTAATCATATGCTGCAACACACCCAGGCGATGGCACCCTTTTGCTTCCGAATTGTGTGTGCCGCATGCATACTAGATAGTCCGGGTGGTATGACAGCGGTGCCGATGTCTTTCTTGTATTATGGAAACACGGCGTTCTACCGTGGAACATCTAAATCTGGCCAAAACGTGGGCAGATCATGCGTCTGGCTTGGTCGGCAGGGTGGCCTGTCAGATTCGACCAATTTGATGTTCCTGCAAGACACAGTCTGTGCACCCGCCGGGGCGCTGCGCTACATGGTGCTGACGTATGGCATTGTCTCGCTGGATCTGGTCTAGAAGGCCGGAAGTGGCAGCCATCAGAGAAAGCAGGAATAAATACGAGGCCGAAACTTGTCGCGAGGCCGGCCAGGTGGCCCGGTGGCCAAGTACGGGAGGGCTGGTGGTGTATGTAGGTAGCGTAGGTGGTGGTGTAGCTTGCTGTTTGCGGCGGTTACACACGACGGCCCGGTCGGTGAAGTCAGGGTCTTCCCGAAACTTGGCGTTCTCCCGTCCCATGCGGCGCCGCCATCGTGGGAAGGGAGCTGGTCATCACGAAGCCGAAGAAGCTTCCATGGGCCGCGGTCCCCAATGCGGCACGTCCACGCAGCCTTCGGAGCCGATGGCTGGCCAGGCTCACGGGGCCCAAGGCTCAGCACAGATCGCTACACGGCCAGCAGGTGTTACTTCAGGTAACCCACATCGTCGTGATGCTCTTGGCAACGGGAATCCGAGCTTTAGGATTTTAGATTGGGACGTCGTCGCCTCAACCTTGGAAGCATTGCAGTATAATGTGGGCTGGTATGGCTGGACAGCCCAGTTTTGGTGTATGCCGGTGATGGCACACCACCACGATACGAGCGTAGACAGCAAAAATAATCCAGGCCCCCCCGGGGTAGCTATTCTGGTCGACTGCCAGCATGGCCACGCCGCGAGCGCGCGCACACACGAGGGCCGTGTTGCTTGTCGCTGGAGTGAGGTAACTTGTACATGGTGGACTACACTCCGCCATTGACGTGAATTCGGCTGCAGGGCCGGGCGTTGGATGGGAATGCCCGGGGCTGTGCTCGTCTCCCCTGAGGCCTCAAGCCCCATGTGGCAAGCAATTTGCACGTTGATCTTCTGCTTGCGGGTGGGGTGTGTGTGTGTGTACTATGCTGTACGCGTGTGATAGGGAAGGAGAGGAGAGGCAATATGCTGACCGCTGCATCGCATTGGCTGCCATCTCCGTGGCCATTCTGCCAGTCAAGTTCAGCATGGGGCCGTGGTGGGAAAAACAATGGAGCCATCCCTGTTGCGGCCAGCCCCTTTTTCCCGCCCTTTTCCTGCCTTTCCAAGGTTGGCCTCGTTGGCCAGATCGCCGCAAGATTCACCCTCTTGGCAGCTTATTATGGTGCTGCGACGCTACCAGCCTACCCGCCCGCCAGCTTGATTGGGGCCACCCCAGGCTAAACTTTATGAGCCTTATCGGTATCATCCTTCGCCCTCATCTGCGCCTGTGCCTCCGACCCTCCTCTTCCCACGTCCGCGTCCACATTCCCATCCTCCTATTTCCAGGTCTCCTCCATCAGCCTCACCCAGCCAAGTTGCGAGCGCATTGACCTTGCACGGCTCCGTACCCGACTGTTGAAGTTTATCTTCCGACCGGCCACCTTGTCTCGCAGCTCGAGGGTTTCCTCTCCCGGTCTCACATCTGACCAAACCAGTCCCCCTCGTTACACAAACTTCTCTTCTTTCTGCCTGTCGTGGTCTCGACCTTGTACTGTGACGCCGTCTCTCTGCAACAGCGACACCGCAACTTGACCAGACACCCCCTTTTCTCTACTATTCCGTTCCAAAGGTCGCTCAGTCCACCAAGATGGGTGTCGACGAGAAGACGCGCGTCTCGGGCGAGGTGACGCGAGAGCAAGACTCTCCCGTCCTGCCGACTGTCAATCCCGAGGCGCAAAAGTCGGAGCCGGCAAAGGCCGCCATCCACCCAGCGCTCTATGTCGTGTAGGTTGAGCCACCACTGGACACGCTCGCTCAAGTAACGAGGCTGACGGGCAGATGGCCGTAGTGTCTGGATCAGCTTGAGTTCCTCGGTCATTCTGTTCAACAAATGGATCCTGGACACATTGGAGTTCCGTAGGTCACATCATGATAACGAACCTTGACAGCTCCCTGGTCCGTATGGCTGACTCTGAGACTCTGCAGACTACCCTGTGATCCTCACAACCTACCATCTGACCTTTGCGACGCTTATGACGCAAATTCTGGCCCGATACACCACGCTTCTCGATGGGCGCAAGACTGTCAAGATGACGGGTCGGGTTTACCTTAGGGCAATCGTGCCAATCGGCCTGATGTTCAGCTTGAGCTTGATCTGCGGCAACCTGACCTACCTCTACCTGTCAGTCGCCTTCATCCAGATGCTCAAGGCCACCACCCCTGTGGCTGTCCTGCTCTGCAGCTGGTCCATGGGCATCAGCCAGCCCAGCTTGAAGGTCTTCCTAAACGTATCCGCTATCGTCGTCGGTGTCATCATTGCCTCGATTGGCGAGATCAAGTTCGTCATGTTCGGTTTCTTGCTCCAGATCGCGGGTATCATCTTCGAGGCCATGCGTCTCACGATGGTCCAGCGGCTCCTGAGCTCTGCCGAGTACAAGATGGACCCTCTCGTCTCGCTCTACTACTTCGCCCCAGTGTGCGCCGTGATGAACTTCCTGGTCGCTATTTTCTGGGAGGTCCCCAAGGTGTCCATGGAAGAGGTCTACCACGTTGGTCTTTTCACCCTCTTCCTGAACGGTCTGGTCGCATTCCTCCTCAACGTTTCCGTTGTGTTCCTGGTAAGTTCATCGCACCCACTGGCCCCTCAATCAGCTGGCGGCTCACTGATACACGTCCACAGATTGGCAAGACCTCTTCCTTGGTCCTTACCCTCTGCGGTGTCCTCAAGGACATCCTGCTCGTGTGCGCCTCTATTGCGATCTGGGGAACCCAAGTTACCGGCCTTCAGTTCTTCGGCTACAGCATTGCTCTTGCTGGCATGGTCTACTACAAGCTGGGATACGACCAGCTCAAGGGTTACGCCGACGAGGCCGGTCGCCAGTGGGCCGAGTTCGGAAACAACCGACCGGCGCTTCGCAAGATCATTGTCATTGCGTCTGCGGTTACTTTGATCTTCGTGCTGTTTGGCGGCCTGGCCCCAACGTACGCCCCGGGCTACGTCCCAGACGTTCCAAGCGCGAACGAGCTCTGGAGCGCGGCTGCCAACAAGGTGAGCTCGCTGGGCTCATAAAACGCTCCAATCGCCGCCTCCACGGGTAGCTCTTTTCGAGTACAACCTTAAAAGTTTTAATGCTCACGTCTACAAACTCGCGCTTCACGCGTCTTCCTGCCGGCTTGTCGACGGAAGCAAAGCTTCTCACGTACATATTTGCCATTCATTCGTTCTGTCATCATCTCTGGGCAAATTACAAATGGGAGTCTAAAGGAGGGTCGTATATGTCTCACACCTGGTTGGATCTGGTGGCATTTGATCCGGGCGGAGGACGGTCGTAGACTGGTCATCTATCGCATAAAAGACAAGCTTCGTTCATGTGGTACCTAGACGCGGACTCTTCCGGGTGCTGGCTTGCTCCATGAACTCAATAGAAGCTATGAATAGCATAGCAAGACGACTTAATTGAAAAGGTAATGATTGAAATCTACTACCTGGCTCCTGGAAAGTGGCTTGTGCGGAATAGTCCGAAAATCACTTCATGAATTCCACAGTGACATACCTAGAGCACATTACTCGGTTGGGCCAAGTCGTCTCGAACGTACTTGACGTCTTTTGGGCTCGGCAGATCCACAGCAAAAGAGCGTTCGGCAGCTGGTGTTGTGGCCAATAGGCTTCGCCCTGGAGGAGTCACAACTGCCGTGGGAGCGCAACAGTCCCGGGTCGACATGTTCACACTCGGCAGGAAGAAACTGTGTTGTTTTGCGTTTTCAAGGAGGCTTAGACTCGTATCTTCACATGATCTCTTCGTAGGTTTGGTGGCCGCTTCTCGGGCCAGAGGTGGCCCCAGCCGGACTCCCGCTCTCTTGGCTGCCTCACTTGCGTCCTCGCTTGCAACGGGTCAAAAACGTATGTCATGAGCCAGACGCCGTAGTTATTATTCTTTTTGACTACGACTCGTGGCTAGCCACGGACAACCTTTCCATCCACACACTCCATGGTGATATGACGGGGCCGTCACACTTGTCTTTTCCCCCGACAAGAAGAACGCCAAAAAGGGACGAAGTCGACCTTTCTTTCCGTGTGGTCATCATGAGACTCGGGTCGTAAAGCGCAGTGCAGTTTTTCAAATGCCGTCGAATTTTGATTTGATGCTGTGTACATCCATACCATTTCGCCCCCGCCCAGCCGAAATCAAGGAAGAAATAATCTAGAATCCTGTTGATAAAGTCCGCGTTAGCATCGTACTCGCTGCCGTCTTGTCCTTGTCCCTCATCGTGTCGTGGCGTTCTCGCTCCCGCCCAAGTGTTTAGGGGGTCCCGGGCTGGTACTCCGTCTCGGTGTGGGTTTGACATACTCAGAGGGGTGAAGAACCATCGGTTCTTGCCGCTCGTGTACCGCTCCTCCAGGGTCTTCTTGACCGTCTTCTTAGCATCCTCGCGCTGGCTGACCTCCTTGAAGGTGTCGGAGGTGATGGCGCCCTTGAGGCCCTCGAGCTCCAGGGTGTAACGGGTGGGCATCAGGTGGTTGTAGTTGACAACCTTGACGAAGGGCTTGATCTTGGACCGCTTCTCCTGTCGTGCCTTTGACATGCGGCGGGTGATCTTGCTGGGGTAGCGCTCGATGCCGGCGACCAGGGCGTGGCCGTAGGGGTGCGCCTTGTTGCCGGTGTCGACGGGCTGGATGATCACGACCTGGATTGCGGGAAAGAAAAGAACCTAAGTCAGCCTTCTGCTACTACCGGACTGGACGTGTACCGCATGTCCCAATTGCGCCGGTCCCAAGCTCCTGAGGTCATCGCGGCTCCCATATCCTCCTATCCCCACCATATTTCCCAAGCCCCGTCGCTCCGCATCGTTGTTCGCGCCAAACAAATCGGGGTGTCGAGTTTCTCACCTTCTTTCCGGCGTAGCGGCCACGGGTGATGATGGCAACACGGCCAACCTTGAGGAACTTCATTTTGGCGTCGGTCGGGTCGTCAACGGGGGTATGAAGTGTGGATGGTTGCTGGTCGTCGATAACGGAATCTTGACGGGCGCTGGAGTCTAGGCGAGAAAATTCAGCGGTTGTGGGCTGAATGGCGCCAAGACACCCAGGTCCCGTGATTTCTTAGTCAGGAAAAGTGGGTGACTGGGCAACTCGACCCTGGGCCAAGCCCCTGCCGCTGCAGCTTTGAGGCTCCGGAGCTCTGTATGGAGAGATGGGGGAAAGCTTCTCATTCAGTTGTGTTCGTCCATACCACCCACACCCACTGTCTGCACGATCTCGTAGTCCATCAACCGGCGCAACCACTACCCCAAAACCTGGGTATATCGACGAGCACCTTTCTGGGAATGATACCTCGAGGGCAATTTTCCCAAGAACACACGCATTCATCACTCAAGACTACATCACCAACAATGCCGGCTCCGACCTACATCATCGGCAAGGTCGCTGACCCGATCTTTGCTCTCTTCATTGGGTTGTCTGCAGCAGCAACGAGGATCAACCGCGAGGAGAAGGACAAGGGCAGGTCGACGTCTGAGACAATCAACGCTGGTCTGAGGCATGTGTGCTTTCTCCTCATGATGACTCCCGGCTCGCCATGCCCCGTTGAAATTCACATGTGCTATAATCACATTCTGACCCTGTACAGGAGAACGGGTCTATCCAAGCATAATTCATAAACCACTCAACGCTGGGATCGATTCATTCTGGCCTCTTTCATGAGTCAGGACTGACATCCTCGTACGAGGGAGATCTGGGCTTGATCGTCTCAGATGAGATGCGCAACGTCTTACACCAGTGACACCGTCGACGAAGACGCCAGTTATCGAGGCGCATACGCCCACGTTTTAACTATCATTCGGCAAATCACTACCCCTTTTCGATACGCTTGAGCCTCGAGAGAACAGTCCTTACTTGGCTGGTTTGCACTCCAGCTTGGTCTGTGCCTGGGTGCCTGTGGATCTGCTTGCCTCATCCGCTGAAGGCTGGGCCATACTCTTTCTTCATCGCCTCCCGCACCATCTGCCCGCAGAGCTTAGCCGTGGGGTTTGTGCTGACCGCAAGACCTTTGGCCACTTCGTTGCCATATCTGCCGCCCAAAGCGAAGTCCCGCGAAGCGGCCTCTTCGAAATCTATCTTCTCCCAGCCAGCCTCGGCCCTTTCCTGGTCGACATTCAGCACACCGCCCTTGGCCAACATCTTCGATGTCTGGTGGTAGATTGCCGCCCTCTGTGTGTGTGCTGATGACAAGGTTCGTGCTGCTTGCCGGGACAAGCGTGGATAAGAGCCGCTCGGGGTGAGGAGCGAGATGCAGGTGTCAAGGTCCCAAAGTGTTCGTCGAGCCGCAGACCGTCTCTCATCTGAGTCACAATCAACAACAAGGGGACTGTCGGATGGTTCTAGACCCGACACGAGCATGCCATCACCATGTAGGCGACGAGTCGCCTGTGCCCGGTTGTTCCTGGCGCTGGCGTATGACGGATTTGTCGACACCAGCTCACTCAAGCCAGCAACGCACTCTTCATACGTCTTCAGGAAATCAAGACCGGTCTTTGGTCCCGGCCCAGCAAGCTGGATCTCTGCTTGCTGGACTGTCAATATCAACCGCCGTTCTTCCGTCGCGATCCGCTCATATTCAGTAACATCGGTGATATGAGGATCTTTGGGCAGGGTCTCGTCCACCTGGACCACTTGGGAAGGGTCAAATTCGGGGTCCTGGATCTTCTCCCTGTTGTTTTGTCGCGGTCAGCCTCTTATATGACTTGATCAGTGGGAAAGCTCGGCGAGCTATCCAGCACAGCTTACAGAATGTTGAGATCTCGAGTGCTTAGGGAAACAGAAGCCATCGTGGCAAGCGGTTCCCAGCAGACGGTTAATTTGGGACTTCACTCCGGGGCACCTTGCAGAGCAGGTTTCGTCAAGTTGAGCATAAGCAGATCCGCAACACCTCGAACGATAGCTCTATCTGTGCGATACAAGATGGATGCGGCGATCTTGAGAGCTCGACTCAGTATTGAAGGACTGGAGACGTCAGGAACGTGGTGACCGCTCAGCAATGGCAGCGATCAATGACTGGAAACAACGGTTAAGTGGAATGTTCAGCTTATTTGCAGTCGAATAATCGCAGATAAGTCGATCTGGACAGCACGCCTGCTCCACTCTCCTTGTTCCAGAACTTATTCAAGACGGACAGACTACTCGTTAAACTTCCGGCGTGTCCTGGGAGGCGAGTGTTGCTCTCGCTGCAGTAATCCGACCAGCTAGGAGTTGGAGTTGGAGGGGCCGATTGGACATTCCGAGCGCGGCAACCGTCGGATAGCTCGCTTTGCGACGGCTGCTGCAGGGCACCCTCGCCTGTCGGGCCAGTTCCGCGCTCCGCGTCAAAGGACGGAACGGCCTGTAAGTGTCGAGCAACTCGATAGAGTTTGTTTGAATGCAAGCCGTTGAGTCGTCATAGTCACAGGGCGTGAGTCCTTGGACTATGCCGCTCGCGGGTATACCGGACTCGAAACGTCGGCTTATGATGGCCAGGCCGGGCGGGCGAGCGCTCACAGCTGCTGCCAGCTTCCCGGGCCTACCATCGCTTAGGAATATATACGTGCTGCTCTTCACCCACTACCTGGCCTGGACATCTGCGGCCATTGTTCTATTCCATCAAGCTTCCACAAGTGTTCATCTCAGCAGCTAAACTTGGTTTGGCTCCTTTGTTCCTCACTCTTCCCCTGCCAACTACAAACATCTATCTACCTTGATTGATATCGGGCATATTACAGAGAACCACTCTGAGTGATAATGAGCCCGTCTGCCATCAATGACAGCCCACGAAACTCGGTAGCCTACCATAACAATGGTAGCGCTACGTCAACACACACAGATGCGGACTATGCTGTCCGCCATCCCCTCCCCAGCTTCAATGGCTACGACCATGTGACCTGGTGGGTAGGCAACGCTAAACAGGCCGCCGCATACTACTCAACTCTCTTCGGCATGAAGCCGATAGCCTACCGAGGCCTTGAGACGGGGAGCCGGTATTTCACATCCCACGTCGTCGGCAATGGCGACGTGCGCTTTGTGTTCACGTCCCCAATCCGTTCGGCCGTCCACCTCCCCGAGGATGAGCCCATCTCAAAGGCCGAGAAGGCCCTCCTCGTCGAGATGCACGCTCATCTGGAGCGACACGGCGATGCCGTCAAGGACGTCGCCTTCGAGGTCGATTCCGTGGAAGGCGTGTACAGCCGCGCCGTGGCTCAGGGCGCCGAGTCCGTCCAGCCCCCGGTTGTCCTGAGTGACAAGGGCGACGCCGGCTCCGTGACCACTGCGGTGATTCGCACATACGGCGACACGACGCACACGCTCGTCAGCCGAAACGGCTACAAGGGCATCTTCCTCCCCGGATTCCGTGAGGCGAAGCTGCCCACTGCCACGGTCGCCCTGCCGGACGTCCAGATGGCCCGCATCGATCACTGCGTCGGCAACCAGGACTGGGACGCCATGGTGGCGGCGTGCGAGTTCTACGAGCGGTGCCTGAGCTTCCACCGGTTCTGGTCCGTCGATGACAGCCAGATCTGCACCGAGTTCTCTGCGCTCAAGAGCATCGTCATGTCGAGCTCCAACGAGGTCGTCAAGATGCCGATCAACGAGCCGGCACTCGGCAAGAAGAGGTCGCAGATCGAGGAGTACGTCATCTTCAACTCGGGCGCGGGCGTCCAGCACATCGCCATCCAGACGCCCGACATCCTGTCCACCGTGTCCGCCCTGAGGGCACGCGGCGTGCAGTTCATCGACGTGCCCGCCACGTACTACGAGACGGTCTGCATGAGGCTCAAGACGGAGAAGAGGAGCTGGGAGCTGCAGGAGGACTTCGAGGCCATCCAGAGGCTGAACATCCTGATCGACTACGACGAGGGCGGGTACCTGCTGCAGTTGTTCACGAAGCCGCTGATGGACCGGCCCACCGTGTTCATCGAAATCATCCAGCGCAACTCCTTCGACGGCTTCGGAGCGGGCAACTTCAGGAGCTTGTTCGAGGCGATCGAGCGTGAGCAGGCGGACAGGGGAAATTTGTGATTTTGACGCGAATGATCTTGATCCCATGCGTGGCAGCACACGCAGTAGCATACAGCAGTAGCGAGATTGAAGCACACACCAGCTTTTTTTTTAATAGTTCATTCTTTTCAATTTGGACCTAGTCCATTTTCAAAAACCGTTTTCCGCTCGTCCTTCGTCTATCCATTAGACCTGCCCTCTCATGTATGATTACAACATCGTGACCCCGGAGCATCAAAAGCAGGCTCTATCCAGCGCCTCGTGAAGTAGTCGGGTTTTGCTTCGCCCAGAACGCCGAGGGATATGATCCAGACTCCTATACCTGTATCTTACAAAATGGTATCAAAATATTCTCTGTTCCTCGGGAACCCGCACTGGAGTCTTCTTTTTCTTTCTCTCTTCTTCCTCGGTCTCTAATCCAAGATCATGTTTCCGTTGGCATGCGTGACGCCATTCTCGGCTGCATCCATTTCTGCCTCCATCTGAGCTGCTGCTCGGGTGTCGCTCTGGCACCCAGGGCAGTTGTGGACAATCTCGTGCGCAAATACGTCGCAGTCGATGCAGAAGTGGTTGCCGCACACCTCACAAGCGTATCGGCCGCTCTCGCTGATGCCCTTGACCTTGTCGCCTGCAGTCTTCTCTGGAAGCTCCCTGCCCTTGCCTCTCGATTTCGGTGCCTCGGGGAAATGCGTCAAGCAGGCATAACACGCGACGGACTTGTCGGCTTCGCTCCACGGGACTTCGACCCAGTTCCGCAGGGGGAAGAGATGGTGGTAGGATCGTGCCAGATGGGTCGAGAGAATCAGCGTTAGGCCGCACGCGGGACACTCCGCTGGCAGACGGCACACTTTCGTTGAACATCGCGTGCAGAGGTACCCATCTCGGCAGGGCTTGTTGTGACAGGCGCATAAGCTAATCGCGTCTTTCTTCTCGCTGGGGGTACGCCCAGCGCCGTCCACGCCATCCTTCGGGCCTCCACTTGTTTTGGCTGCGTCGGCAGATCCTTTATAGTATTCGGCTTTCGTGCGTGAAGGGAACCCCATCATCAGCAAGCTGGCATTGCTCTTCTCCGTCTGTCGGGTCACCGGTGGGGTGGTACTGGCCAGGAATAATTCACGAAAGTGCTGCTCGTGCATCGCGACTGAGTAACAACTGGCATCGCCTCCGTTGGTCTTTGAGCACAGATCGGCGCAGACGGCTACCTGCGCAGCGAGGCCGACGACGGACACCCGTATCTGGTCTGCTATCAGGCTTTCGATGGTGTCGTGTATGTCACCAGGGTCACTGGAGAGAAGAGCGCCGTAGACGATGAGGACTTCGCGAGTTCCGTGGGAGGGCGCGTGACTAGATAGACCCAGCATGTCAGTTGGGAACCTCTAGACCAGGGTAAGACGAACATGGAACCTACAAAAGATCGCCCCGACACATCTCCAGGGCATTCTGCAAGCTCGGGTTGCCTCTAGGCTCGAACTTTTTCTCCCAGTGCCTCAGCCAGTCGATGTGGTCTGCCGGGTTGCCGCTCATCTCGCTAATGTGCACGGCGACACCGTCGCGCATGGCAATGATGCCCAGCTGCGAGATGGGGTTCTGCTCGAAGTACTCCCTCACGAAGTCCACGGCGTAGTGCATCATGAGTATGTACCGATTCGGGAGCAGATCCTTCTCGAGCATGGCAAAGGACATATCCAGGACCAAGACCATGTGCCGTATGATGCCGCGCTGGAAGGGGGTCGTGTCGCGCAGCAGGCGGCGTCGCTTCTCGGCCTCGAGAAGGGCAGTGAGGGAGACGTTGCCCTCATCATCCTCTGGGACGTCCCATGTGAACTTCCCTTCCTCCCAAGCCGCGCGCTTCCCGTGCTTGCTCTTGTGCCCACGTTGTCGTTGGCCGCGGCCGCTACGGGAGGCGGCGGCAGCGCCCCGTTGGGATCTGGCGTCGCTGGGACCAGCGCCGTGGGTGTGGCCTTGGCCGCTCGTTACTTGGTGATCGGCAAAGTCATCATCAGAGAGGCCCTCGATGTATTCGCCGTCGCTATCGTCGGCCATGTCGCCGCTGGGTAAGGGGTGTCGCAGTCGCAAGGGCGCGTGCTGGCGCGCACACGGTGGAGGGAGTGGTTTCCGCGGGGTTTGAGGCGGCTGTCTAGACCGTCTCTGAATCTTCCATCGTAGGGGACCGATCACTGAACGCTCCAGTCTTAGTAATCAAAAGCAGAGAATCAAGGAAAGTGCTAAAAAAGAACGACGCCGGCGATGTTGAGGAAGGTTGCGGGCGTGCACATGGACGAGCTGCGAGAAGATCGGCCCTGGAGGCGGTTGCTTGCAAGTGGGGCGGGATGTACCCGGTACCATACAGCACTACGAACTGCACATTTTAGACGGATAAGTCAACGACGGCCAATGACGTCTCACCCAAATAAAAGCCCCTACTTTTTATGAACGGCTTCACCCAAAGGGAGGAACACATGCTCTCTTGTGTACATGGGCAGTGTCAGTTCTGCTACAAGACTTTTAAGTTGTCCTTTTTAATCCAGACTTTCTTCTCCGGGGTAAATCTGAATGATAGGCTCAGTACCTGCCTTCAACAGCATCTTGATCGTTGTCGTACCTCACGCCAGTCCTGTTGGAACCTACACGTATCTTTGGAGATGTTCACAATGAGCAGAGCATACTTAGAGGCGAGGGTAACATTGAATCAATTGCTTGAAAGACAACCTCCCTGGTCACGACCTGCAGTGAATAGGCATCCTGTGGTATCACTCGCCACAGGACATCCATCCTCCTGTACGATAGACTGCTACGAGATATGCTGCCGTAGGATATCTTCCCCTGGGATAGTCTGTCATAGGATACCCTCCCATGTGCAAAAGATTCGAATTCCTCTCACCCGTGTGTATCCTTGGGTTATCGGTTGGGATTCATGTCATCACAAATTGCGTAGAAGTGCATGGGCACGACCCTGCGCCTCGGAAGAGCTCTTCGATGCTCTTCGATGTTACTGCGAGTCTTCGGGAGGTCATGCTGCATTTTGAGAAATGTTTTGCACGAGGTAACTCCACGTTTGAGTTGGCCCGTATCATATTGTTGAACGGTGTATCATTTCGAGTGCTATCGCCAAATTTCATCATGGGTATGCTGCTGTCATGTGCTATCTAAAAAAAAAAAAAAAAAGAACTCATTTCGACATTATGTTATTAGGTGAGTGGCTTCGCTCAACTCTTCCAAATTTGTCGCATCACGACACATTGTCTATGGATAGCTGGCAGGCATGGGCCAGTCATCTTCCGTGATAGAGGACCAGAAAACCCAGACCATGACCACCGAAAGTAGAGTAAAGAGGGTCTGGAACAATGCGCCATCGATCTTGCCGTCGGTTCCGTTGCAGATGTGCGGGCTAATCGCGTAGTTGAAGATTTGGCCAAGTGCAAAGAGGACAGCGGCCAGAGTGAGGTAGACCATGGGCCTTGTCTCGCCCAGCACTCGTAAGACCAGGACGGTTTCGAGGACGTAGAAGGCGACGAGGAATATCAATGGTGCCAGCTGGTACAGCACGTACAGCGCAATGTTTCGGTAATTGGGGCCTTCGTAGCTCGACTGGAACTTGCCTGTCCAATTGAATCCCGTGTCGAGAGCAATGTAGCCCGTGCCAATCAGCAGCACGGTTGCAGATGCCAGGATGAGGCCGAGCGACAGTGGCGTACCGTCGTCGATGAATTTGGTACCCGACGACGGCGTTGAGCATCAGCATCCAGGTGGTCGCAATGATGAAGCCGATGTGGATACCAGTGAAGGCTATCCGAACCGTCGAGCTTAGCGGGAACTCTCCGACCGTGAAGATTTCGCAGATTGAAATTACGATATAACCGACGAGGAATAATTGCATTTCCCTAGAATCGATGTCAGTAACGCGAACCTGCAGAGAGGGAAGCGAGAGGGCCAACGGAGGGAGTTAGGAGTTTGGCAGGAGTGCAGAGACTGAATCCGAGTTGGAACTCTTTCAGTCTGATGCCTCTACCCTCCTGCCTTCTCCTACCCTCGTTTCTGCCATTCTCTGAAATTCTACCCGGACAATCAACGTACCTCCTTCCGACAGCCGCCTTTTTGCGCTCAGAGCGCAGAATTAGGTAGATGGCCGTAGCAATTGCGATGCCACATAGTAGTATCGACCCCAGGTTTCCCAGCCTTCTCCCGCCGCTCAGTGGAATGCCCGTGAGTTCGCAGCCGCCCCATCCTCCGGTCTGGTCGTGGCTGTTGGTGAGCAAGTTGCACACCGGGAGCGTGGAATCGCGACAGAAATTGCCGAAATTCCCAAATTGCGTCGAGCCCATTGCGTCGGTTCTCGAGGTCGGTCAGCCAGGAGGGCGATTGGCGGTGGATGGGATGTTGTCGCGACGGCGAGAAGGTCGGTATCCTCGTTTTGCCCGGCGGTGAGTGGGAATAACCAGGTGATCTCGTAATCGCGGGTCGAAGGCGGGATCACCAGACACCTCCGAACCGATTTGTTGACAATAGTATGATCAATCGGTTACCTCCTGACTGGTTGTGGCCACTGCGATAACCGGAAAATCTCCTAGTCGAACGTTGGCTTGAGTGTGCACAGTAGAATAACCAGGTGGAATAGTCGTTCTTTTGGCCCGAGCAAGGCGGTGGGAGAGTGTCCTTGCCCGTCAACTGGGGGGTGGGTCGCGGGAAGGCTGGAAGGAACCTACAACAGGAGGCGCCTTCCTTCTTTTTACTGGGCAGGTTGTTGTGTTTTTAGTGGCAGGAGCTTGGGGGCTCCACCACCAAGGTTACCTGGGCGGATTCCGGGTGGCGTGATTGGGCCGCTGGAGGGCCGACGGGGGCCTGGCGAGTTGCACGCGGAGGTCGTCGTCGGGGGATTGACCTTGGTTGTGGAAATAAGAATTTAAGATTATGCTGGGCCTAGCAAGACTCTGGACAACCAGTGGCGCCTGGCTGGATGGCAATGGTGTGTGGGTTGACGATCCTGTGTCGCGAGTGACACTGACATCAGTGCGCACCGGCGGGAGGGACGGGCGTTTTGTTTTGGACGGCTGCCAGCCTTGGAATGCAGTCGACGATGGCTGGAGAGGCGTGGTGAGGGAGCGGGCGGGCGGCAGGTGGGTACCTGATTAGATATAAGCAAGTTTGAAACAGCAGACTGACTGTGTGCTCTGCCAGCGCTAACAGCAGCGATGCGACGGGATCGATGGGCCTTCGCAGGTGTGCGCTCGTCGCTCGCCCATCCCGGATTTGGGTTGGCGATCTAACTATAACTACGGTATTAATGCCTGGCAAGCAGCATAATATCCAGCATGACTGAGCATCCCGCGGCCGACAGAAGCACTGACCATTGATTTGATTTGACCTTCATGCATGATGAGCTGGTTGAAATGGCCGTGAGGCTGGACAGCGCCCGCGACACCATCCCTGGGCACATCTTGACCTTGACTTGTGCCGAGTTTGGACGACCGTCCTTCTCCTTCTCCGACTCGATGACCGCCCTGCCCGTCGGTACTCACACTGCACTCGCCGATGTTACCTTCCCGTGATGGGAGGCAGCAAGGGCAAGCAGGTATTTTGTGCCTCACCATGCTCATGTTCGACCCTCCGCGTGGCCCCGTGCAAGCCAAGGGAGCTCCTCAGCCTCAGTCAGACTCGATCACGGCATTCCCAGCTCGGGCTCGAAGTGTCTCGGAAGCCAACTACCTGCCCCTCGACTCCGGCTGACAGAAGCAAGGGACGGTGGCGCCAAGATCCCGTCAAGGACCGCCACCTTCACCTTGGAATTATCATTTACTGTCGCACATCGAGCACCCGCAGAGATGGGGATACTGCACCCTGTCCCACGTCGGATATTTAAACCCTTGGTTTGCCCTAGCCTCGGGGCTCGTCTCACCCCCGCTGCCCTTTATAGCATCTCCCTTCATGTTGCCATCCGTCACCCCGACAGGCACCAACACAAGGCCCAGTCTGATGGCCGAATCCCTCGTCCGAGCTTCTTCTTCCCTCCCGCTAGTCACGCACGCAAATATAGCTTAGGCGCATGCAGCCAACCTGCCAGGCCTGCCAACCTGCAGCCCGAATCTGGGGCCGCAGGGCCGCCGTGTCGTTTCAGCCACAGCCACACGCACCTACGCCTGCCACGACGGCGCGCACTTTCGCTCTCGGCTGCGTTGGCTGGGCGCTGAATCCTGTTTTGGCTCGAGAGGTCCCGTGCCTTCGCAACCACTCGTTGCCTTCTGGCGACTTTGCTGGCTGCTGATCACTGCACGGCTGCAGAGCCCGTCCAAGCTGAAGACAATGCTCGCTCGTCTCCTCACCACTGGTGTTATTGCAGGCGCGGGCCTAGCCGTTTGCCACATGCTATTCATCTTTCAACGCAACGGCCGAGATGAAGCTCGCTCTATCTAGGTGGTGAACGCGTCCCCTGGGGCGGTGTGCTAGTCCCTAGCTGGCTGCCGTTCCGAGGACTCCCATTCCGCGACGCCCATCTCGAGTCTTTGGCTCCGACCCGAGGCTAGCCCCCCTTCTGAACGGCGCGCCTACCCGAGGACGACTCAACGGTTGGCATTCACCGCGATAGTGCAGTTCACAACCGGCTTCTGTTGCGTAGATGGTCCTTGAATTGTTTGGTGTGTAGGGGACGGCCGCAGATTTCCTCCTGGCAGCGAAAACGGAACCAAGAACGTAGACCGCAGGTCCTTGTGCAAGTCGTGCGTGTTGACGACACTTAAGATATGGCAGACAGATGTCATGCAGGCGTCGAAATACTCACGTCGAAATGAGAGCACATGGCCAGACATTCCAGAGACTTGCTGAAGAAGGTTGAGGGAGATCAGCATCCGGTCCTTCGTGATATAGCTGCCTTACACAGCACGCCCAGCTCTCGGATTTCCCGATTCGGGCTGGGACACTCTGCTCGTTTACCCTCGGCCTCACACTGGACGCTTTGGCATAGTGTGCCCATTGAAGATAGGTGATTTGCCTAGCAATATCCCGTGAACTCCAGGAGTGCTTTTTCGCTGGGGCGAAAGGGCATCGATTATCCAAAAAATTAAGAGCATACGAGAATCATACTTTTCAGCGCAACACAGTTTGTCAGCACCAATGGCTGAAGTTGGCGGTAGAGTATCAATATTGTGGCTTGGATTGAAGACGCAGCTTCGTGAGTGTGAAACTGGAGGAAGTTCGCTGTCTTAGTAAGACCCGAGTCTCTGTCCGTCCCATCGGATCTCACGCGACAGTTCATCTCATCGCCAGGTGTGGTGTGCGCGCACTCAAGCTGCAGGGCGCAAGGCTCCAAAGTCAGCTGCGGCAGTACTGGCCCTGTTCACTAGGCTGTGTCTACCCTCAGCTGAGCAACGGAGGCCCGTATCACGACTCAAAGTGTGGCAGGTACTACACGCAAGATCTCACTCGCTCGTAAGTCCTGTGGACGGATATTTTTTCCCTCGGTTCAGCGCCGTAACCGCGGAAGGATCGTGATGGTTCCTTCGAGATCTTTGGCGATGCGAGGCGATGCATCGTGCGTGATGTCCCAGCAAGGCGGCAAGGTGGGTTAGGACGGGGTGGGTTTTTTTTTATTTTTCGACGAGAATCGAGCCCGAAGCAGCCTGGACCCTGAAGGGTTGAATGCGGGGTGGCGTCATTGGGTCTGGGGTTGACGGCGCTGCCAACCTGTGATCTCGAACGCAACAGGCCCATTGCCGGCAAGAAAGAGGGGAGATGGAGTAAAAAAAGGGTCTCGTGGGCAGCCGCTCTTACACATTTCCCCGGACTCGAGGTCATCTGCCTGACTCTTGGGCATGCGAGACTCCACATGCAGCACACAGTGAAGCCAGCCAGCCCGATGAGCAGTCAGTCAGTTGTTCGCCTGGAACGCCGCGAGGAACCGTCGAGGTACCGCACAAACAGGACGGCCGGTGCAAACTCTGTTCGCGCGATCCCCTGCGCTGGGAGGGCGCCACGATGGTGGATTTTCCCCCATCAGCATGGATACCTAGGTAGGATGTCTAACCGGTACTGTGCAGTGCTCCAGGACTGGGCCTACAGGCCCTCGGCCCAAAAGATAAGATGAGAGAGTACTGTGGAGCGATGACAGCACCACACAGCTCTAGGTACGGGACAACTGGACGGACGGGTGGGCCAGGTTTTGGATGGATGCGCAGCACGGTAGACAAAGGATCGATGCCAGGGCCAACAGCTTTCACGATTAGACGTGTGGACAACCGGGTCAAGCAGGGCCGGGCCAGGCCAGGTCTCTCTCTTTTTTTTTGGTTAAACAGCCGCACACGGTCAGTCCAGGGACCTTGATGAGGCTGAAAGGACTCCTCAGTGGCCTCTGCTCTCGGCCTGTTGGAAGAAAAGGGGGTCGAAGGAAATGCACCTCGTCTCATTTAGTACTGTACTGCAAATAGAGTGTGCGCGGGTGGAAATGATCAAAGCTACATGGGGGCGCACCGGGCTCAGGCGGTGGATCGGCGTACCTCTGTATCGAACCGGCTGTGAGATCGGCGGATTGCCATGCACTATTATGGGCCCAAAACCCTCTGGCTCTGGGCGAGCATCCTTGAACCTTCAGAAGACGGGCGTGTCAAGTCAATAGGGTCCGGGGGGATCTTGGACAGCTGAGAAGAAGCTACGTACGATTGTTCACCGCAACCGCAACACTGCACCTCCGCTGCAACGCCGATAGCATTGCACTTTGCCCTTGCACCCGCCCCCCTTCCCTCAGGACTTCCCGTACGGCAACTGCAACTTTTCCTGGTCTGATCCGACCCGATTTGATCTGATAGCATAGTACATGCCACTGTACGGCCCCGTCCAGAGTCAGACGCCGAGCTAGCCTCTCTCGCCTTTGCTGTGTCATTCGTTCGCTCCTCTCGCCCAACCCCCCAATCCAGCATCCAGCCGGTTTTTTTATTTTGTTGACAAAAGAGGGTCATGCCGTATGCCTTTCTCAACCTCAAGGACAAATACCCGCCCGTCGTCTAACATCCCCCTCCGCACCCTCGCTGAGTCCTCCTCCGGCTCCGCCTCGCGACACAACCAAGACGAATCGACGTCATTCCTGGGAGCCCACCACTCCGGCCACCGCGTTGACAAGCCCGGCTCCGACTCGGACGACGACACCGAGAGCTGGGTCTCGACCGGCGACATTGGCGAGCAGATCGACGCCGAGGACCCTCTGCGCGCCAGGCTCAACGACACCCTCGATGAATCCGCCCTCGCCGGCCTGAAGCACCTCCCAAGGAACCACCCCCACAAGGAGAAGAAGCACGTCCGCATCCACGAGGACCCCAACCACCACCAACGCCGCTCCCACCGCCACTCCTCGGGGCAGGCTGGCGTCGTTAATAAGGAGGCAATAGAGATCCCCGAGCCCATCTCCCGCAGACCGTCCAGGGCCGCACGCCTTATCTCTACCATCATGCCTAGCTCAAAGGGCTTCACGGGGAAGCCCCTGATGTAGGTCCTCGCCGCGCCCTCGCGCGTGCCATGCCTGTGATATGACCCAGAATGCTGACGATCCAAACTTGCCAGTTACTTCACGAGTATATTCGTATCATTAGGCGTGTTCCTCTTTGGATATGACCAAGGCGTGATGTCGGGCATTATCACGTAGGACCTTATCTCCCACATCCCCCCCCCTCCTCCAAGCCTCGTAGCTGACCGGCGTCTTCTCCCCCAGGGGCCCGTACTTCCGTGATTACTTTCACCAGCCCTCGAGAGGCGAGATAGGCACCATGGTCGCCATCCTCGAGATCGGTGCGCTGATATCGTCGCTGCTGGTGGGCAAGATCGGAGATATTATCGGCCGTCGACGGACGATCCTCTACGGGTCCATAGTCTTCTTCATTGGTGGCGCCCTGCAGACTTTCGCGACAGGCATGCCTATGATGATGCTGGGCAGAATCATTGCTGGTTTGGGCGTTGGCTCTCTGTCGACCATCGTACCAGTCTACCAATCCGAGATCTCGCCGCCCCACAACCGCGGAAAGCTGGCGTGCATAGAGTTCTCAGGGAACATCATTGGGTACACGACGTCTGTGTGGGTTGATTACTTCTGTGGCTTCATAGAGAGTGACGCCTCGTGGCGAGTGCCTCTGTTCATGCAGTGCGTCATGGGTGGCCTGCTCGGGATTGGAAGTCTCGTCATTGTCGAATCCCCAAGGTACTGTGGACCCCAATGCCCCCACTCGCTGCGTCTTGCTAACACAACTCAGATGGCTTCTCGACAACGACCACGACGAGGAGGGTATTGTGGTCATCGCCAACCTCTACGGCGGCGGTGACATACACAACCCCAAGGCCCGCGACGAATTCCGTGAGATCAAGATGAACGTCCTGCTCCAGCGCCAGGAGGGCGAGAGGACGTACAGCGATATGTTCCGCCGCTACAAGACCCGTGTGTTCATCGCCATGTCCGCGCAGGGTCTGGCCCAGCTCAACGGCATCAACGTCATTTCGTACTATGCGCCCTACGTGTTTGAATCTGCCGGGTGGATTGGTCACGATGCAGTGCTCATGACTGGTATCAACGGCATCACCTATTTCCTGTCCACAATCCCACCGTGGTACATTGTCGACACATGGGGTCGTCGGGTCATCCTGCTCTCTGGCGCGGTTGCCATGACGATATCTCTGTCATTGATCTCGTATTTCATCTTCCTTGATATCAGGGCGACGCCCACCTTGGTCGTGATCTTTGTCATGATCTACAATGCTGCGTTTGGCTATTCGTGGGGCCCAATCCCTTGGCTCTACCCGCCTGAAATCCTGCCGCTGAGCATCCGGTCCAAGGGCGCGTCACTCTCGACTGCGACCAACTGGGCGTTTAACTGGCTAGTAGGAGAGATGACTCCCGTCCTGCAGGAGTGGATTCAATGGCGTCTCTACCTCGTGCACGCGTTCTTCTGCGCCGCCAGTTTTGTCATTGGTAAGGAGCCCTGCTGCGAGCCCCATGGCCCGCCCAAATTTGATGCTAACTCGACACCACAGTATACTTCATTTACCCCGAGACCAGCGGCGTCCGCCTCGAGGACATGAACTCCATCTTCGGCGACGCGACGACGACGATCGGCACCCCTGCCTCGGCAGGTACCCCAGCATTCGGGCCGGTCGATGGCTCTCATGTGCGCGCGGGCTCCCCTGTGCCGTCCCTCGACATGCGCGGCCGGCCGCTCCTGGCGGATGAGCAACCGTTCCCCGGCCTGGATGTTGACCCCCCAGCAGTCAACTTTGTCAACGGACGGCCTCAGTACGAGTCCGGGCAGGCGGAGGGCGGCGTGGCCGGCTGGCTGTCGAGGGTCGTCGGCCGTTCGCAGTCCCGCGCGCGGTCGGGCAGCGTGTCCAACAGAAGCGGGAGGTATCAGCCGCTGGGCAACCAGGATGACTGAGGGTGTCTGTGCGAGACGACCATTTACAATGGGCGAAGCTGAGATGGCTGGGAAACATATCATCATGTATACTTGGGGACGCGGCGATAAACTTTTGCAGAATACGGGCAGAAAGACGGCAAGTCGCGGTTTTAGACATATTGCATACTAGAAGGGAACAGAGACGCGACGAACGGGTTGTTATGCTTTTCTTCTTTCTCGAGAATCTCATTGGGTGATGTGAGCGCGCAAAGAAGGCACACGCGTGCTGTGCGTGCGTTGTACGCAATGTCAATATTCAAATGTTTTCATTCAAGAATAGGGCGCTTGGTGATGTAGAAAATGGTGCTGCTGGTCACTTCAGTAGTACGTGTGTTGATAGTTCAAGTCACCGGTTCTCAGGGAGCAGACGGCATATATGGATGTGATTTGCTTGCTCGTGCACAAAGCTGTGATCGACCTTGAAAGGCGCTGGGATCATGTTGTCCAAAGTAGAGCTGGGCCCTCCAACTCAAGTGTGCACCCACTTTCATGACAACTATCCGCGGGACATCTGCCCGCGACAAGCCACATCGCGTGTTTTCCTTCTGCGAAGTTCTTACCGGGTCTCTTGTCCAGATGACGCAAGTCATAGCCCTAACATCCATTGCTCAACTGGGTGCTTGCCAGGTATGTTCTCCTGTATCACCAGAACGGTGTTGTTCCTATGTTGGAATGATTGTCATATCAAAAATGCAAGGAAGGAATGGGTAGGGTAGTCAGTGTCACAAAGTAGGTGAGGACATTTCGGGAAGAATGGGTCTTGGCGTGGTCAGTCAGGAGATGGGTATACCGAGACCTACTTCGGTATTGTATGAGCTGTATGCAGTGATAGGGGTGTCCTATAGTTTGGATTTGGTACACGATTGAATAAGTCAAGCATCATGTTCTTGCTGTTGCCTGCGCTCCTATGATTTCAACATCCAAAATGCGTAGGTATTTTCAGGATTCCCCTGGCAGCAGACTAGACTGCTGATATCTTTCCTCTCAATGCTCTTCAACTTTAACTCCAGGCTCGCTAGCATCCGCATCCGCTCCATTCCTCAAGCTAGCAAGCGGGTCGGAAGGCGTCCCGTGACTTTCCCTATTGTCCATGTCCATACCACCTTCTGGTTCGCCGGGTATCTTTCCCGGGCCATCATCATCATCATTGCTGTCGTATCTGCTACTAAGCTGCTCCATCTCGCTCCCGCTGCTGTTGTAGCCGGCGCGGTCGATTTCCTCACTCAGGGGCCGGAAAAGGCTCGCAGCTATCCCTGCTGCTGCAGCTGCCGCGTATGCCTCTCCTGCCCCAGGATCATCTTGGTGCTGCTGTGGTTCCGGTGGCGGTGATGTGGTCGCTGGCGGATCCTGTCGTCCCTGTCTGAAATCCATGAACTCTGCTAGAAACAGTGCCGCTGTGTGTGCCAAAGACTCGAGCGCCTCGACTTTCCGCCGTCGAAGAGCCTGTCTTTCCTTCTTCAAAAAGGCATCGGAATCCAGACTTGGAGTCTCTCGCCCTTGATCTGTTCGTAACGGGCTAGTGAGTCGTTCCGGGTCCGGATTTACGCGTTGAGGGCCGTTACTCTCGTGGTCAGCCACAATCCGCGCACTGCTCTCCCTCAAATTAGGCTTATTGCCGGATGCTTGTGCCAGCGTCCCATGTGCTGCCCCATGTCCCTTGCTGTGGTCTCTACTGTCGCTGTCTTTTTTCTTGTTTGTCGGCAGCCGGCTCCTCTTCTTCGGTTCATTGACTTTTGCTGGGGATTGCAGACCAATACCGACCATGGCGCGAAGCGCTGGGCCAATGGCCGCTTCATACGCAGCCAGCACGGCGATGTTCTGACTCTGGAGATTGTGAAGTGGTTAGCTGATGTTGATATATGTTCCTTTGGCGGCAGGACAACGGCCAGCCCGGCCGCCCTGCTCTGGTTACTCACGCCATCGTGGTTGTTCACTTCCTCAGCAGCTCTCATGAGAGCCTTGACTGGCCCCACGGCCTTGGGCGGTACCTAGTCCACGTCAAATGAGCTATATGTCCTTCTAGCTATATATACGGGATTATCTCTCCGGGGTTCACTCACAAGGCAGCATGACACGTGTGATCCAACACACTCGCTGCATCTAGAGCCATCGCCATGTCAGTATGCTCTCAATCACCACAAATAATGGTTGGAATGATTCACCTGCTACCAGTATATCCAGGCCTCCCGTCTTGAGAAACTGGTAGACAAGAGTTTCGATCAGACACGAGTTTCTACATAACCCACGACCACCAGAACCGGCCACATTTCATATTGGCCAATTAGGCAAACAAAGAAATTGCCGTTCCATACCAAGTGCATCGTGGCATGCCCATTTAGGATCGTTTGCCAGTCGACGAGCGCAGTAGACGCAAGGCAGAACTCTTGGATTGCCCCTCCTCCGTTTCGCCGCCACCTACACCGAGTTCAGCGCAATCCCTATATTAAACGAAGACGGTACTTACGCCGTAGTTGGACCTCTTTGGAGGTGATTTGCGTTTTAATGCCAGTTTCCCGGCGACTCAGTTCCTGGGATACGGATGCGGGGGCAGTCACCTTGGTTGGTTGAATATCGCTGGTGACAAGAGGGATATCACTGACGACACGTTCAGGGGACACTCTGCTCTGAACACTTCGTGATGGATCAATCAAAACGTCTGCATTGTTGAGGACAGTCTCATCACTGGCCAACTGATCGGAAGAAGAACCCTCGTCCGGATCCTGACGCGACGGTCAGCCAAGGCATTTGCTCTATGTAAATCAAGGGTGCATTTCTAGAAGCAGCATACAATCTCTTCTTCTTCCTCGATTGGCGGAGGCATCGCTTGTTCCTCTTACGGGAGGATTGAGGCAACACTTCGATGACTAACACGCAGGATTAAAACACAAAACAAGTCGCTGGTGAAGGGCCTCGCCGTGGGTTGAGTGAGCTCGCGCTACAGCAAACTCACGGGAGCAGGTGGCCTGTGCACCGAGGTTATGGTGCGCGATAACGCCGACTTTCCAAAAACCCCCTGCACCCCTACGGGCATACCACTAAATCACATACCTAAATAGTTAATAATGAAATAATACACGATTAATTAATTAACGCCCCTGTAAATGCATATAAATAAGTGTAAAGGAGCTAATTATTTAAAATATAAAAATAAAAGTAAAACTTACTTTTTTTTAATAAAAAAAATTATTTAATATTTTAATATTCTTTTTTTCCCTTTTTTATAATATTTATAATACTTATAATTATTTAAAATTAATTATTTATATATAAAAATATATATTTCTTAAATTTTTTTATTAAAAATAATTTAATTTTTATAAAATAATAAAAATATTTATATTATTAAATATATTTTATTACTTTATATAACTTTATTAAAATAATAAAAAATATATAAAAGTTAATTATTTTATAATTTTTTTATTTTTATAATATTTTTTTATAATTATATATATAATTATATATTTAAATAATTAAAATTTAATATTTTAATTATAAATTTAAATAAAAAAGATTTAATTAAATATTTTTTATTTAAATAACTTTAATTATTATATATTTAAGCTTTTTAATTTAATTAATATTAATTATAATAATAAAAGAATTATATAAACTTTAAATAAAATAAAATATTAATAATTATTTAATAATAATAATAATAATAATAATAATAATAATAATAATAATAAATAATAATAATAATAATAATAATAATAATAATAATAATAATAATAATAATAATAATAATAATAATAAATAATAATAATAATAATAATATATAATAATAATAATAATAATATAAATAATAATAATAATAATAATAATAATAATAATAATAATAAATAATAATAATAATATAATATAATAATAATAATAATAATAATAATAATAATAATAATAATAATAATAATAATAATAATAATAATAATAATAATAATAATAATAATATAATAATAATAATAATATAATAATAATAATAATAATAATAATAATAATAATAATAATAATAATAATAATAATAATAATAATAATATATATAATATAATAATAATAATAATAATAATAATAAATAAAAAATTATATATAATATATATAATTATTTTTAAATATTTTATAATTAAAAAAAGTTTTATAATTTATAATTAATAATTTTTTTATATAATTAATTTAAATATAATTAATTTATTATTATAATTAATATATATTAATTTAATTAATATTAATAATAATTATTTATAAATAATTATAAATAATAAAATAAGTAAATAATAAATTTATATTATTATTATAAATAATAATAATTATTAATAAAAAAATTATTATAATTAAATTATAATATTTATATTAAATAATTAATATTATATATAAAAAATAAATAATTACTAATATAAAATTTTATTTAATTATATATTATTTTTTATATATAATTAATATTTTTATTTTATTTTAAAATAATTAAAATTATAAAATATAAATTAAATATAAATATTAAAATAATAATATAAATATAAATATAATATTAAATATAAATATTAAATATAATATATAATAAATATAAAAATAAAATATAATATAAATATAAAATAAAATATAAATATAAATATAAATATAAATATAAATATAAATATAAATATAAATATAAATATAAATAAATATAAATATAAATATAAATATAAATATAAATATAAATATAAATATAAATATAAATATAAATATAAATATAAATATAAATATAAATAAATATAAATATAAATATAATATATAAATATAAATATAAATATAAATATAAATATAAATAAATATAAATATAAATATAAATATAAATATAAATATAAATATAAATATAAATATAAATATAAATATAAATATTATTAATTAAATTAACGTATATTAATTAATAATAAATTAATTATATTTAAATTAGCTATTTAAAAGGAAAGAAAGTTATAATTATAAGCTATAAAATCTTTCTTTAGCTATAAATTATTTAAAAGTAATTATATATTATTATATATAACCCTTGCTTATTAATGCTTTAATGTTAATTACTTATAATATTTATTATATTTAATATTATTATTTCTTTATAATATATTTATAATTATATTAATAATCTTTAATTAAGTAATTAATATATGTTTTTAAAAAGTATATAAGAAAAAGAAGTTAAATTAAACATAAAATTATTAAGTTTAAATTTATTAATTAATGAAATTAATTAAAGGTATGCATTTATTTAATTATATTAAATACTTATAAAAAGTAAGTATATAAAAAAGCTTAAGTTATTATTAAGGGGTTAAAGGTTAATTATTTTAATAATTATATATAATAAATTATCTTAATTACGTTAATTAATAAAATATAAATTATTATTTTTATTATATAAATATTTTATTTATAATATATTTTATAAACTTATGCTTTTATTATTTATAATGCTTAAGTTAAATAATGATTAAATTAAATCCTTAAATTAATAATATTATTATTTAATTTCTAGCTTATAATATACCTTAATTTAATTTAACTTAAGCTTAATTTTATTTAATCTTTATAATTAAATAAAGATTAATTAATTATAAAAGAAAAATAAATAAAATAAATTATAAAGATTAATAAATAAAGTATTTAAATAAAAAAGAAAAGTTAAATATAAGGAATTATTAAGAAATTATTTAATATTAATTAAGTTAATAAATAAAAATATATATAAAATTTATTAATTTAGCTTTTATATAGTTGGTAATAAATAAATAAAATATATAATTAATTTAGCTATGGTATAAAGGGTAAGTTATAGCAAAGTTACAACCTTTCCTTATTTAATTATAAGCTAATTATAATAATTTATATGCAAGGCATGTAATTACTAGCTGGTAATTAATTGGCGTTAATTAATAGCTATTATTAATAAAACTAGTTTAAACCTTATATCTTTAAATTTATGCATTGCTTGCAATGCATTTATTGCATAAGCATATTGCATATAATGCTTATATATATTATTTTTATATTAGCAATCTTTTATATATATATATGCAAACACTTTAAAATTATGTTTTTCCTTTAAATCATTGCTTAGCTAATTAAATTGCTTAGTTAATATAAATATCTTATTCTTTAAAGGGCTATAAGGGGCTAAGTACTTTATAGCTATTACTTTAATAAGTTAAGTGTAAGTATTTAAGTGCGAGTATTTAAGTGCAAGTATTTAAGTGCAAATATACCTAAACGTTTTAAGTGCTTAAATTACTTAAATCGCTTAATTAAATTGTTTAATTGTTAATATTTTAAAACTTTAAAGTATTTAAATGCCGTGCTTTAATTAATTAATTATTACTTTAATAGCTTCTTTCTTTTTATTATTAAGTTAGCTAAGGTGCTTAAGGGATAAATTAAGCTTAAATTAATAGTAGCTATTGCCATTATATCTTTTAATAAGGAGGAGGTTATTATTATTACGGAAAAGGTTATTGCTATAAGGCTTGCATTAAGAGCATTACCAGCTAAGAAGGAGGTTATAATTATTAAAAAGGAAGAGGAGGTATTAATTAAAAAAAAATGTTAAGATTATTAACATTAACATTATTAGCGTTGCTTGTTAATTTATTGTAATAAGTATTAAAAATATATGCCTTTAGCTTATGCTTTAACTTAAATATTAAATTATATTATTAGCAAACAACGTTTTTACACTATGCATTTATAGCTTTTATAAATAACTTTATTATTATAATAACTTAAGGATTTATAAATGCTTATAAATACCGCTTAAAGGTAGTTGCTTTTAAAGGGTTTTAAGGAAGAGTTAAATAGCTAAGGGGTAAGGGCTTTCTTACAGCCAATAGCAGGTATTTATCATTATTATTATTAAGGTAAATCTTATAAAGATTAATTATAAGGTAAAGAAAGGAAAGGAGAAAGAAAATATTTTTTTGCTATGCTTATAAGCTAATAACTAGCTTTTAAACTATTTATTTATAAATAATAACGCTTAAATGTTATTACTACTTAATAAATTAACTTATATTAATTTTAAGGCAATTTATGCTTAAGATTTTATTTAAGGGCGTTAATAAAAAAGGCATTAAAAAAAGGGAAGATTATGCTTATTAATTAAATATTAATTATTATTAAAAGGTAAATATTTTAAAGGTTTAATTAAGTTATTTATATAATTAAACTTGTAGTAAATCTTAATTATTCCCTTTAATAATTTTAAGCTAACTAAGTAAATAAGATAATTACATTAATCGCTTATTTTTATTAATTAACACTTTAAAGTATTTAATTAAGCGTATTAATTAAATATGTAAATCGCTTAAAAGAAACATTATTTATTAATACTTTAAAGTATTTAAGCGCCTTATGCTTTGTTAAGTACTTAGGGGGTTTTTAAAAAATTATAGGCCTTAAGGGTATTATATGAGTGCCTTAAGGGGCGTTAATTGCAAATAAGGGCTTCTTAAGGCAGTTATAAGCAAGGGCGTTAACAATTAAGGGTGCCTTATAAAGGGCTTTTAAAAGTATTGTAAAGAGGGCTTTTTAATATGCTAATTGCAAGTAAAGGTGTTAGTAATTAAAAATATTGCAAGGAGGGCTTTTTAAGCTTTTTAAGGCTATGCATTAATTATAAATGATTTTTTTTTACCACGCGCCTATAAATACCTATGGATAACTTTATTAATTAACTTAAGGTTTTGTAAATGCTTATAAATGGCTTAAAAAGAAGGTTCTTAATAATATATAATTGCATTTACTTAGGAAGGTTGCAAGGAATTAAGGATATTATAAGGAAGGCTTTTTTAATATATTGTT